TATATTTGCATCAAAAATTAAGCTACAATGTTGTGTATCACTATACTGTGTTGAATTTAAAGCACCATAATTTTGAAACCGAAACTCCCCACTTCAAGAAACGGGGCGCGAAAATGGTGCGCGTGTGCTGCTGTCTGCGGAGCGCAAGTTCGTTTGCTTCTTTTGCAGGGGTTGTGGTGACGTCACAACGCCAAAATCTGATTGACCCTGATTGCAGAATAGTGGGTAGACCTCAATGCCTTGAGGTCTACCCACTATCCTTCAGATCAGAACCAATCAGAGCTCGGCGTCATGACGTCACCACAAAACCTGCAAAAGAAGCAGACGAACTTGCTCTTCGCATTCGCTCCTAATTCAGTCTTTTGCTAAGGCTCACTTATTATAGACCTTTCCCAAAATGGGGCTCCTGGCCGGTTCCATTTTCAGTAATCGGCTCCGGCGCGGGCTTTCTATCTTTGACAGCGCTTCATCGTGCCGCGCACCTAGCGCGCGCGCCACACAGCCATAGCACGGCGGAAGTCATGGAGCGCGAGCTGGAGGCCGGGTGTACAAAAGACACGCCCTGCCGTTCTCATTCTTTCAAAAGCTATGACAGAATGAGAACGTCGGGGAGGTCCTTCATTTGGCCCGCCCCCAGGGCGAGGTTCGTACCTTCGATAACGCTTTGGTGGTTCGTGGGCCTCGAGCGTGCACAAGCAGCCAAAGCACGACGGAGGGCGGCGAGAGAAAAAGAGGCCCAGCCGTTCTCATCCTTCCAAACGAGGAAACCTCAGCCCATTCACAAAAGCAATCACTTGTTACTGATCTTCGCGTCTGATTAATATATATATATATATATGTGTGTGTGTGTGTGTGTGTGTGTGTGTGTGTGTTTGTGTGTGTGTGTGTGTGTGTGTGTGTGTGTGTGTGTGTGTGTGTGTGTGTGTGTGTGTGTGTGTGTGTGTGTGTGTGTGTGTGTGTGTTTTGTTCGGCGTGTTTTTGTCTCTTTTCGTCATCTGTTTGTCTGCGTTTCTTTTTTTGTGAAGTTATTTTGTGAATATTTTCAAAACAGACGCGTGTCCAAAACCGTGGAACGCTACAGAAAAGAGGTAAACAAAACATAATCAACTTGCAAAAATTAAAAAAAAAGGTTAACCAAGCAAAAAGGTAACTGACATGTATGACGAACTGTATTTTTACAAAAATTAATTATTACAAATTCAAAAAATGCTGATTTAGAAATACTCTTCTCATCATAAAAAAACAACTAATTTATTTCTTATTTTTTTTTTTTTTTTTTTTATTTTTTTTTAGATTTAGGGACGTTTAGGTACGAAAACACAAGCCCGGGAATGAAGACACATTCAAGAGATCATCATCATAGTCTTCAAGAGACATAGAGGAGGCACGTGTCCGGATGGCAAGGTACCACTGACCATGCTACCAGGACAGTCCACAAACGCAAACTAAAATACAAAATAAGAAACATTCTCACCGCGCTATCAGTGTTGATCGGCCCTCGGGGTTCTTCAGATACCTGCACCCTGGTCAGTCCAGGAGTCCCCCTGCAGGAGTCTCAGCAGTCCATACCTTTCCGTCCGTTCACATACGCGGGGAGCTCGAAGAGAACCGACACCTCTCTGTGATGCACCCAGGGAGACGCGCTAGAAACGGCATCTGACGTCACAGGCTTCAGCGAGCTGTCGGAGATCCCCGAACGTACTTTTATCGTCGTATTTTCGTCGTGCGCGCACCCTCCTTTGGCTCCTGGCCCGGAAATCCACCGCGGTGTATAGCCCCGGAGTTCTAGCGTCTCTGCGACCAGCAGCTGTCGTTTTGCCTCGCAACGGACTGCGGGCGATGCTATGGCCCGCCGAAGCCAATCCCGTGACGTACGAGCGTCACGTGACCTGCGGGAACAACACCAAAGATTCGCAGGGCGCGTGGTCACGTGATATAGACCACAGCGCTGGATTGGGTCATAGCGTCCGTCGCGGTCCATCTTAAGGGTACACGGAGTAAATCAGACATCAGCCGACTGAGTGGAATATGTGTCACGACCGGAGGAGAAGTAAATAATTAACAAAACGAGCGCAAAGCTTTTGGAGAAGTGCAGCTGCGTGTAGTAAAAAAAGAAAAGGAAAGCTTCGCGGGGTATAAAAGGCGTGAGCGCGGGTAGAAGTTGCGCGTTTCGTTGGAAATACTGGACAGGAGCAATAAACGCCAGAGGCGTAGTGCGTCCCGGCTATAAACGTCATTCGCCAACGAAGGGTTTAGGGCACCTACTTTAATTACGGTCTAGGGTTAGTTGATCTGACAGGGGCTCATTTAACGCAATCCTCTTTCGAAATAAGAACAAAACGAGCGTGTTGGTAACGGTAATTAGACATGAGGAAGATACATAGAAAGGGGGGACGGACAACGAAGTCTTCGTTGTCCGTCCCCCCCTTTCTATGTATCTTCCTCATGTCTAATTACTCTTTCGAAAATTTGTTTACGTATGCGGTGGAACGCTTCGGGAGGTCGGAACACGTGCGCGAAAAACCGACCGAAAATAGCGGGGGTATTCGGATTGTGCCAAAATCGTTCCAAAACGTTTCGAAAAAAAAAAAAAAAAAAATGTATGCCACAAATATGGGTCTGGAAAGATCATATTTCCGATTCCTGTAGTACATTGATTACCCCCCCCCCCCCCCCTCCCCCCCGGGATAACTTCACAGCCTGCCCCCTGCACCCCCCCTCCCCCCCCCCCCCCCCCCCCCCCCCCCGGGATAACATAACAGCTTGCCCCCTGCCCCCCCCCCCCCCCCCCCCCGGGAAAATGGAAAGTCTACGCCGCAGGCTGTGGCAAACAATCCAAGCTCCACGAAAGCCTGCACACGATCAGGAGCGGGGCCGATATGAGGCCCCTTGATACCGCGTGGAGCATGTGCTCTACCCATAGTGAAGCACAGTGAGGAAAACAAGTGCCCCTAGCGAGCATGTCACTGCAAATAGTGAACGCTGGAGAGGAGGCGACCCCCCCCTCCAGAGTCCGCTCTGCCTGAAGTGGAGGGGTGGGAGGAGTTTCCCCCAAACCCTTAGCGCCCTTAGCCTGCCACCGACTTAATGTTAAGGGGGGGGGGGGGGGGGGGGGGGGCGGTTGTCAGAAATGTTTTAGTGGTGGTAGATGAATTTCCTCTCCTTCCCTCGAGTCCACCTCTTTAGCAATCATGGTACCAGAGATTCTAATATGAAAACAGATGTTCGCATTCCATGGCTTGACAAGCGACCGTGACAGGCCTTTACGGCAGAGGTTCGTGCCTGCGCTCGTGGCGTGCACCAGCGTTCTCTGCCCAAGCATTTCGAACCAGCTATTTCCTAAAAGATGAATTATATAGGTTGGCCAACGCAGACCTTCCCCTGTAAAACGAACGAGTTTTACTGTGTGAAGTTTCAAAGTGTAGTTCTCCCCCTGCAAAGAAATGAGAGCAAAAACCTTGGCCAAGTCAAGTGTCGGTTTGGTGTGCCTACTGGGAGATGCTGCCACAAGTTCTAGCGTCGCCAACTCGGCCGTCGGTGAACCCCTTTGCCCTATATTAGGGACGTTTTGTAGGTAGTTTTCACCGCCCTACAACGCTCTCCGAAACAGGTCTGGAGCTCTTCAGGAGTCTTCGTTGCCAAGGGGGGAAAACTGTCTACGAAAAGTTGCCTATAGTTCTCTGCCTAAGCCCCAACAGCACAGAAACAAAAAAACAAAAAAAAGATTTTGGTGATCTGATCAATTTGGAGGAGTACAGCGTGATGCTTGCACACAATAATCGCCAGGCTTAGGTATTTTTGTCACATGCAAGGTGCGAGAGCACTAACGCACAGTTCCTATCATGCCACCGGGTAGAGTTGGGGAGGGGGACAAGTGGTGCAGCTAAAGCTTGATTCACATGGTGCGATTTTATTTACGATTTCGTAGTTGCGACATCGCTTATGTGGCAAAAAAAGCCTGGGAGAAGCTGCGGTAGCCGACGTTACAGCTGCGAATTCGCAAACGAAATAGCACCATGTGAATCGGGCTTAACACTATGCTTCCTCCGTCTCACCGCAACTTGGCAGACGGCGAAAACAACGATTTCAGTGACCCTATCAGTGCGTCAGAGGGAGACACATGACGATGTCTACCTCACTATACTTGCTTTCACCTCAAGAACCGTAGCAAAAAAAGTCTAGAAACTCGCGAAGCATTACTAGTTTCCCCCTCTATATGGAGAGTTAATATATATATATGCAAGGAAATTTTAGATTAGATATAGCATGCTATCTCAGCAAAAGGTACACATTCCAAATGCCAAAAGCATTGCTCTTTCCTCTAAGAACCAAATCTTGCAAGAACTACTTCGCACGGCATACAAAACGTTTTGTTTTTTTGACGAGGAGATGAGCGCAGTTGCACGTGGTCCTGTCAAAGCCACGGACGGGAGAGAGTAGGAAAGCCGCTTCCATACGAATTCCGAACGACAGGCTAATCCCCGACGGATGGCAAAGCGGCGCCGGGGACGCAAAGAGCAAGATGGCAGTTTCTGCTTCCCCTTCTCTCCAACTGCTTGCGCAACGCTCTCAGCTCCGTACCGTCGACAACACCGTGTGCAACTAGTATGAGGAGCACAAGTTCTTTTGTGGGGGCTGCGGTGACGTCAGGACGCCGCACTAAGACTGACTCCGATTGAAGGATAGTGGCTAGACCTCAATGCAAGCTGCCTCGAGAACTACCCACTGTCCTTCAATCGGAGCCAATCAGAGCTCAGCGTTCCGACGTCACCGCAGCCCTTGCAAAAGAAGCAGACAAACTCATGCTCTGCGTAGTCGCTGACAGCATGGTTTACTGTGTTCACACCTTTTACCTCGCAATTTCTTCTTCGGGGTTCTAATCAACTCATGCTGCGCTTTCATTGGCTGACGAGCAGTAACAAGACGCTTGGAACTCGCCGTGCCCCTCCCTCCCTAAGCTGTCGGTGACCGTAGTTCGAAGGAATAAACGCAGACGAGGCTCGGTTTCAGCCACGCCTGACAGGTCGGTAGACGACGCCGCCGACGATGCAGCAATAATTTATTGAGCAAATGAGAGAAGGTGAGAGCGGCTCGGCTTCCTGAAGGCGAGCGGCATGACCTTGCGGGAGGGAAGGGGACGCCGAGAGCCCGCCGGAAGAGGCCCGCACGGCGACGACCACGGGACCGCCCTTGAGACCTCGGGCTCACTCGTACTCCAGGATCTGCTTGTGGTAGAAGAGCAGGTAGCTGCGAGGAGGAAATCCGGGGCAGACTTTTCAGGACGTTGCATCCATAATTGACTACATTTTGAAAAGGAGTGTAGTACAAGGGGAACTAGAGAAGAGTTGTAGTGCGGCCTTTCTCCCGGTCGCCGATTTCATTGTTTTCCCCTATTCTTACTCTAGAAGCGCGTTCAGAAAAACGCGTAACTTTGGAAGGACTCAGCTTGCATTTTGAGAGCTCATCATGCTGGTACCGTTTCCTGCCTTATTTGTAAGAATATCTGACCTCATGAAAGGGTCAGGCTATCACTATTAATGTTCCCGTAAGTGACAGACTAGGGAAATAAACTGACATTCTTTTTTTAAGAAGGCGGGGGCAACAAGAAGAAAGAAAAAGGGCTTTTTTTTTTTTTTTTTTTTTGTTATTTGCATTTTGCGTCTGCCTTTTTGGTCCTGGCTTCATTTCTGTACTGTTTTCGTTCATTTCGCTTCATGTACGCAATCGATTCAGCTTGGCCCCGGGTGTGCCGATTCCCATTCCCTAAAATATTCCAGCGACCAATGTTTTCAAAGATAAAAAATGTGTTTGAGGTTGAGTGCAAGATACCAAGAAATGTAATTGAGTAGCAAATACTTTCAATCAAATATATTTGCAAGGTATTAAATTACTACCAAAGTATTTGAAATGCAGTATCTTGACTAGAGTATTTGAGACAAGCACAAGTCTGGCATAAGAGACAGGTTAGGGGAAGGGGATAAGATAACAAATAAGATGACAGATAAAGGTAAGAAGACAACTAGAGCCCTACGCAGACAACAGTTTGATCATCCGCATTCGATCCGCATCCGCAGACTTCGTATCCGCATCCAAACCGCATATACAATGTTCTTAAATACTTGTTTCCGCATCAGACCCGCATCCGCAGACTTTGGATTTGCATCCAAACTGCATTAGCGAAACTCGGAACCACATCCGACTCGCAATCCACACATTCATTTTACATAATAAAATCAAGTATGAATAAAAATTTTAAAAAGCATATATTGATGGTATCTTATAAGCCCTCAGCCTACATATCTAGAAGAATTCTTCGTGCAAGAATATGGTTGAAGTCATTTTATCATGTTCCATTTCATTGTATTTATATAATAAGTGATCATCCTTCCAGAGACATTTCACATCGTTGGAAAAATGCTCGTAGTTATGCGATCGTCTTGGGAGTCCGTGAGACTGACATTCCATCCAGTAGATGCACTTAAAAAGAGGGAAATTAATATTTATTTTCCTTTTTGCCCTGTGAAACCCACTTCAAGCAACATAAACATAAACATAAAAACTGACAAAGAACAGACTAATAGCACTCTGTCATTTTATTTAGGCCAAACAATAAAAAAAAAGCAGGAGAGGAGAGGCGCTCACCCGCCAAAGCAAAATACTCCTGGATATGTGGTAAGGCGTGAGTATACCACTGGGAAAATTTAATATTCAATAATGGCAACGCCTCCTATCGGTTACAGTCTTAAACACGAACCGTCAACTACATGCTCGGAACCATATACTTAAGGGGGAACACTGGTCTTGGAGCTTTTTTTCTTATTTTATGACCAAACTTAATGAAACTGCACAAGCTTGTTCAGCTTTTTCTGCAGATTTCATATATCTGGTCATTTTCTCAGTCAGTTGCATTGTACTCAAAATAATTAAAACTTGCCTGCCTTTGTTTGGAAAAAAGATAGAAAAAAAACTGCTCAACAAAATATTCTTTTTAACACATGGCTAGATACTATGAAGTGTAGAGAATACAATGTTGGAAGCACTTTTAAGATAAACTCATTATTAGTGATTTTACCACACATTGAACTTCAGTGCTCAATGCATGTCTAACAAGTAATGTAGCAAAAGATCAAATAGAAATTTTTCTAGACTTATATTAAAAAAATCTGCTCTCAACATTGTATGCTTCACACGTTCAGCTACACATTTCAGGAATGGTTAAATTTCTATCTGCTCCAGATGCTGAGATATCCCTCCTGTAAATTTTCAATGAGTCCAAAAATTGTGTTTTGTGAAAACAATGTTTTAGAGTCAACTTCAATGCACATGCAGCCCACATAGATATTATAAATTGACTAATAGCTCAAATATTCGTTCACGAAATTATAAGCCTGGTAGATTCAGAAGAACAACAGCCATCGCCCTTTTCAAAAGAATGCAGTTTTAGGAAGTTTTTGGCTCCAAAGACCCATGTCCCCCCTTAAAAACAACTCGGTGCCAACTGTCGAGAAAAAGACACACGCACAACGATTCACTTGTCGAGGTTGCTGCGTAGAAGCAGGATATCAAAAACTCGGACGGATTCCCAGACTGGTTCACCTCTCTTAATTTAATACCAGCTAATGAGAAGTCTCTCTCCGTTGGCGCACTTGATGCTGGGATGGTATGCGCAAACTGCGCTACAAGAATGAGGTCCGAAAACTCTTGCTGGCTCAAGTTCCACCACTCCAGAGGATCAGACAGCTCCTCAATATATACTTCTAGGCAAAGAAGCCACTTGCAGGATTCTTCTACATTCTTGTGGCTTGTACGTTTTGGGTTTTCTTTGCCCAAAGAATGTTTTCCCCTCTTTCTCTGCCAAACAAGAACACGCTTCCCGGGACGACTGATAGTTCTGCATTCTTTACTTTTTCCAGGGACAGTATTTTTGTCTAGATAGTAAGAATCAAATTTTTTTTTTTTTTATGTAAAGAACAATTTTTTTTTTATTGGCACCTTTTACCTAAGAGAGTAGTTTTCCCCTGCAATATATTCAATGATGCACTTCATAGTATCACTCACTTTATTCACTCTGCACTGTACGGTTGCACACGTTCATGGGCCGCCTCGGCAAAAATGTACCCGGAACGGTGGATATCTGCATCCAATCCGCTTCCGCAGCCCCTGCTATCCGCATCCGATCCCCAATCCGATCCGCAATCCGCCAAATCTGATTCATTTTTAACCGAATCCGCCAGTTTACTGCGGATATACGGGGATAATCGGGATAATCGGCAGATATGCAGGGCTCTAAAGATAACAAATAAGCTGACAGATAAGAGAAGACAATGAGAGAAGGAACAGGGTGAGATGACAGATGAGGAGGAGAGGATACAATAAGGGATAAGAGGAGGAATGTAAGGGAGAAGATAAGAGATAAAATAAGATGACAAATAAGAGTAAGAAAATAAGATAAAGAGACAGATAAGTGTAAGAAGTAAAGAGGACAAATAAGGGTAAGAAAATGAGAGGTAAGATAAGAGAAGAGAAAGATGATAAAATAAGAGACGAGGCCACAGAAAAAAATTAGAGGTAAGACTAATGAGATAAAAAATCAAGGCATGAGAGCGGTGAGTGCTGGCATACCCCTCGGAGTCGAGCACGTCCTGCAGGCTTGCCCGGGTGATGAGGTGGTCGTCGCACTTGAACCATCGGTCCCGGTGCTGGCGGATGTAGGCCGTGTAGTGGCCGGTCTCTATGGTCCCGCTGTGGTTCACCACTGCAAACAGGCAGTACCTGCGGGAGCCAAGAGGGACCAAGGGAAACCTAAACTACCCGGCATTACAGTCAACTTAAAATTGTGGATTTATGTGCCCTTGTATGCTTGATCAACCTTGATCCTACAGATACATTCAATACGCACAGAATCGAACGGTTTCTCTCAATTCTCCACCATTGCACGTCTCTTCTGAATTCTTCCCGTGACGTCGAATAACGTGATAAGGTCGTATGACACGGTCACGCGGTTAGCCACATGCTTTCCGCATCTGGCACGGCAAAGTACCATATTTATTTGAATATAAGGCGGTCACGATTATAAGGCGAGGGGGCAGTTGAAGGACCCAAGAAAAAAAAAAAAAAATCGCCATATTGCTATACTGAGCTTCGAATATAAGGCGGGGTATGACTTTGAGACTACGGATTTTGGAAAAAAAAACCTCGCCTTATATTCGAATAAATACAGTAACTGTCGCTTGACAAGTCTCCCCCCTGGCAAAGGGGTAGAGAGTCGGGCTAGGAACATAGGAGTCCTGCACTCTATTGTTATCAGGGGGGACTTCCTCGATTTCATTCTTTTGTCTAGATTAGGCATTCTTTTGTACAGTTTTCACCCCTAAATCTGGGTCACCCCTGTCATGGCTTTTTGTAGCGCTTACATCACACATTCCTTGGGGATCCCAACCTTTAACACATTCTGGCAGAGAATAACTGTTATCGGCTCCGCCCCATTATCACAGGAATGCTAAGGAATGTCACAGGAATTAACTAGATAAAGGGGCAAATTTGGAGACAGATATCTCGGAACACAGGCTGGTTACAAGAATACTAAAAAGGAAACAGCCAATCTTGGAATGCGGCTGCTTTGAAGATAAACACATGCCCTAATTGGAGTAATTAAAGAGTTAACTAATTAATTAGGAAACTGACAGCTACGACTATCCTTGCACTTAGTGTCTGCCTAAGAGCATAACTTTCGAGTAAAAACAGGTTTTGCACACCTCCCATAGTTTCTGCATAACAAATTCTATGTTAAAAAACGAGCACACAGGCGATTCTACTCACCTGTTGTTTTAATAGGGCCTCAAGGACAGTTGTTGAAATGTTTAAAGCAATTAAAAATTTGCTCATAGATTTTAGTCAATTTGGAAATTGACAGCTACAACTATCCTTGTACCTGGGAGCATAACCAGAAATGAATTTCCTGTACCTCCCATAGTTTTTCGTTTTTTTTTTAAATGTGTAAAACTTCATTATGTATAGCAGATTCTATGTTAAGTTTGGTCATTTTGCCAGACACATTTAGATGCGGTAGTTTATAGGGTGGGCGGTGCTATTAGTTTGGTTGGTGCTTAGAGCACACCATTGGTGATGTTGTGTACGCTTCTCTTCAGTACCACCCGGACACCAGTCTCGGGTACGTTACTTTTAAAAATAATTCGTTATAGTTAGTTACTTTAAGAAAAAAAGTAGCGAAGTTACCGTTACAGTTACCGCAACAAAAGAGTAACTCGTTACAGTTACGTTTAAAAAGTAACGACGTTACGTTTCAGTTACTTTTCTATAACACAAAAAAAAAAAAAAAAAATAGGAAAAACTAGAAAACTCCCCTCACCAAGTTTTATTGCATAAAACTAAAAAGTATGCTTTTTACTTCATATTGTAACTTAGCAGAAGTTGCTTCTCGAAATTAGTGTTTGAAAATTTCCACGCCAGAGTAGTGGCACAAATCAAAATACGAAACATGCACAGTGCAGAAAACTGGCGCTAATCAAAATATGAAACATGCGCAGTGCCCTCCGCGTGTATTGTTGTTTCACGGTTGATTCACCCGATTAAAAAGCGTTTTCACAGAAAAAAGAAAAACCACAACATTGATAGTGCTTCAAGACACTAAGATGTAAGTGTTCAGTTACAAAGTACAAGTGCGTGCGTAAAGATAACTAGATTTTTTCTTATGAAATCTACACGTGGCTATATCCCGGTCGTGACTCTTGAGAAAAAAGGTATTCACAAGTTCGTGCAAGACCAGCGTGACACTCGAAATGTCGGAATAGACTATTTGAAAAGTGCAAGGAATATCTAAATTGTCCTCGTTCAGAGATATAATATTAATAAAAGACTGTAAAGTAACGACAAAAGTATTGTTGTTACTTTCATCGTTACCTCAGGAAAAAGTAATAGAACTACAGTTACAAGTTACATTTTAAAAAAGTAACTCGTTACAGTTACAAGTTACCAAAAAAGTAACACAATTACAGTAACGTGTTACTAGTAACGCGTTACTACCCAAGACAGCCAGATACAAAGCCTTTGCGGTGAATTTTCTGGGTCACCAAGAGAGGGGAAGTGCACTTTTGTGCCCTTTCCATTCCTCCTTGTTCTGCGTACTCCTTCTACACCACCTGTTTCTGCTCCTCTCTCCCTTGCTTTTTCAGCACCTCTACGCTTCGTGCACTTTCTCAGACCACCTGCTTCTGCTCCTCCCGTTCCTGTGTGCTGGGTCTGTAGTTCAGACAGCAGCGCACTCAGCTTCCACACTGGTGACCGGGGTTCAATCCCTGGCATTGGTCGCCGTTTTGTTTCTTCAAGATCGTTTAGCGGTTACGGACTAACCAACCTACACATTTCGTGCTTATGCAGCTGCCGCTCCCGAGGTTGGCTGTCCGTATAAAACTACCGCTTTAAATATGAGCAAATGGGCGACACCGCTCACTTGTTGTCGTGACAGGGCCTCGAGGGCTCCTGTGCCCCCTCGGGTGCCTGGGCGACTGCTTCAGGGGCCCTGGGGGAGGAGGACATGAAGGGGCTCATGTCCAGGTACTGGGGGAAGCTGATGAGCGACGAGATCTTCTTGTGAAAGCTGCGCGAGTGCTCGAAGCGCTTCAGGTGGAAGCTGCACACTACAGGCAGCTTCTTCATCGTCAGCTGCTTCGTCGACTCCTGGTAGCTCTGGCACTGGCCGCAGCGGATCTTGGCCGAGCTGCCCAGGTGCTCCGGGCGGGTGAACCTGCGACACGGAACACCGCGATGACGACAACTCATAGCCTCCCACTTTAAATAAATCTAAAGAAAAATGCAAAACTTATCTTGATCCTACCGATAGAGTCGGTATACACAGAATGTGTTTCCGAGCATTCTTCGAGATTTGTGAAAGACACTGAAGATTTTTTTTTTGGGGGGGGGGGGATAGCATGTTTTTTTATTTCAAATCTTGTCCTCATTTATGTGATGGGCACGTCTAAGTTTTTTTTTTCTTGCCATGAACTGTTCAAAAGCAAACACTGAACGCGAACGCTGCGACTCGGAACGCCAACGATCGGCATTCACTTTCGAACAGTTGGTAAAGACCGCCATGTCATAGACTAAAGCCAGCTAGCTCTGTGTGTACCTGCTAATTAGAGCAGTGGTAGAATGCCGCACTCACAATCATGGGGTCAAGGGTGCGGTTCCCACTGGGGCGCGCCTAGTGTTTAGTTCTTTCTTATCAATTTACCACCCTTTTGTACAACATGTTACACATTTCTTAAAGGTTTCCGCGGTGTTTTGTTCCACTTTACCCGGGGGTACCAGCCCTAAACAGACTCTGTGCTAAAATAAACTTTGCATGCTACGAACCCGTAATTTACCACCAGAGGAAGGCTAGAAGGTCGATTTCTTTTGGGAAAATATCAAAGAAAACACTTATCTCAATCAAAAATTTCAAATAAAGAAAACAAAACTTTTTCAGTGGTTCAACAGGGAGTTAAAGGGGATTTAAAGGGAGTTAAAGGTAACTAAAATGAATTTTAAGATTGAGAGCTTTTCTTTTCCATTAAGGATGCAACTAAACATCACAACACGCTCCCTCTTCAAAGATTACCGTAATATCCCGGGATAGTTCACCTAAAATCAAGGGCCAGTCGAGTACGCAATCGAGAAAAGTTTAAAAACTGCTATTTTTAGGTCATGAGTCTCTGTCAAACTTGTTATCGTGGCAAGGAGCGATGAAGCAAAGATGACTGTACTTTCGAGACCGGTTATAATGAAGTTCATGGCAGTGGCGGATCCAAGGGGGGGGCGGTGGGGGCGATCGCCCCCCACCCAAACGCCTTGCCTGCAAGGAGTCAGAAGTGTCCAACGTCTGCAAACGTGTCCGCCTCTCCGCCCGGTTTCCTTGCCACGAGACAACCAAATGCAGGCGCACTTGTGCCAATCTGCCCTGGAGGCGTCTGCCATTAAACTGAAAATGCTCTCCATGGTTGAAGTCTCTCCCTCGCTTAAATCTAGACTCTTTTCGGCCTCTCCATCGGTACGTTGTCGCTAGTGCTCTGATCGCCCCTATCGACATGCCAAGACGACTTTTCCTCGTGGGATGCAGAAAAACTGCTTCGTAGATAAGGAGCGGGAAGCAAACGACGTTGCAGAGGCTGCCGCCGCTGGCCTTTGCAGCACGTCTGCGGCCTGTTCTGGGTCGCTACTCGGCCGCGGCGACAAAGTGACTTGGTAAACTTTCAGAATATGATTCTTTTTTTAAATTATCGCACAATATTTCTTTGCTATATTCGTGGGAGCCACTCAATTTCTGTCCCTAAAAACCCATACAAATATATTGAAAAAGTTTTGACGGGTATGGGAAATTTTGATCGCTTCACTATAGCCGGTATTTCGTTATAACTGACTTTGTTATCAACAGGTACGACAGTACTTCCCAATCAGCAATGTTTGCTTATGTCCCGCCATAGCTACCTAGCTCCATTTGCGTCGAGCCAGTCATTGATCCCTACACTAGGATTACTAAAACTAAACTATCTTTTGGCATTTCTAAAAAAAAAAAAAAAAGGGAAATAAAGCTAAAAATAAAGGTGGGTAATCTTTCATGAGCGGGACATGCCTCAGGATATTACGGTAATCTCAGTTAAAAGGGGAGTGCCGCAATGTTTGATAGCGTTCTTATAAATAAGGGCCCGCATGATTTTTAATTTTCGGTGTTCTGGAGTGCTTAGGACAAAGGGATGTGTTGCGATGTTTGGTTCCATTTTATGAAAGAAAAGGCCACGCATGATTGTAATTTTGGGTTTTCTAGAAGGCTTGAGGCAAAGGGGTCCGTCTCAATGTTTGGTCGCAATTTTAACAAAGAAAAAGGCCATGCTCAACTGTAAAATTTTTGTTTGTCAGATGCTTGGGGCGTGTAGGTCGAGTCTGAACCATAAAAAGACATTAAATTGCTCTTTAGTGCTCCTTTAAGACTTTCTCGAGTTAAAGCAAAAAATACAATAGTGTGGGTCACTAGGACATTTAATTTCAACAAAACCTCAAAAGGTAGAAAACTAATTAAAGACTTGAGCGTGTTGGGGATCTACATTGACTTAAAACGAAAGAAACACACAAAAGGACAAAACAGACGACACAGAAAGCTGTGTCGTCTGTTTCGTTGTCTTGTGTGTTTCTTTCGTTTTAAGTCAATGTAGAAAACTAAGACATTCCGAGTTTTGCTCAATCAAATGGCCTGCTATCACGTTACACCTCCAGGCTCCGCAACTAACCGAGTAAACCGTCGCCAGCAGATAATCCTCTCTTAAAGGGCAACTCCGCTCAATTCCGAAGATTTCAGGATAATGAGTGATTTCGAATTAAAAAGCCCTAGTAAAAGACACTACGTCGTTTGCTTCGCGAAAAATGGGATATATATTTTTAAATCTAATTTTAAACACGAGCAGAAATCGAAACCGTAACTTCGGCTCCGTCCGGCAACATTGGCCTCGGGCCGCCAAGTACATGGCCATCACGTGGTACGAGATGTCACGTGATCCTCGGCCCAACGACGGGCGGGATGGGGGCGGACGTGCGGCAGGCGCGAGTGTTGTCTGCACCGCACTCTTCGCCACGTTTTGGTGTCTACGGCATTCGACGACGTTTGTACAACTGCGGCATAAGTCTGCGACTCTGCGCACGTGGTGTCCGTAGTGTGGACGAAACTCCGAGAGGCAATAATCACAAACGGTGAGACGACGACGGTGGTTGTGACGCGGAAGACGGCGGTAACGGTGGGACTACGGCGGGAGGTTGGTCTGCTCCCAAGAAGCGCGCTGCGCAAACACGTTACACCAATTACGTGGAGACCGCTGAGCGCCGAGAGGCAACGTTGCTAACGTCGTGCGCTACGCTCGATCGGAGAAGTAAAAACAAGCAAAAGGGGGCCATAATGATGACGTTTAGCTCAATGTTGGCTCCGCCCATGCCGTAGCCTTGACTGCGCTGTTGGTTGCGCCTGAATTCGCCCGCTCGAGTCAGCCGATTTCGGCAACTTGGCGAGTTGCAAAGTTTGCCGGACCGTTTAAGAAACATTTAGACAGAACTGCGTCGTAATATTTGACGTGTGGTCTTCCTAGCCGATACTGAAGAGGACTGCATTGTTTTTTCAAAACCAAAAATGAAGCAGAGTTGCCCTTTAACATGTTTCGTAGGGAGACGCTAGTTTCATGGTTCCTTTAAAGGGACAATGAAGACGATTTTATTTAATTTTTTTAAATGGTGTTTTAATGCTTCTTGGGAACATAGCATGCCGCCCAATTTTTTGTAGACATTTATGACGCGTATTTATGTGCCTACGAAAGAAGTAAAGAAACTGAAACTGAACCATCTCCAGTCTCGTTTCTGGGCCTCCGAAAACAGAGGTGACGTAGGGAGTGACGTCAAGTGTGAATAGTCGGTATCGGTAGTATTTAGGAGATCGAGACTCTGGTTACCGCGGTGGGTTGTAGCAGCGCGGTGGCGCAGTCGTTGCGCCGACTCTGTCAACATGGATGAATGCCACTCTCGCGAGCGAGTTCGAGCTTCCGTTCAGTGACCGAACACCAACGGAACGGGAGTATGTGTGTGGCGGCCTCTGCCATCACCCGACGGAGACTGCCCGGCCGGCAACGAGCGGCCCGCATGCCGAAGGACGGACGCGGGGGAGATGCCGACGGGAAAGCGGCAGCGATCCCGCCGTTCCAGGATCCGGTTCCTCCGTGGACTTCCTCTTTTCGTCGTCAAAGAACACGAACAGCAACCCACACGTGAAAACTAGCGTCGCCCGAACGAATACTGGTCTTCAGTCGACCGTTAGAACAGCCATCTACAGCTACCATTTTGCAAAATCTTTCGAGTACCGTGTTCTTTTTTAATTTTATTTTGTTGCCCATAGTTGCTCGTTGCCAGTTTCGCGTCCAGCGTAGCAAAGAAAAAAACACTGATGCTGCTTTATTTACGGTTTAGTAACTATTTCCGATCCGATTTATACTTTTGATGGTTATTCAAGCGGAAATTAGAACAGTATTTCTAAAAATCGCGAACCAAAACGTGACCGAGGACACGTTTCTCGTTTCGACCAATCGCTGACGCGTCTCTTGTGACGTCGCGCTCCTTGGCCCCGCATCGGTCACGTGAGCTCCGCTTCTCCTGGGTTCTCCCGCAACTCTTGGGGCGTCGCCCCAGTCGATCCCGGTACGATTATTACCGCGACTATTTAATTGATTTGCGCGGCACACAAGCGCCGGTTTCGGCTGAAATTTGGGCAACGTGGCCTGAGACGTGCCTGGAACCCAGTTCAATCGCCAAAGAGATCTCCGAAATTGCCTTCATTGTCCCTTTAAGGATGATAAACAAAATCAGTCACTTGAAATAAAATTGCACGAAAAAATGGTCAGCTGCTCTTGTCCGAGACTTTCCGACGTTGCTTGGCCATGTCGATACGATCACACTTAAAGCAAGCGCTCTTCTTTAGTGCAAACACCGTCCACATAGAAATGCACAGATGAAAGTCTTCAGCCACTACCTTTCCAGACAGTCCAGGAGAGATGTTGGTTCCGAGTCCTCGGCGTCTGAAATGTTCAACACAACGTCATTCAACGTTGGCGCTTCCATTTGAGTTCAGTGCTCGGTCACAAAACTGGCAGAGCTGCGAAAACTCATGCTGCGTGTTTGTCGCAAGGTGCAAGTTGCCAGAATATTAATAATTTCACTGTCACGACAGCGAACAAGAAGCACGAGCGTGCATACCCTATAGCATACAAGCTCATGCTTCGTACTTTCCGAGAAAGAATATGGTGAAGGATCTAGGCTTACAGACAAAGATCAGTAGGGTCAAACCAGTTGCTGATGTTTCAAACAAAGGCTATCAAACTTCGATTTTTCATGTTCTTTTTTATTCACGCGATACTAATGTTGGGATATCAAAACGGAACAAACTAGTGTTCTGGGACAAATGACAAATGAAGTGTTTGCCAACCTGGGTGAGGCATCAGCTGCTGGAGGTGCGAGCTGGGACCGAGATCCAGGGAGATGTCCCAGAAAGGGTCGATGGTGGTCGAAACTCCCCTGAAACATTTTCTCTCTCAAGCGTCGCTGCACAAGACACCGTAATGTCCCGAGAGATGCCCCGCCCCCGAAAAGTAACCCACCCCTATGTTTGGCTTAATTCTCTATTTTTTTTTAACATAGATAGAAAGATAGCCCACCCCTATTTTTGGCTTCCTTTGCTATTTTTTTTCTTAAACACCAAATCATAGCCCACCCCTATTTTTGGCTTGATTTGCAATTTTTTTTTAAACACTGAAAGATAGCGTGCACCCTATTTTCGGCTTGATTTGCAATTCTTTCTTTAAGGGGGGACATGGGCCTGAGCTTCCAAATTTTTTGAAAAAATTCATTTTTCAATTTTAAGGGTTTCGGTTTTAGAAGCTAATTATACACCGTTACACTAAATTTCAAAACCATGCGCCAAATAGTTACGTTGATATAAAATATTTCAACACATTTTGAGGCAGTAACAACGTAAAGGAGTTCAATGTTTGAATGCATTTTTCTCAGTTCCACTTTTTGCTGCAAATTTCATACGAAGGAATCTTTTGTTTGAAGGTAAAATTATTCTGATACCACAATCAAGATGTTTCTGAACTGAAATTTACTGGGGAATCGGGCTATCTACTTTATTTTGTTGTACATTAAAGTCCTCATTGAGAAAAAACAATGTTTTCAACAATTGACATAGGACAGATATCCATCTCCTATTTTGAGGTAATCACCCTTCCTGAAATATTTACATTTCAGTTATAAAAACTAGATAGCCCGAAGTCCAACATCCCTCACTTTATACTCAAGCTGTTAAAATGGTGCTTAATAGCTTCATTTGCATATCATAGATTTCTTAATGAAGAGTGACACATCTTCTTATGCAGGTATGTAAAGTTGCCCTAGAGAGCTGAAAATTTGCATAGTACACCTACATCTGAAGTTAAATTTCCCCTGCTAATTTCATTCCGGTCACCTGAGTAGTTTAAAACTTCAACCTCTAGCCAGTGTCCCCCCTTAACACTGAAAGATAGCACACCCCCGTTTGCGACTTGATTTGCTTTTTTTCTTCAACACCAAAAGATAGCCCACCCTTAGTAATCATAGTGTTAGGATCAATGATGGCCTCGGCGTAAATGCGGCCAATTAGCCACGGCGGGGTACAAGCGGACATTGCTGACAAGAAACTAAGTCATCCTTGCTTCTTTGCCCTTTGCCGTGATAACAAGTTTGACAGGGACACATGACCTAAGAATAGGGTGTTTTCAACTTTCCTTCACAGTGCACCGAAAGTTAGCCCACTCCCAATTGTAATCGATGGTGCTTCGAATAAAATAACTTCTTGATAATAAACGAGGTCTTGACAAATGGGTTTTTGGAATTAAAGAAACACTGGATTAAATATTCTCGATACAATTTTAGTTTACAAGACGGACACTATTGGTGGTCGCGTACCACCATCGCACACACACTCTCGCTTTGAGTCCCGCTGTTGGACTGCCGCATAGTTTTCTTGAGCAGCTTGGTCTCGCCCAAGGCTGTAGCCCGATCCGCATCCTGCCCAACGCCAGCCAGCCGCGCCTTCATGGCACGGGCATCCACGTGCGAGATTCCCGGCGCCGAGGAGTTAGAATAAATCACAATCTTCTGAGAACTCAACCTTCCGCCCAGCGAAATAAAAGAAAACGGCAAAACACAATGGCGCTCGCTTGAAATGCGCTTGGTGAAATAAAATAAAAAGACCAGTACAAGAATGGCGCTCGCTTACACAATTTTCCCCCAATTCGGTGTTGATCTTGGGTGAACTATCTCGGGATGTTACGGTACCTTCACACTAAACCTAAGACTCCCAAGTCAGCTGGATAAACCTCGCTATCGTTTAGCCAAAGATCATGCAACTTCCCGAATGGTACGGCAATGGTGCAGCCAGCCATTTCCTTTCGGCAATGAAACTTTTCTTGCAGTGTCAGTCAAGACAGAAAATTAAGAATAAAGTGGTAACCCATATACACAGAGCCACACTAACAGACCAACATGATTTTAAAGAATGTCTCAGTACAGGAACGCATCCCCTGCTGTGCAGCACACACTTTGCTGCAGCTAATGAATTTTCATGGCCACGCACTTCACAGGTGCATCTTTTAGAGTTGTTTGCCTCGTTACGTCAACATGTGAGTCGAACTTGCATGGTTTTCTTGCTTTGTGGCATAATACCTAAGCTACACAGTGGCATTGCATGCATTGACAATGGCACTCTTCCATGCGTGCATGTCACAAATTCTGCCGAGTCTTGGCCAAAATCTTTTTGGAAAGTCCGACAAATGTAAAAGTTTTCCAGGACTGAACTTTTGGATGATTGAACTCATTGCTGCCTTTCAATGCTTTTGAGCATTAGGATTTTCTAAATCTGATGTAAAAAACTATGTTTTGAAACCTTCCCCCAAAAACCGAGAGAAACTAAAGCTTAATTCCTGCACACCAGGAAACGTAACAAGCCAATAATTGGATTCCTCACTTTCTACCTTTGTGAAGAAGAGTGTAACCATTTTAGAATATCGCCGGTTCAGGAGGTTCTGGCACGACAATACGTGAGCATGTGCTCAAGCGAGCACGGTCACTCCCCTTACCAAGCAAGCAAGATCCTGTTGACTTTACAGAGCTGCAGAGGCCTAGATTTGGCCCCCTCAAAGTCTCCTTTGTTCTCATTGTGGCTTATCTTTTTGCCCCAAAGTTTCTTCTAAGATGCTTCTTCCCCTCCTTTCTAATTTACACACTGTTTCTTCAGAATCCTCAAACCCAGATTTCCGCTATGCAGCACCAGGTATTTCCAAAATGGTGGACTGTATAAACACGCAAACTTTTGCCACTTTGCTCTCTGCGTAGCTGCTCCTCTCATATCATCTGCACAACTTCCTGCTCTGCCCTCCCAGTGGAAGTTTGTCCACTCACTTGCAGGACTGGCAGACGACGTCCGACTGGAGGCCCCCCGTGAAGATCTGGTCAATGATGCAGTTGCAGTGGTGTGGATTAGTGCTCGAGATCCCGTTGGTGCCTGAAAATATAAACAAATCGACAACTGAAAGTTACTCGCAAATATCGGAATAGTCAAACAACCCGATCGATCGGTCATCTCCGATGCGCTGAGATGGCACAACTATACTGGGGGACAACTTTTCCTGGCAATGAAGCTAATGCAATGGGCATCTATGCACTCGCATGCCTTGAGCACAGCTGGGCACTTGCAGTCTTCGCTTCTTTTGAAATGCCAGAAAAAAGTTGGTCCCAAGCAGGATTCTCCAAATTTTTTATGGGGTGGCCATAACTACCATGTGAGCAGCGGCGGGGGGAGAGGTTGCAACGCGGCACAATCTGGCTTGCCGACAGAACGCACTTTGCGGCCTTGTGAGTAGCGCCACGCCGTGGCGATAAAACAAAAATCTTTCAGCCTTTCCACTCCGGGGAAGAAGGACGATCAGCGAAGCTGTAGCATGGTGGGACGACCTGAAGGACGACGCCTAGCAGACGACATCTCAGACGATTCAAAGGAAGACATCTAGAACGACTTCTAGGACGATCTTGAAGACGGCACCTAGAGGACGACGCCTAGGACGACCTCAGGGATGACGTCTAGAGTGGCCTCAAGGACGACACCTAGCACGACCTCAGGGATGACGTCTAGGATGACCTCAGGGACGACGTCTAGGATGACTTTAAGGATGACTTCTAGGATGACCTTGAGGACATCTAGGACAAACTCAAGGACGACCTCGAGGATGACTCCTAGGACGACCTCAAGAACAACCTCAAGGATGACGTCCAGGACAGCCTCAAGGACGACGTCTAGGAAGACCCCCAGGATGACTTCAAGGACGGCGCCTAGAGAAATTCAGCCCTTCCACTCCGGTGAAAACCAAAGTGGAAAGGCTGGAAAGGTTGCCAGCATCTATGAGCAACTGTGGCAACTAGACAGCCAACAAGCCGGTTGTCCGGTTGTCGCTCATGGATGGTGGTAGCTGTCCAGATTTTTGTTTCGAGATTTATTTGTCTACGGACACTAAACTGGAGAAACTAGCCCTTAACAGCTCCACTGTAAAATCAGGATGCCTTCAAAACACAAAACAAAAAACCAGGGAAGGAAAGGCGGGGAGTGAGGGAAGAGGCAAAGATAAAAGCAAGCCACAGCGCGAAAAAGCATTGAGCAATAAAAAAAAATTTATCTCGACTCTGCTCTCCGCCTGCAGAGAGAACTGCTGCACAGTGCGCGAGTTTGTTGCATCTTTTTTTGTTTTGTGTGTTACTACTCATCCGAGCACCCCGCTCCCTTCTCACCCTCCCCGCACTGCTGGCGGCGCTCCTCTCTCCTTGTTTGAAGGAGTGGCGCCAAAGTAGGCAACCATTTTGGCTAGCCCACCTTTGCAGTGGCGGTGCAGCACGTCCAGCGTGGCGATGAAGAACTCGTGCGCGTCCTGTTGTTCGTAGCCGGCCAAGTGCCGCGCGTGCGTCCATACCAAGTGGAGCAGCCGGTAGGGAATGTGCGGGGTCGACTTCCCACAGTAGAACTGCACACACGCACACACACCGACACATCCCAATTTCTCAGTCACACGCTCCACCAAAAAGCTTCAGTAGACGCCCGAAGGACATCCCGACTAATAAAAAGACATCCATCTCAGCAACACGTAAATTTCATAACAACCAAAACGCCGAAAGTATGTTTGTTAGTTTCGATTTCTAAGCCCTTTAAGTCTCGGATTGACGAAGCTATACGTTAGGCAGTGCGCAAGACACAAGGCACAACCCGGCTTCGTCGGCGAAATCAACTCTGCTCCTTCGTGTAAGTACAACACCCGGAACGCGTCCCTGCCCAACGCGCTTGTCATCTCGTCTCGCCTGTGCGTCGAAAGTGATCCTTAAGTGGCGACGAACGACGCCAAGTAAACCGGCGTGTCACGTCTCCGGAAGTCACGATTCTGGGGGTCAATGCAACAAGTCCCGGCAGAAAGTACGAGCAAAAAGAGAAGATTGTTCCGTGCCGCTAAACACGTTTCATCTGAATTGCGTTGGCAGGCCTATCACAATATTGCTGACGAGCAATGCCAAAACAGTAAAAAATGCAAAACAAATTTTCTTTAACCATACGCTTCCATCCATGCTTCTTAATAACCCTAAACGATTTTAGAATATTGTCAGCAATAGCGTAACCAAAAATATATCTCTTACTTCTTCTGATGGGATAATTGTGGAACCTGCCCAGTGTGCTTCTGTGTTGAATGATGTCTTTGTTAGATCATTCTCAGCTCTTAGTAACACTTATGTGCCTCCTCTAACTTCTCGGAATTTTTTACCAATGGACCCTATCTTCATTGATGTCATAGGAGTATCTAAGGTAATAGATGTGTTGAAGTGTTCATCAGCCGCAGGTGTTGACGGTATTAACTCTAAATTTCTAAAAAGCACTAAAATGTATTCGGCCATCATTCTTTCTAAACTATTCTCCCAACCACTTGAGTCAGGGTCCATACCTGATGATTGGAAGACAGGGAAGGTGGTACCGTTGCATAAATCAGGTGACAGCCATGACCCATTCAACTACCGTCCCATCTCTCTAACGAGTGTTCCTTGTAAAGTCCTCGAACATATCATCTGCTCCCATTTAGTGTCTTTCCTTGAATCAAATAGTTTCTTCTCGTCCGCTCAACATGGCTTCAGAAGGCCATTTTCATGCGATACTCAATTATTGTCTTTCACTCATGAGCTCCACTCCTTCCTTGATAATGGCTCTAGCACTGACTGTGTTTTCTTAGATTTTTCAAAAGCCTTCGATAAAGTATCCCATAAGCTACTAATCCATAAGCTTCGCACTCTAAACATTGATCCTTATGTGCTTGACTGGATTATCGCCTTTCTATCTCATCGGGTCCAGTTCGTCAACGTAAATAATAATAATTCTCATTTGGTGCCTGTCGATTCCGGTGTACCGCAAGGTTCTGTAATTGGTCCCCTGTTGTTTCTAATTTATATTAATGATCTTGTAACTAATATTTCCTCGCCGATCTGCTTGTTCGCTGACGACTGTGTCCTTTTCCGCAATATAACTGACCATTCTGATGTAATTCATTTGCAATCTGATCTTGACGTCATAGCTCTCTGGTGCAACTCTTGGCAAATGGAACTTAACACTAATAAATGTAAGTCAATGAGAGTATCCCGCTCTAACAGTTTATGTCCTACTTATAGCATTAACAATAAATCCCTTGAGTCTGTTACATGTTATAAATACCTTGGAGTCCATATAACCTCTGACCTTACCTGGAATACACACGTCGAATATGTTGTACGTAATGCTAACCGCACGTTGGGTTACATAAAACGAAACTTTTTTCAAGCCCCTTCTTCTCTTAAACTAACCTTATACAAGTCCTTAGTCCGTCCTAAATTAGAATATGCGTCATCCATATGGGACCCTGGTCACCAAGGTCTTATCAGCAGATTAGAAGCTACACAAAACCGAGCCGTTCGTTTCATCTTATCTAACTATCATCGTACAGCCAGTGTAACATCAATGAAATTAACTTTGTCACTTCCCAGTTTGTCGTCTCGGCGCAAAACAGCTCGTTTATGCCTGTTTCAAAAAATTTATCATCACATCCCATCTCTCCGTTTGAAACTAATGCTCGAGCCCTCTTACCGTTCATCCCGTCTCGACCATATTCACAAGGTAGGCATACCTAATTTTAACACCTTCAAATTCAGCACCTCGTTCATACCTCGCACATCGACTGACTGGAACCACCTTCCCGCTTCTATTGCAGATATTAATGATATTTCACTCTTTAAGCAATCACTTATTAACAGCACCCTTGGTTGATTAATTACGTTTATTTATTGTTTGCTCACTCGCCTCTAAAATGTACTCTGTACCTTGAGGGTAAATAAATAAATAAATAAATAAATAAAGGCGCACTTCGCCGTCATCACTGCATTTCAACTCCGGGTTGCCGAAGATTCCGCAAACCCCTTGAACCGGAGCGGAACGGGCATCCGCCACATCCGCCGCCGCTGCCGCGACGTCGCTGGGATCGTGGCCGGCGGCGACGTGACGACGCTTCCGCGACGTCATCGTCGGGAAAAAATTGTAAATTGAGGGACCACATTCGAGGACACGGCGAGCGCATCGCTGGGGACACGTTCCCAGCGTCGTGACGTGACGAAGGAGACGGCTGCTGCCTCTCACAGACCTCCTGGAAGAGGCGCGACATCTCGCAGACGAGGCACATGGCCGGGTCGTCCTGGAACTGGCAGACGTGGCGGTCGGCGAGGAAGTAGTCGCGCAGCAGCGGGGTGTGCGTCAGGGCCTGCACGATGCAGTTCATGAAGCACGTGTTGCCAAGGTTCATCAGTCCCCGGAGGCCTGCAACGACGGGGCACCCAAAAATAACAGCGTTTGTGCGAGACCTCGACTCATTCTCTGCCGTTCAAAGTTACACGCAAGCTAAACGATGGGGTCTGAAATCAGGATGTGAGGCGTGGAATCAACGGGCGATAATTGCTTTTCGTTGCACTACCGACCGAGCGACGATGAGCATGATCCACTCAATCGCATTGCTCAAACTGTCATCGGAACGGGACAAGGCCGACATTGATGTTTAGAGAAGAATCTCTCAAAATCAGATCTTTTTATACTTTTTTCTGTAAAAAGTGATGGAGGGACTTTTTTCTTACAAACCATTTAAGGGAATGCTTCTGCAGAAAATGTTTCTGAAAAGAATCTCTAAAAATTCTGCCTTTTAGGAATTCTTTCCTTACAAAGCATTCTAGGGATCCTTCCCTTAGAAAATGTTTTTAGGGGTCCTTCCCGAAAATATGTCCCAGGCAAGAATCCTTAAAAATCACACCTTCTAGGGATTCTTCTCCAGGAAAGTTCTAGGAATCCTTCCTTTACACCAAAAATTTTGAGGGATAAAAATAAAGTTATCGGGAAGAATCTTGGAAACATTGCATAATATAAAGGTTCTTTCCCTAAAAGCAATTAGGGATCCTTTCCATACAAGGAGGGTTTAGGGATTCTTCAAAAAGGAAAGACATCTTCAAGGGAAGAATCCCTAAAAATCCTTTCAAGAACTCTTTCCAAGTTCCAGGGATAATTCCCTTACAAAGCGCTTTTAGAGATTCTTTCCTACAAAATGTTTCTAGGAACAATCTCTAGACCACCGTTCTGGTTTGTCTTTCCTATAAAAGAAAATGAAAAAGCATGCAGGGGTCAACCCTGTCCTCTTTCGAGAGAGAGGGGGGAATATCTTTAAAGGGACCCTGCAAGGACTTTTTTACTGGTTTTTAATTTGCACCGAACCTGAGCGCACTGAACGTAATAACTTAGTGAACCTTTCCTTTTCTCGAAATTCGCTTTAGTTTAAAAGTTATAGGCAAATTAAGATTACAAAAACAAGCCAAAAATAACCTCCCTCATGACGTCCTTGGTTGCTTGAGTGGCCGTGAACTAGAGGAGGGGTAGTGAGCTCATCGAGCGCTCACGGCTGCCGCACTCCGTGTTGACGGCGCAAGAGGGCGCCACTAAAGCATGTTCTGGACAGGCTGTATGCAGCAGGCAGCCAGAGCGGCTCTCAATGCATTTGCTGAGTGATTTAACACTAATTCGGCATGACACTTCAGTGGCCACAAACGACAGCAAACACGGGGTAAAGATCAGTTCAGGATGGGAGCCACTTCGCGCTGCCATACCGCGAAACGGCCAAACCATAAGACAAAGCTTCTCGCCGAAGGCCTTCGGAACGCTCGGAGCCGGTCGGATCCTCCTGTCCATACAACCGCAGCGCCGCCGCGTACATCCGGGACCTTTCCGTGTCGGCGCCTGATCCCACTACTCCTTTCTAGTATGCGCCGCCTTTTCAACCGCTTGGTGGCGGGTATGTCGACGGGCCATTTCTTGTTTCCGTACTTTATAAACTGCATTAGTTTCTTTTCTGATCTAAAATACTGAACAAAAACTACTTTTATAAATAAATGAAACAGTTTGCGCCACTTATATTTTGTATTTCGACTAGAAAGAAACTTTTAGCGGCTCTGACCAGTAGTAAGCCCAGGACCAAAGACGTCACATTTTGCGAGCTTTTGGTACCGCGGGTCCCCTTTGTCGGTGCAGGAGGTTTCCGCGTCGTCCGGTTAAAATATGACGCACTGATATTTAGTTTCTTTCTCCATGCCCGCTGGCTTGCCAGAACCCCAAGAGACGTGGAAACCGCAAAAAAGGTAGACGCTTAAATATGATTGAAGGGCCCCTTTAAGGAAGTTAAGGCACGAGGACGTGTCTCACCTATGTAAGAATTGTTGCAGATGCGCTTCCTTCGAGGATTTCGACGCAGGAGATCGAGCTCGAAGCTCGTGGGCTCCCAGTGGTGATAGTACTCTTTAAGACCTGCCGCAGAAAGGAAAACAACTATCACGTGAGGCAACAATGGCAAATGACCCCCAGATCTATAGGATTACTCCTGTATCTATGGCTTATAGGCATACCAGTTAAAAATCGGTTTGTTCATAATAGCCAGAACATAAGCCTTGATAGTGCGGTATGTTAAAGTGATAAAACCCGAGGTTATCCCGCACAAAGCAAAGAGAAACGGCGTTGTCAGTCAGCGGTGTGTTCGATATGGCAAAACCAGAGGCAGGGAAACAAAACTTCGCCTTCGGCACTTCTGCCACTAGCACGTCTTTTCCAAAAGAAAAGCCCCTTTCAGTAAAGTAGAAATTTGGGCTAGTTGGTTCATGATCAGTAAGTACAGCGGCAAAAAACGACAGGACAAAGACGAGAGTAAACAGGACGAGGCGCACTCGCAACTAAAGTTTCCTTAGGAAAAAACCCACAATATATAGGCCGTTAAAAACGCAAATTCATCCCATCAATCCAGAAGACCTCTTGATAAAATCAAACTCTTTCCCTGAGAGGGCAAGGGAAGGCTCGCCAACGCAGTCCTCTCCCTTTGCTCTAATCTGAAACGCCTCGTGCACTTCTCGGCATATTTTATCTTTATATTTCGCCAGAACCTTCACATCATGCAAAACTGGTGAGCACGGGCAGCGACTACAATGAACAGCTAGATTACCAGACGGGCTTGCTCTCATAGCTGCCGCATGTTCCCGTGCACGATCATTGACACATCTGCCAGTCTGGCCGATGTACACGGAGCCGCAAGTCAGCGGAATTTCGTAAACCACTCCGACGGCACACTCAGCAAATTTGGTTTTGTGTTTTGTGCCGCACTGCTCCATGTCTGTTTGGGGATTATTGATTCTACGGCACAAGCGTGCCATCTTTTCCGGAGCTGAAAATACTACGGGTACTCTAAACCGCTGTGCAACTTTCTTTAAATTATGGGACATGGCATGCAAGTACGGAATAATTAACGGTCTCGTTTTTGGCCTCTCTCTTGCCCGATTAGTTGCCCCTTTGAATTTTTTTAAACAATCCTTCCGCAACCTCAGTCAGCACAGAATGTTCACAAGATTGTTTTAGGGCCATCTCTAAACACGTGCTAGCAATGCCCCTTTTTACTAATTTTGAATGGGCAGACTCGTATGGCAGGATGCATTTCTTAGATCTTGGCTCGTACGCCCAACGTATGTGGCTCTCCAGAAAGCGTATTTTAAGGTCAAGGAACTGTAGTGTCCCTTCTACCGGCTTCTCGTGCGTAAACCTCAGACCTCCGGAACACGAGGAAAACACATCGAGCATCTGGGTTACAACACCATCCAGCGATCGCTCTGCCAATTCGCTGAACACAAGGTAATCATCAACGTACCTATAAATCTTTATGCTGTTGTCGTGCCCCAGCTTCTCGGCAATAGTGTTGTCACTATTGCCGAGACTGTTGTCGTTTTATCTGTCGCACACGTATGTTTCCTTTCAAGGTGATATGTATGTCCAAAAGAAGAGCATTTGTATTGGGTCGTGTGTCGCGCCGGTGCTATCCGACATTTTTTTAAGCCAATGTTGTGTCCGCAATCAGAGCGCGTCGTTACAGGTTCACTTGGGGCAACGATGCAGTGCCTAGAATGTGCGTACAAATTGATGCGTCTGCAGCGTCTTCACCATTTCCTCGATTTCACTCTGGTCTCGCCACAACCGCATAACACTGCAATCGGGGCAGTGCCACAGCAACGAAAGTGGATATGCAAATACGTGCCAACCCCCATTTGACTCTGCGACCGTCCAGTTAGCGCATACTCTGGTGGCCATAAGCCGGAACATTGCAAATACATTGATGCTGCTCGGTTTCTTCGACGGCGTTTCCACAACCGGCTGCCGCGATTGTGAAAACTTGTACCATTATCATGCAAGGACTCATTTTCGTTGCCATTTTGGGATGCTAGATTTCGCGTTGGACAAAAACGCGTTCCAGACGCCATGCTCATACCCTGGCTCTTGAAACCGCGACCCATTCGACGCACCCAATAGGACGGCGGAAGATACGACGAACGCACCTAATAGCCTGGCGCACCGGCGGCGATGCTTGCGCGCCATTGCTTCCAGCTCCCGGTCGTAGACGTAGTCGGCGCAGGTGAAGCAGTACACCACGCCGTACGAGATGTCCACCGCTGTGGAGGGATGCAACCACCACCAACACCCTTTCAACACTGCACTCACGCTGCTGGACGACGAAGCAAAATCTGGCAAACAGGGTGTGACGGCGGCGGACGCGGAAATGGTGGAGGTTGCCACTGCCTTCCACAATACAATAGACTCTCGGTGATTTGAAGTACCCTTAAAAGGGCACTAAAGTGCTTTCTTAAATCCTTGTTTTTTTGTCGTAACTCAATCTACAAGCTCTAAGCATCCTAAAAAAACCCAAAATTACATTCATGCACGGCCGATCTGTGCAATAAAAAAGTGACGAAAGACACCAACACTTACCATTGCCGCAGAACGACACATGGCGCTACCAAACCTTGCTGAACATGGCCAAACGACGAACAGCGCTTGTCAGCCACTCGTGAGCGATGGGTTCCCGCATGGACGAGCGGCCGACCAGTCCCACCATATTCAGCAAGATTTGATAGCACCATCTGTCGGTCTGTGCCAACACTAAGTGTTGAAAACTTTGATCACTTTTTTAATATGAAAATTGCGTACGCATGTGTGTAATTTTGTTTTCTTTAGGGTGCTTGGAACTCGTAGATTGTGTTATGACCACAAAACGAGGATCTCAAAATGCGCTTTAGTGCACCCTTAATTCAAAGAATGTTTTTAACAGCTTTGAAATGTTGTGAGTCGACTGTAGCGCGCATTTGACTACTAGGCTATTTCTAAGCTCTGAACACTGATATTTAGATGCAGAAAACAGGGTTTTACTGATTTTCAAATAAACTTATCGATGGGTCTTCAATGACACATTGAAAGTTGCTCTCGGAACCCAACAGCCACAGCATCCCATTTTTGAAGAGCAAGACTGCTTTCGAGGGCATTTCACTGCCCTAAAGCGACAAAACTATTTGATGCTCCAAATGGTGTATGAAGAAAAAGTATAGCTTACATCATCTCAATGAAGTACAGACAAAACAATGAATTATAGGAACAGCTGAAGAGGATGCTCTTATTCCCTGAACCTTCCTCACCTACACAGAGTAGCCAACCAGGACTATTCGCCTAAGATAAATTATCTGTTTCTTTGTTGTTGTTTTTTTCATTTTCTGATTCCCCCCCCCCCCCCTTTTTTTTTTTTAAACACAATAGCAACCTATTTGACTGTCGCGACTGAAATTCCGGGATCCTCAAGGCCTCAAACCTGGCAACAAGTTTCAGACAAACGAATCTCCCTAGGTATGTTTCTGGAAGACTCTCGAGGTGGAACTGCCATTGTGGCGGCCATTTAGACACACCTAGGACATGCTGGTTGGTGCGAGCGTGCTCGTGGATGTGTCTGTTGCTGTAACAGCCAAAGTAGACGCACTGCAGGCAAGCGTGGAGGCGGGGACCTCTGGCATGGCACGCATGGCACTTGCACAGTTGGGCCTACAAACAAGAGACATATTTTGATTTATTTCAAATACACAGATAAATACAAATACAAGACAAAATAAGTAGGTTGAAAATTTTGCAGTACTTGAGCGATGAAATTTATGAACTATGCTATTTATGAGAAACGGACGCTTATAACAGCAACAAAATTATTTCAAGCACCCCCCCCCCCCCCCCAAAAAAAAAGATGTGTAAAAACAAAAGAGGAAATATGTATGTAGATTGTAAGTGTCCCAGTGCATTGCATTCTCTTGTCGCAAGTGACCACAAGCGAGCACAGCGCATTCTGTCGCTCAAATGCGGATGTGCGTATGGGCCTTTATGGTGAAACCGTTGGATGCTCAAAGGTCATGGAAGCTCCCTAACTGCGACTCGTGTTTGGCAGGCGGCGTACGGAATCCAAGGCCGTCAAAAGGAATCGCCGTACGCATGTTTTAGCAGACAGTAGCATGCATATCTTAAAACAGCACCTCGGCATACATTAGCATTGACATAGCCACAAATATTTTTCGGGGAGGGGGGGCTGAGGTGGTTCGGCTGGGACGTCCATGACTTGGGATGCGGAGGAGGGGGTTTTAAATGTATGTGTATATTTAATAGGATTGGTGGGATGTCGGGGGTGGGAGGGGGGGGGGGGGGGGGGGGGTGTTGAAGCTTGATAAGCCTCTCTCCTGCCTGAGCCACTGATTTGAAGGACTAGAGATGATGGGGGTAAATTGTGCAAACCTACATACACCAAGAACAATCTATTTTAAAAGCAAGAGAACACTTCAAAGACAAGGAAGATAGGTAACTGTTTTTTGACGAAAATAATCCGGGGAGAAGGGGAACAGAGGACAAACACAAAACTACAAACACAGCTAGGTGACTGGTGCGCGACTGAAAATATCCGCCTGGTCGCACCAGTCACCTAGCTGTGTTTGGAGTCTTGTGTTTGTCCTCTGTTCCCCTTGCTCCCTTCTCCAGGGATTATTTTCGTCATTCCTGTCCAGCTCGCTTGCACCTTTGCGTTTAAGTGCACTATCATTATAACTGTGTTTATTTTTTTATTTAATATTTTTAGAATGTTTTATTGAGTTGTTTGCTATGACCCAACCAGACAATCATAACACACAGATGAGACAAAAAAAGTTGCAGGAAACCATGCAAAGTTAACAGCAATGTCATGGGGCTGTCATACAATTAACATTCATCGCTAGTTTTCCTGTTGCCACCATACCTAGTTCTGTAGTGGCCACATGATAACATCAAACTTCTTGCTTGCAGCATGAGATAGGTAATGGAGTTAAAGTGATTTGGCAGGTATTTTTATGTTTCCATGCACCTTCTGTTCATGCTGAAACAGGTTTCTTCTGTTCTCAATTCAAAATTAAATTCTATCAAGAAAAAAAAAAAACATTTTTTTTTGCAGTTTTATTTTAGAAAACAACAACACTCTGTTGAAAACGTTTCCAAACAACAAACGAATGAGAAAATCAAGGATTTTTAGGTAGACATTCAACCCCACTCTTTGTTACGCTCCTGAAAAAGCTGTGAAAAAGAAAACAAAAAAAGTAGAGACAGCGCAGTGAAGAGAGAAAACCACTTTGCCCTCGCGACCGGCTCACGTCAAGTTCACGGTCAGCGAAAGGAAGCAACGACCTCGCGTTAGACCGCGACACAAAAACAGCAAAACGACACCCGCCAGCTATTAAAGAACAGACTAGTACTAATTATTTACACGGCCAGTTATCGATGCGATTCCCGACAAGCACCTATTAAATAAGACAAAAATGGAAGGGGCCGGGTCGCACTGCGGATGAAAGATGCGGCATTCACCGACCGGCATCTCCATCAAACGTGATCTAATAAGGACTGATTCTTCGCCGCTGAGAGGTTTCAACGGTATTACGGTCTTTAAACGACGAGAACGGGAAGGTAGTCCGCGACACGACGGACTACAAAATGAATCGCACGACGCCGGCGTGCCGCGTCTCGCGTGGAACACCGCGAACCGGCCGGTCTTGGATGGGGACGCTTTTTAATCCGACCCGCGGGATTAGCGGGGATTATCGAGGAGGCATCGTTCCCACCTTCTTTGTCCTGGCGTCCTTGGAAACGCAGCAGACGAAGTACGAGTGGATCAGCCGGTAGGCCTGAGTACCCTTGGCGTCTTTGAGACTTGTCAGATGCGGGCAGCCATGTGCGCTCATGTCGCTCAACTTGTTGGACGGCGGCGGCGGAGATGGAAAATCTGTCCGTTGCTCTCTAATCCGGAGATCAGTCAGCGCATGGCAACCGGCAAGCGTCTGCACCAGTCCCACGGGACAAAGGGAAGGGGAAATCCGACACAAGTGTGCGCGATTACCTCGAAATCCCCCCCAAAAAAGAAAGGCGAAATACAGACGCACTCCGCGAACACACACCACCGCCACCGTCAAAAGAAAAAAAAAAACAAAAAAACTTGTAAATAAAAAATAATAAAAAAAAAAATTGTGTGCGTTCATTTATTTGTTTTACGATCAGAGTGCTAGGTGTCATAACCTACGTTGGGCAGAAACTAAAATGTGACGTCAAACGGTTTAATTTAGTTGTTTTTGTTTTTGCCGAGTAAAGTAAACAAAAAGACAGCTGAGAACGATGCATGCTTGCACTGCACGAACAAGCTAGGGGTTTCAGGGAGGGGGGGCGGGGGGGGGGGGGGGGGGGGGGGCATAATAGAGTTATTATAAGAACTCTGCACTGAACGCAACGAGGCAGACTGAACGCGAGTTAATTCTGACGCAAGTTTTGACGTTGTCTGCTGTCATTCCGGTAGCAGACGAGAGGGAGCAAGCAAAATGTCCAAAAGCGTTTATGTACATACTTCTTGGTTATGGTGGTGAACCTTTGAGTTAAGAAGTAACTATATGACGCAGTTTTTGTTCTGCGGACATTATTCCGCGTATCAATCGGTAGAAACAAGGCCAACAACGGACGACCACCGATATTTTGTGTCAGGACTATGACTATGACGCCCTTTAGAAGATAACCAACCCATGCAGAGATGCAGAGAGAGAGAGAGAGAGAGAGAGAGAGAGGGGGGGGGGGAGATTGTTCGGAGAGGGAAGACCGAGATGCCATGGCAGTCAATGTCCCTCAAATCAATAAAAAATCATGCACTACCTGAGTATGCAAGCAGAGAGAGAGAGAGATTGTTCGGAGAGGGAAGACCGAGATGTCAAATGTATTTGAAGATGCCATGACAGTCAATGTCCCTCGTGAGCATGCAAGCAGCAGCAGAGAGAGAGAGAGAGAGAGAGAGATTGTTCGGAGAGGGAAGACCGAGATGTCAAATGTATTTGGAGATGTCATGGCCAGTCAATGTCCGCCCAATCAATAAAAAAAAATCATGAGCATGCAAGCAGCAGCAGAGAGAGAGAGATATTGTTCGGAGAGGGAAAACCGAGATGTCAAATGTATTTGGAGATATCATGGACAGTCAATGTCCCTCAAATCAATAAAAAAAAAAAAAAATCATGCACTACTTGAGTATGCAAGCACAGTTTCCAGTGGAAGGATGTGGTCCGAAAACTACAATTGCTGACATTATATGTAGAAGGATAATTAAACAACAGGCAATGAACACGATAGAATACAAAAAGAAGCTGGTTATGAATTAACAATTAATGCTAGGGCGCAAACGAGCTGGTGATGGTTGAACATGACGGACAAAGGGACACAAACTTCCAAATCCTCGAAAAAGGCTGTTGCTCCCCCCTCTTTCCACATACACAGACGTTGGTCCCCCTCCTGCCTGCACCCCTAGCCATCTCTTTCCACTTTTGCGCCACCTCTCCAAACCAGATATCGTCTGCTCTCCACATGGACTGCTTCAACGGCTTCAACTGCCGCGCGTTTCTCCAGACAAAGCGTCTGGAAACCAGAATATTTTTGGTTTTCGTTCAAATGACAAATTAAATTTTATGTAAATAAACTATTACTACACACACTTACATCATGAAACCAATCAGACATCTTGCATCACGAAACCAATCAGTGCGACAGAAATAACGACATCGGCCGGGTCCTGAGCTACCGATGCTGTGGCTCAGTGGTACGAGGCGTCCTCCTCGGCATCGGGAGGTCGTGAGTTCGCTGCCCGTCGGCGCACGCGGTGGCGCGCATCGCGCGCACGCTGCAACGCGCGAGGCATCCGGGCGACACCGGCCCGCGCTACCCCGACGCGTGTCATGGCTGGTCAAGTCAGGGTCTATGGCCCCCATGACATCGGGCACAGTGGCGGGCGCTGCCTAGGCGCCGGGTTCTCCGAGCGACCACCACTGGGAAGGCGAAGGGGGCCACACTCGGCCGACGTTCCGGCTATGGGATGGTGGGGGACCCTCCCGGGACTAGCCCCGACTCGCACCCCTGGATCGATCAGGCCCGGTCCTCTGAAGTGGTCGCCAGAGTTGAGAGCGCCAAGTATCTCCGGTTGCGGTGCGGTGGGCAACACCCGAGTATCCCCTTCCCTTTTTTTTTTTCTCTCTTTTTATATAATAGGCATGAAGGACGAACAAAACAACAGTTCGAAGTGAGCACTCGCCGTCTTCGCTTGATATTAATTAATTTTATGGCGCTCTGAAGTCTGGCGCTCTCAACCCTTAACCCAAAATTGTCGTTGAAAAAAGAAATGTCTTTTTAGGTCAAAGGAAAAGACACACGAGAGGGATGTCTCGTTGCTCTACCGTGTATTTAGTGCGAAGAAAGAAAGTGGTCCAGACCCCAGAAGACACGTAACAATAAAAAAAAAAAAAATGAAACAAGGAAACAAATGGGGCGTATACGCACCACGTGATGGTGGTGTGTCTGTCCCTTTTGTTTTCTTGTCTCAAGGTTTTTAATTCTTAATTATGATTGTTCGCCTCATGGCCCGCCCAGGATTTTCGTCTGGGGGGTCCTGGAAAATTTGACTTAGCCGCGGCGGGCTTGGGCGGGCCCGGGGTGCGATGCCGCACGTGCAACTCGCAAATCAACCAGTTTCGGAATTGTTTTGCCGGCACAGATTGTCATGATCGTGTAGTTACCATGAGCTGAATTATTCGCGGGACCAATTTTTCTTGATTATTTCGAAATCGCGAAATTGGCGAAACGTAGGCAAGGTACCGCATACTACGTTTCACGTAGCTTCACAGACAACCAAAGCTACAGCTCCTGCGACCAAGAGCGAGCTGTCAGAGCCAACAACGTATCCTCCCAGGGCTGTATTGTCGCATGGCCGCGCCTCCCTAGGCCATCGTGTATGAAGAGAAAACTCGGCTACCCAAAACCAAAAAAAGCATGATAATAAAAAAAAATAGTAATGTATTTATTTGAAAATTATTAAGATCATCGACCTAAATACCCAGAGAGAAATTGCAATCTAATTTGATAAATTGAATCCCAGCCTCTTGTTCACCAGCTCGCACGCGTTTCAGGTTGCATATTCCACCACCATTTCTGTCAACCTTTATCCATCTAACAGAAACCTACTCCTTCTTAAACCTTTAAAAATGAGAGAGGAACTCGTACATGATTTGGACTTCTGAGTTTGATGCAGGACACCGCGCGACTGTTCATGTTGTTCAGACGCCATTTCAAATATTCGCGGGTTCTTGTGGGCCTACAGTAACCGCCTCAAGATGGCACTATTATGGCTCTGGTTTTTACCAATACAAAATACATAACGAAATTCAATATATTAGTCCTAGTTTATTTATATATCTTGAGAATAGAGCAATAAAGTTATCATTCTCATAAAACTTATTAAAAACAATACAATTGAGTGTTTAGTTGCATCATGCTGGCTAGATGACGCTACATGCCGCCAAATTTCAAAACGCTTGTGTTTCGTTTTTGCCGTTGATCTTTCTATCGCAAACCTCCTTGATCGCAAACCACTGTCGCAAACCATCGCAACATCAAAACAATGGCAGCCGCCGCCGACCTCAAACTTGAAAGCTCCAGGCTGGAGGAAAAGGTACGCGGACACTTGTTACCCTGCGAAATCAAGCACCGTGGCGCCGCCAAAGTGTCGTCCTTCTTCGAGCCTTTCGTCGAGCCCGTGCAAGACTCCAAGGACGTGCTCAAAGCGTCGTTCAGGGGACGACCCCTCATAGGCCGGCAAGTGCCGGTTCCTCCAGACTTCGCTGGCGTCGTCTTCAAGACAGCAGCCACGGACTCGGATTCCAAGTCGCTCTACGCTTCGGGCAGGTTCGACGAGTTCGTCTGCTGGAACTGGAGCACGGCCCCTTCGAACAACGACAAGGTCGCGCAACTGGACGACTGGGTCGCGGTGGCGAACGCGCTTCACGCAAACTCTGACGGGTAGCTGTACCCCATCATCATTCAACATGACATCGTTTTGTTTCTTCGTGGTTACGAGAGTTGTCGCTCACTAACGAATTCACTAACTTGACATGGTGCAACTAAATAGTGCTGTGTGCACGTTTGTTCAGTGAACCCAGGCATCTTGGGTTTAATCCTTACCCCTGCCCGTTTCGATCTGGATGAGCATCGTACCGACGTGCGGTCGTGTATCACTACTGCGTGATGCACGTTAGAGGCCCCGGGCTAGCGGTTGTGCTGCACTGGGAAAATCTCATCTACAGCAGTGATACAAGACGCCCATTGAGGCTGGCCAAGGTCTCGCTGTCTAAACCAACACACACTTTAGACAGCGGGAAGTTCGTCAGCTCCAATGGGCGCCTCGTGCCTCAGCTATAGATGAGGAATTTTGACGGTGCAGTACCTCTGCTAGCCTGGGTTCTTCAACGTGCATCGCCCAGTGGTAATGCACGGCCACGTGCCGGCCCAGGATCCCTGGATTCTGCAGCCCGAGCTTTTGCTCCACGTGTTCCAAGCTAATGTGCACCGACTCACTCGACCACTGATTCTCCCCTTTCCCATTCCAACCTTACAGACTCTAACCACAGAAGTCCATGGCTCTAGAAACATGTTCCAATATCACAACGAAAGCACCAGACCGCTTAGACAAACTCTTGGCACAGAACATTGGCGTCTTACAACATGCAGTGTCCAGTCTGCTTTCACTCTGTTGACGTTTGTCACCCTAAGCTATGCTTGCGGATGTGGTTGTTCCAGCTGATCTGGCCCAGCCGGACACGGTTGCCCTCGAAGCGAACCACGGTATGTCTGACAACACTGACTGCACCCAGGATTGATTGCAGAAGGAAAGCAAGTTGGCTTAGAAGGGCAAAGTCATACTTTTGGTTTGTAGTTTCTAGGCTAGGTGGTGCAAGGTACTGCCCGATATAAAGGGTACAGTTGTTAGCATTAGGTCCACAGATTTTGACCATTCATTAAGAAGTATAGGAGGCAAATGAGGAGGTGCCGTTCGTCGAAAGCAGGCTGGGCGTGTTCCAGGGCGTCTTCACATATTCAAATGTGTCCAGCCAGGAGCTGCAACCGTCCTGGCGGTGGTTGCGATAAACAAAATAACTGCGTCAGAGTAACTCTCGGTGACTGAAAATATGCTGCATGTGATTTTCCAATCATGGTCATGCAAAATTAAAATCTAGAAGAATGATTGACATGATCCGTATGCCAGGCGCCGAGGGCTGGGAAACTGCCGTCTGAGTGGTCAGACTCCAATCAAGCAAAACGGGAGTTTGAGCGGCACATTCGAATCGCATCTTTTTGCATGATCATAGTCGAGACATTACGTGCACTATATTTTCAACCATGAAGAGTTACTTCATTTTACTCTTACGCACCTATTAAAAGTGTTTATCACTATCACCGCCAGGGGATTATTTTCGGCTTATGGTTAGCCAAGAGAGCAGATCAAGCCTTCTGTCTGCGTCTCGTGCATGCCCTGGCTCTGCCCGCTCCTTCCATTGACCAAGCTCTCTCTATAGACCGACACGCCTCTGTTTACCAGCACGGCCGGAAGGCCGCGCATGCGCGGAAGCTGTGTGGGCAAAAGTGGCTCGGCTCTTTTTGTTTTCGCCACTGCGTTGTGTGGCGTGCGCTCGCTGTTGACGTTGTAGGGACGGTTTTAGCTTTATTTGTGCGTCGTATTTCCTGACAACGTATGTCGTATGCTATGCCCGACCATTTGAGCTCACTACCCGAGCCTGAACGGCAGCGGTATCGAAACAAACTTTGCTTGGACGGCGTTGCCTTCAAAGATCTGTACGCCGCAAACAAGGCCTGCTGGAGTTCCGACGTGAAGTTGCTGCCACGGACGTCGATGGCTCACATCGTCATTTATTTAGTTTTTTCTCCAAGCCTGTTCACGGCCGACACGGTGCAGGCGTACAAGTCTCTCGAGGCCTATGATTACTTTGAGCCGGTTTCCGCACTGCCGGCGGGATCGGCAGACTGGGTCTGCATTTATTAGTTCATTAAATTCACACAGCGTCTTCGAGTCAAGGTATGATATTTTTCCTACCTTCATGACCACAAGGCATGACAAGCAGTAACGCTTTGTCCGTTCTGCAGTCTTGGCGGTAACACGTTGCAAGTCAATGAAAAAACGTTTAAAGTGCAGGCGAGCTGGTGTAAGTTATACATGATGATTGAAAACCTGAGACTGTGGTTTGAAAAAGAGAAAATCGTGAAGATTTTCTGTTTTTCAAACCAGTCCCAGGTTTTCAATCATCCTGTATAACGTTACAAGTAACGGCATTACCAGGAACACGTTACTTTTTTCAGTGACGTAGTAACCTACTCGTTACTTTTTCCACACAGTAACGAGTAACATACTTACGTTACTATTTCAAGTAAAGTAGTTACGTCACTCGTTACTACTTTCCAAGTCTTAAAGAAATTACACTCAATTTTTTTTGTGTTTTTAGGCGTCAAGCCATGTGAATTTCTGCGTTTTTCTTTGCGTTTTTTCTCGTATCTAGGCGACACCGTAAAAAGAGATAAAGTAATTATGTTCAGTTTCTGCATAAACATAATATTTCTTGATATATCAGTTTATGCATACCTGTATCGTCCAAACAGTAAAAAGGGTTAAATCATAATTTAAAAAGTGACGCAGCAGTAACGTGTGTTACTTTTTATCGGTAACCCATTCCTTTTATTTTTAGGTAACGTAGTGGGGTAACGCATTAATTTTATTCGCAAGTAGGGAGTAACGTATTTCGTTACATTTTTTTCGGTAACGCCTACAACACTGCTGTTCTGTCGCCGATCCCCTTCTGTTTGGTAGCACTACGGTGCCTGGAACGCATCTCCGACTCCGACTGGTGTGTTTACCGGGTTCAAAAAAGTGGTCCCTCGATTTCCGCCTGATGACGTCGTAGAAGTGTCATGCTGTCGCCGGTCGCGACTCTGGTGGCGTCTCAGCAGCTGTGGTGGATGTGGCAGACGCCTGTTCTGCTGCAGGTCGCTCTTCACTTCGACAGTCCACGGAAGCTAAAGCAGGCGGAAGTTGGGACGCCTGGAACGCCGTGACGACAGCGACACTTGCGTTCGCCTGTGGTTTTCGACAGCATTTCTATGACCAACCGCCAGGATCGCAACATGCAACAGCATGACACTCCGGTTTTTGTGACGTCATTTGTTGCCACTTTGGGACCACTTTTGATGTATGGGCGGGATAGGACGCTAAACACACCAGTCGGAGACGTGCTCCAGGCACCATAGTAGCACGGGCGTAGCGAGCCTCCGACGAGTGCTTGGCTGGTGCTTTGTGCGCGAACACCGTGGGAATGAAATCCCGGAGGTCTCGATCAGACGACGGTTTTCCTGCACATAAGCAAGCCTCATGACGGAGATTGAAATGGAAGCCACACTTGCGTTCAAGAAAGTGTTAGCCGTACGAACGGTCGTACGCGCAAGGCGACTATTATTTTCGATCCACGGATATTCTCCACCTTCTGCACCTTTCAGAGTCAGCCGGGAACTTGGGGAAACTCACCCCGCTACTTTTGCTGTACCTTTCGGTGCAACTAACGGCTACAGAGCTTCGCGGCATGCTGAAATGCTACGACGCCCATGCAAAACGAGCGCCCTTTTGCCCACACCACACGGCTCCGGCGCGATCGCAGCGCCGCCGCAGCCCTGGGACGTCAAGGCCGCGTGTCGGTCTACATACAGCTCTGGTTAGCATCCATCCATACATCGGTTGAGGTAGCGCAGGTAGGGCGCCTGAAATGCGTCTCCCACTGGTCTGTTTACCAGGTCCAAAAATCTAGTCTTCGATTTCCGCCTGACGACGTCACAAAAGTGTCACACTGTCGCCCGCCGCAATCCGGGTGGTGTCATAGCAGCGGGGTTGAATGTGGCAGACACCTGTTCCGCTGCAGGTTGCCTTCCAGCTCGACAATTCATGGTAGCTGGGAGTTGGGACGTCGCAATGATGGCGCCACTTGCGTTCGCTCGTGCTTTTTGCCACAACTTCTACGACCAACCGCAGGGATCGCGATGCTTGACGGCGTGACACTGGCTTTTGCGCCATCATTTCTTGCCGCTTTGGGACCACTTTCGATGCGCGGGCGGAGTGGGAAGCCGAACACAGGTCGGAGACGTGCTCCAGGCACCATAGTTGAGCAGGCGTTTCTCTTCCATTATCCTCTCTATGGCCTGCTTCTCGAACTTATCAGCAAGCTCCTGCACTTTCTCTACCAGGGCTCTTTGCACCCTTTTCAAAGACATCCGCCTGCAAAGGGCCTGCTGTGCGATCCCATCACCGGCTGCACAGCAAGGTGGTGCGGCGACAGGTTTTCCCACATCAGCCTCCTGCAGTTTGTGGTTGAAATTGTAATTCCGACTCCACGTCAGTGAAAACCGTAGATTCTGGCATGCTACACCACGGTCATAACTAAGGCACGATAGCTGCGACGCGAGTGTTTTTTTTTTTGCTCCGTGCATAGCGCTACGACTAAACCTACTTGGTGAGAACTAGAGGAATGGTGAATGGGCCTACAGTCGATGAGAGGGACTCTGGGGAAGCTGGGAAGAGCTTCCTCCGAACCACCGATGGAAAGGAAAAGATGAGAATGCGCGGGGACGTCTGAATGACAAGCTTTGATTGGAAATCCTAGCGGGTAGATGCGAAGCTAGCCGTCTTTCTCTCGACTCGCTGTTTGAGCACGAACACAGGACGCCGGCATTCGGCAAACGAAAGCGTAGGAAGAGCAAGTAGAGACAGAGGCAGCTAACTTTGAGTCCACCCACTAATCATTCCAACCAGAGCCCGGCGTTCCGACTTCCTCGTGCTCTTGCCTCCCTCTGCTTCTCCTCGCATAGCTAATGCCTTTTTTTAGATAGTGTTACTAAATTTTTATGTCGACGCTAAAAACTTATCGAAACTGGGAGATTATAACCTGTGCGGTGAAGGGCCGTGCCAGATCGTACAAATGATTGCTCATATTCTAAACCTAGGGTACAAATGCCAGTTAGAAGGTTTTAGTTGGTGTAAGACACATGTCCAAATTTCTAGGGAAAATGGTGTTGCAAACGCATCGTACCCTCAGTCCAATGTCCGCGAACGCTCGTAGAGGTGGTTTGGCCGCAGTGCTTTGATGTACGTGGGAACGGTAACTTTACAGGGGTTAATAAGAAAAGTTTAGGTCTAATAAAAAAGTATTTATGGAGAGGGTGACGTTTTAATTTACAATACTCGAGAATATCGCGGCGCTTCGTTACAAGAAGGAGAACTGATCGGAATTAAAGCGAGAATGCAGGCGAGCAGGTTCAAAAGAGGAGCTCCAGCAGTTTCTCGGGCCACCCCGTCCAAACACATTTTCGGAATAGTCACATATTTACTCTTCTCAGCACGCCATTTATTTATTTTAAATTGTGAACAGCAAAGTGGTTAGGTGGGCTAGTTGGTTCATAGTCTTTAAAAAGTAATAGCGCCGAAAACAAAGACAGGGACGAAGAAGTGAACGAACACAAGGCACTGTGTTCAATCACTTCAACAAGCACAAGGTGCCAAAACAGCCATAGAGAAAACAGAAAGTGAAGGTCACGCCAGGACCAGCATTAACGTCTTCCCACACTCCCCGGTGGGGAAGCGGGCAGTCTAGGAGACGCAGCATTTGCACATTTTTAGGGGCGAAGCTCCTTAGGGTCTAGACTTGTCCGTCCCTCCATCGTCCATGCTCACATAAAAAGAAAAAATGTTTGCGCAGTCGACAGGATTCGAACCTGAGCGGGGAGACCCCAATGGATTTCTAGTCCATCGCCTTAACCACTTGGCTACGACTGCGGGACGAGTAGGGGGCTGTGAGATGTGGTAGTAACTCAAGAGCTGGGGTTTCTGTCATGGATAAAACATTGCCGGTAGCCGCTCAACGTCCATACAGGAGAGGGCACTGCGGTCAAATGCATATATAATCGCGTTAAACTTTGCATGCATTGGCTCAAAGTTTATAGATGAAAGGGCACTGCGGTCAAATGCTCAAACGCGTACATAACCACGTTCCATACCACACATTCTCTTTCTGACATGGACCATTGACTTCAGCGGTGGAGATGCATTCCCACGGCTTCTAGCGGATCCAAGCTGATCCGCTAGAACCACTAGCTCTGCATTTCACCGACCACAAAGCAGTAATAATGAAGTCGAAACGCAACCCGGAACTCAGCACTACTTATGAGCAATAAAAAAAAAATCAGCACCATCAGCGCTACCTATGAACAATAAAATCAGTATCATCAGCACCACCAGAGCTTCGCCCCAATCAACATCATTCACCACGTGGAGGTGCTGTCATTTTTTTTTTTATTCGCTTTGCTGGCATGAGCTTTTCTATCATTCGTTTCGCACCGTCAAACTTCTTGTGACCTGCCGGGAACAAGCTGCACTGCCAATACTACCTACGAGACGAGGCCTGCCCATATGACATCATCGTTGGTAGACCCGCCCCGGGCGGCAAACGTACCAAATGTTGGCGAGAGGCACCGCAGAGTAGCAGACGTATACGTCTCGGCGTCGCCACATGCCAACATCGCGAGAAACTGCAAGACTCGCCGTCGACGACGCCGACGCAAGCTAGGCGGCGCTGCGTGGACTTGCTTGAGACAATGTTTGGTGGGGAGGGGGGGGGGGAAGCTGCAGGCCTTACCTTTTAGGTGGTACATTGGTACAGCCGCCACATTACATATGACGTCGCATTTTCGATGTTACCAGTAGAGTGTCTCGGACCAAATTCGAAAATCCAATAACTTTGTGAAAAGAAACAACTTTATTCAGACTTAACTTTTTATTTTGCAAATCGGCGAAAATAAATATTTTGCCGGAGCTCCTTTTTAGACTGACATAGTAACCCTGGGGCAGGTAAAAAGAAGTGTAAAAATTAAAGATGGCGATTATACAATATTTATGCATATTAACTGGAACGTTTGGAACATATGCTGGCTGTTATTCCATCGTAATTTCATCTGTGTTGGAAATATAAAGATGTCTGCTGTTGTTCGGCTGGAAGGAACTTCCTATCGGTGTTTTGCTGAGAACACCAGCAAGGGGTAGCAAGAACACAATGTTCCACAATTTGTGAAACAGTTGGTGAAACAGAGACAGTGTTCAAAGGCATTAAAAAGTTTATCACAGGGAGTAGAACCAGTCCAATCTTAAACAAGCTCTTGGTCAGTACCGAAATAATACCTAGATAACAAGTGTGCGAGTGACTCCACCTTTAAACAAAACAAAAAGAAGGCTGCTGAGAGAGAAGCATTTACAGGTATCAGCCTAAAGCTTTTTCAAATGCAATGGTAGACCTTGCAGAAAGCTAGAGATTAAAATAAAATCACTAATATATCCTTACAGCAAGTTTAAGCAGACACACGCAACAGAATCTGCCAAATGCAGTAGACAAACACAGGGACATTTGAAAGATTGCAGATATAGCAGTTTCAGATCTGCCAGCAGTCTGGTATATCTTGCGGGGAATGCTATAAAATAACGAAGAAGAAAGAAAAAGTGAAAGCCGTTTACAACTCCCTGTAACGCCGAATTGGAGCGCAGCTCTTGAGGAGGAGGGGGAAGGGTACTGAGGGGAGGGTACACCCCTCCTCCTTCTCCTCCCCTCACTCTTTAATATGCTCCGGGGGGTCACGTGACCTCAGGGGGGGGGGGGGGGATGTCACGTGACTTCGGGGGGAGGGGGGTCACGTGACCTGGGGGGGGGGGGGTCACACGACCTTGAGGTGACCTTGGTTGCGGCGACGGCGACGCCGCTCAGGCCGGAAACGGGCGCCTAAGAGCTGCGTTCTAAAAAGGTGCCCACCCATGAAAGAAGCATGTGACTGCCCCTCTAAATGATCTCTCGTTTAAAAGATATAAAACAAACCCTATGCAACAGAAAAAAATAATGCAATAATTTTTAAAAAATCACAGATTTCCACAGGCAATAAAAATAGAATGTTGCTTAAGCCAACTGATGCAACATAAGAACTCCATGGTCCGATGGGGTGGATCAGTGCCACAAAATAAGGTGGTAGAGATCTCTGGACCAGGCAGGAATATGTCGGCAAGCATATTTGCACGTTCCTGTAATACGTTCTACCACTCTACCAAACATCCTCTCATTTAATGAGCATTTGACAGTACAAAAAACATTGTTGCATCTCCCCCCCATAGATAATTATTCTAATTGAACCTTGTTTTCGAACAGTGTCATGTGCATGCTTAGGCAGTGGGAAGTTGGTCGGCCTAAATGGGCACCTTGTGTCTTCCCTGTGGATGAGAAATTTTTCCAGTGAAGTATGAATGCTAGTCCGGGGTCTTTAACATGCATCACGCAGCAGCGACACACTCCAATACAGTGCTTGCCCAGATCGAAACAGGTGGGGCCAGGGGTTGAACCCAAGATCCCCAGGTTCTGCAGTGCAAACTTTCGCTCCACCTGCTTCGAGCTGTGGTGCGCTACCACACTCATCCACTGATCCCCTTGTTTTGCAAGGTCACAAGCACATCCTTTACAAAAAAAACCATGTTACACATATTCCTTGCTTTTATATATGCGACCCCATCAATCCGGCAGTTCTATGTTTGTGCCGAGAGAAGCAAACATGTTGCAACGCAAAGAGCAAAGTTTGATGACGACAATGAAAATCCCATAGAATGCGGCAACAACAAGGCACCTTGTGGCATCGCAACGTAAGAGCTGGCTGCTGTCGTGGCTGTCGGAGCAGATGATGGTGTCTCTTTACTGGAGACTGAAGTCCAGTCTGCTTTTACAGCAAAGCCTTCAAGTCTGCCACCTTGATGTACTTCTGGATGCAATGCCACTTTGTCCATGCCGATTTGGTCCAGCTGGACACAACCATTCTCGATGCATACTGCAACACACTCGATGCACATTGTGGCACACTTTATGCACATTGTGGCACACTCGATGCACATTGTGGCTCACTTGATGCACACTGTGGTGCACTCTATGCACACAAATGTCTGGGAAGTATCACCAGGAGGAGCTTGAGTCTTCCAAGCACGCTTCTTCCAACTCCATGTCACCCATATACAAGGGCTGGTTCCACAGCAGAACTTGATCAGGAGACATCAGACAGGGATATGCTTGCTTTCCATCACCCTCTCCATGGCCTGCTCTCTCGACTCGCCGGCAGCCCTCTGCACTCTTGCAACCAGGGCCGGGCTTCCTACGACCTTCTTGAAGGCCTCGGCATAGCACTTGTCTCGCGCTCCCATAACAAACTGCTCTGCCATGCGCAGCAACAGCCGGTTCCTCCACAGCACCCTCAGCAGCCGCAATGCAAACAAAGCAGTGTTGCCTTCAAAATTAGCATAGATGATTGCGCTGATCAAGCAGTGGTTGTCGAACAGGTACCGCGGTATGACTGTAGGTGTGGGGACCCCTGCACATTTCATGTCGGTTATAAGTAGCTCGTTCAAGGTCTTGGAGCGTCCCACCATGTACCAGAGGCCCTTCACCTCCGCAGCCTTGAAGGTCCAATGCGAGATTCGAAGCACCGAGATGCTCGTGTTTCTGGACAGTCCACCCAGAATGGCATGTGTCGATGCAACCGTGGTCGGGAAGTAAAGCTCCACGGTGGTCAGTGTTCTTGTGGACGACAGGAAGAGTGCGAGGTCAGCCGCGGACTTGTCATCTATCTGCATTTCGAGTTTGATGCCGAGCTGTGTGAGATGATAGTAGCTGGCCGGCTCATAAAGCGCATCGGGACGAAAGTCTCGTCCGGTGCTGCAAGGCTCATACTTGGTCAGAGGCAGCTTTGTGCACTTCTTCAAAGCACTCGCAAACATGAAAGGATCTTTGAACTTGGCATGGAGCGTCACCCTGTCTTTGAGCCCTGCTTCTAAGCGAAGTTGGTCGAAGGTGCTCAGCAACTCTTCAGAAACATCTTTGAGAGTGACTTGAAGTGACTTGTTGCATGCAAGTGCCTTCAAAAACAACTCAAGTTCATCAGCTTTCACGTCGACCAGACGGAGGGAGAGCTTTGTCATTGTGGTATTTACACCAAGAGCCTCTCCAAAAGTGACGAGACAGTCGATTTTTCCACCTAGGAGCACCATCTCGTGGAGGACAGTGTCACGACCTACCAGCTTAGCCAAGGATGCTCCACAGATGGTTCCATGATCTTTGTCACACTTGACTTCTAAGCCTTTAAGGGTTTCTTGTTTCGCTGCCAGTTTCGCAAGGGCCTCGATCATTCGCCCGTCAAGGGTAAAATCCTCGAGGCACAGTTCTTCTAGGTGATGGTTAGACGACAGTGCCTCAAAAAGGTTTTCCAGGTCTCCCGCATCAGTTGATGTGGTGGATCGCAGAGCCAACACCCTTAAGTACCTGCTGAATGCGGCAAACTCTGCAAGAGCCGTGCCTGGCCTCAGAAAAAAGTCTTGAACAGAGATAATGGCTATGTTGGGGTTGGACTTCAACCCTCGAAGCATGCATTCTACATTGGCGGGGTCCACACTGACCCTCAACATCTTGACGGATGTCAAAGTAGAGATCTTCTGTAAGGTATTTCCAAGTTGCTGTACCGCGGCAGGGTCATCTATGCGGCAGTTCAGCTCTAGCTCCTCAAGTTCCGTTATGGCGCCAACAAGAGACAGGACAGTTTCAGCAGCGAATTCACTCTGTGGGTAGTCGGACCCCCCAAGCACCAGCTTCTTCAGCCCCTGGTTGACAAGCAGGGCACAGTGGAGCAGGTCCCTAAATGCGGGGTCTATGTCATGGACAAGACTCAGGGCTTTGATGCATCTATGTTCCCTCAGGAGCCAAGCCATCTCTTGCGAGAAGCGGGTTCGATCAGGGTGCCAAAGACGTCTGGGTGGCACCGCCTGATGGAGCTCGAGACTTCCGGTCACCACTTCTCTCAGTTCCATGTCGCCCATGAACAGGAGCTGGTTCCAAGCGTAGGGTTGAATTAGGACGTGACACGGGCGTGTGGAACTCTCAGTGCAGGGGAGAGAGAGGTAGGCTGCTGCTTTTTGGAGACGATTGGCATGAATGTAGCCCTCGGTGGGGGGCGGAGAAGAGCTCCGCTTATAGGTCAACCACGTCCAAAATTGCTTGGGGTTCATCATGTTGCCAGCAAGATCTCCCTATGCCAGTGACGCTGGGCCTGAAAAGACACGAAAGCATCTTAACTTCAGAAATCTGCTAATACTATGCTTTATTTTGCCCATTTTTCTTTTAATGTTGAAATTTAAAAGCCTCTCCCCCATACAACCCCCCCCCCCCCACATAAGAAAAAAAAAACGATTGATAGGCAATTATGTTGCATACATGAAACATTCCAGCATCACAAACATACAATCGTTTAGCAGCACGTCTAGCCTGTTCGAGTAGATGCCTACGTCCACGGCGCTCGTCATCAGAAAATTTAATGTGTGCCATATGTTCACTTGAAATGATAAGCCTGGTGATCTTCCAGAACCTTATTACCCACTCCTCTCCTCCTCGTCTCACCCCTGGTCACATTACCTACCCGTTAACCAATCAGCGTCGAGCACCTTACTTCTCTCCCACCGTCAACCAACCAGTGTCGAGCCTCATGGCCACGCTTTTATCGAGGCTTCTCTTTCGGGCTTTACGAGATGTTCAACACCTAGCCAAAGAACAATCTATTAGCCCCGAGTGGGATCGATTGGAGTACTGCGATCGCTCAATGGTGACGTAGTGACAAGTGTCACGTGACAAGGCCAGGTATTTTCACCGTTTTGCTTTGCTTTGGTAGTGGGCTTTAGCACATGGCAGCAGAAGCTGTTCTCCAAGTGTACTTTGTTTTTGCTACCACACAAAACGTGTGTAGGACGAAACCTAAAAACAAATTTGAATACGCCAAGCGAAACGATCGGAAGTTGTGTGTAAGTTACGATAGAATCCTACGATAGCTTTATAGCCACCAACACCGCCTGGATATTTCGCCATGGAGACCAACGAGCATACTTCTACATGCTCTTTGTGCATTTCCCGACTTCAAGCTGCAAATGAAAGGAGATGCTCGATTCACAGGTTCCGGAAGCAACGACAACAATCCCAGCAACTTCAGCGGCAACTCAAGTCGGTGAAGAAGGCCAAGCAAGGTGGGTCGGAAGGCCTAGCAAGGTGCTCAACACTTGCTGCCTACGACCAGCGGACTCGTTAAATAAATATGTTTGCGCAAACCGGTTTTAAGCGAACTTATTCCGTATTAATAGTTTGAACCTTGACTTAGATCTTCCGGTTAGGTGAGTCTTATCTTTTTGTCGTCCCCTTGTCAGTTTCGGAGTGTTGTGCTGTGGCAGTGGACGTTCTTGTCGCAGTGACACATTCTTCAATTCTATTTGCTGCTTTCTTTGATGTATAGCTCAAGTAAACAAGCTATGAATTGCCCTCGCATCATGTGGTGCATGCACCTTATTTCTTGTGTGCTGCTCTAAAACTGCGCGAGCAAACTGCGAAAAAAAACAAAAAAAAAAGGTGATTGGAATAATAATAATTATAATAATAATAATAATAAAGTTTATTTCCCATTCAATACAGGAATGGAGGAAACGGGAAAAAAGCTGTTTAACAGCATGACAGAGCCTCCTGCTCCCTTACAGTTCCATAGGACAGATTAAAATACAAAGCAACAGCAAAATATCAACATTGTATACAAAACATAGATTACAACCTATCGCAGAAAACCAATTTACTCAATTCAGGTAAGAAAATAAATCGCATTGTGACAGACATTATATCAACATTTTTGTTTAAGAGAAAATTCAGTAAAGTGGGTAGCATATACTTGGAATAGATTGAACGAGTTGGATAGGAGCTAACATATGTTCTTAACAAGTTTGGCCAGAATATCCTCGTTTCTTTTTTCTTTTTTCTACCTTAAAGCGGACCATAAGTTTATACATATCGAAAACACACAATAAATTATATTTTTCAAACAAACCCTGGGTGCTTGAAATACATATAAGAAACATTCGCAATGAGGTGGACAATTTTTTTTTCTAATATATGTATTTTTTGTAGATTTGAACTGGTGGTTGTACCCCAAACCAGGTGGCAGTAGTTTAAGTGGGATATAAATAGAGTTTGATATATAAGTATTTTAACATTGTTTGGTAAAATAAAACAGTTTCGTGAGACTAATCCAATGAACCTGGACAATCTAGGAAGCATATAGCTTACATGGTTGTCCCAAGACAAATACTGGTTAAAAATAACGGTAAGACTTTTGAAATTCTCTACTATATAACCTTTGAATTTATTGCGAAACTTTTCGTCATAAAAACATTTTTATTTTTGGTTCGAAAGAGAGAATGACAACTTCAACGCCTGCTCGGCCATCGTCGCGATTGATTTCTGTTTGTTCCGTCTGCTTCCGACAGGCTGAAAAAATAGGAAATTAGCCTCAAGAACCACGCTACCCCAGAATCTATCTGTTTGGTCTCTTGACGAGCCTCCGAAGTCACGACAACGATAGACTTGGTCGTGGTCAGTACGATACGAAACTGGGCCACTGGGTCCTTCCTGTTCCATAGGCCGTGACGCCACTGTTGTCGCGCCGCTTAATTTTGACGAGAAGTACAGCGAAAGAATTAGGTCACACGCAACCCCAAACCCTGGTTTAAATTGGCCAATCAAACATGAATTGTGAATGATACACCTCAACCTACAGGCTACCAACGAAGTGCAGAAGCGGTCTTGTGATACTCGGTACTACGTCGCAACAGGTGGCGCCACTTCATCTTCTTGGGGCTAATAGACCCTTTTTTTCAAGGGCGCCGCCATCTTGAGAATTGCGCAGCCGCCATCTAGCGGCTTAAAATTTGAATTCCCGGCTAGTTCTGGCAGCACAGCCATCTGGGTAGGCAACAGTGTGGGTATGGGAGGAACTTGGCTAGACTTAGCTACGGTGGGCTGCAGTAACTTTGCTGGAGCTTGACCGGTTGAATCCAGCCTCAAAAGAATGAGGACGAAGCCGGTGGGTGTTTTCATTGAGTTTCCAGAACGAAGGTATATATGAGAAGCTTAATGTAGTCTACGTAGGTATTCTCTCGGCATTTCATACCTGCATCTTGAGTGGTGGTATGTAGACTTTTTCATACCCTTCATATGCCATAAAGCTTGCACTGATAACCTAATTGGAACACCTGCACCGGGTTGAAATCGGTCCTCTTCTTGTAGACGAAGTGGTCGTGACCATAAGCATGACGATGAGTCTGATACAAAGCCCTCGCGATTCACGCTTGAAATCGACTGACTTCATAAATGAGGGTTCTTGGGGAAAATGTGAAGCTCACTAGCATTGCAGCCACACTCGCACTACAGCTTCTTGTGCTCATGGCACACTTACTGCTCTTGCTTTTACGCTTATTAAAATCATTTGCGCACCTGACGACGGCACAGTGACAGCCAGACAACCATAGATTTTTGGAAATTGTAACGGTAAAAAGAAGCGCTCGGAACTAACTAAAGCACAACGTCCGTTTCCGAGTCCTTTCGCCCATATCCATGGCGGTTGCATACCCTGTGTCAGCGAGCAATCCAAGAATGCAACAGGTCGAGGGGTATGTCAGTTGCACGCTGGTATGAGGCTATGCGAAAAAGGTCTAGGTTTGATTCCCACCTAGCCAAATAATGGTCTGGGTTAGATTCCCGGCACGTCAAACACCTTTACTGCAATGGCCTCTCCGCCCTCCCTCCCTCCTCAACCTCCCGTCAGCACACACCACACACACACACACACACAGAAAAGAACCAATCAATGTCGAGCCTCGCGGCCACGTTTCTATCCAGGCCTCACTTTTGGGCTTCACAAAATTCCCAAACACCTGGGCAAAGAACGTTTCACGTTTAAAAGAGAGAATTTTACATTGATTAAAGGGGAAACGACTGTTGTACATTTAAGAGAACACTTGGAAGTCCCGTGAAAACCCGCAAAGCATCCTCGGGACATCCGCCGAGATGCCAACGGAACCGACACTCGTTGCAAATTTGATCCAACGCTTTCACCTTCGGTGACAGAGTGGAACGGGTGGCGTCACGTGGGCCGAATTTATTTTCCTGCCAACTTACTTCGCCTATCGGCACATCACTGAGCTCCGAACTCAGTGCAAGCCCAAAAAAACAAACACAAACTGACCGTAGAGCGACTGGTCGCAGGCGTCCAGGGATGAACCGATGGGTCCTTCGTCGCGCGACGCAGTAGAACGGTGGACACAACCACAGGCACAACGACAGTCTTGACACCAACGTTAGATCAGCTGAGATAGTTAAAACAGTCAGATGTCAGACGTGCAACCGGCTTGAAAGACCGCGTAAGCAGTTGTATTGGTTGCACAATGTGAACGAAACTGCTTGCGACCGATGCCAGCAATGCAGCTTCGGACACTTCCTCAACTTCCTTGTGTAATAATGTAACGATTGCGAACTAGGTGACGCTAGCTGTCATCCATTTCCACTGGGCCAGCAGTCCAGCTTCGCACTCCATTATCAGCAATCTGAGCTGAGAGCAAAATGGCAAAATCGGCAAAATCGTTGGCTGCGTTGGCTGTGATACAGTGGCTGTGAGGAACGAATCGGAACATGAGACTTAACTGTTTACGCAGCCAGCCAAATATCGTTTGGTAAAGACTGACTGATCTCTGCTGTTTCCAGTAACTACTACTCAAAAGGACGCAGGTCTTAAAGTCAGTCCATTTGTTCGCTTCGTCGTTCAGAAACACTTGGTTCAGGATAGCACGCAATCGACGCACTTCAAAATTCTTGGTTGGCTTGGTAGAGCATTAACTCGGGACAAAAATGAGTTCGAAAGAAGGCAAAAAGCGAAAGAAGAACTATTACTGCGACATGTCGAAGAAGCGCCACAAGGGCTGCCTCGACAAAGTCGGCGCCGGCATGAAAGGGTTCCTGGCGACTTTCGAGAGGAGCGAATTTCACGCCACCAAGGACTGCTACGAGCTCCTGAACGAGTATGCCGACAAGCTCTGGGGCCCTGAGGTAAGCGATGTCAACGGTTTTGACTCTTCTGAATACGGGCTTGCTCCAAATGTCGTTTTGTGTCGGCGTTACGCATACATTCGCTGGTTAGTTTGAGCGCGCTGCGTGCTTCTTGACATCTAATGTAGATTGCATCATTGTTATGAACTAACTACTCGGGGAGTTTGTGTGCCATCCTCTTGGTGTACGGCGGGCAAGCCGAACAAAACGCGTTCCTTCGCGCATGAGAGCGGAGGCGGAGGTAGGAAAAAGCGAGGAGTCTCCGTGCGTCAAAGAGGAGGTGCGAAAAGGTGTAAGAGGGACTGATCACGTGCGAGACGATATTTCATCTCAGCAGACGCTATTTTCAGCGGTTTATGACAAACAGCATCTCGGTCGTGACTTTTTCAGTGAATGCCCCAAACTACTTCATTCCGCAAGCAAGCGGATTCGTTGGTCGCAAAGAACCAGTGAATTTAAGTCGTAGAAAAGACGAGGCAGACGTTGCTGCGACTAGAAGACAACACCAGAGCTCGCCACTGCATTCACTGGACGAACACCGGATGAGCTTGCGTGCTCTGATTGGAGGATACAGTGGGTACTCACGTGACCAGTCGGAGCTCGGTGCCGGACGTAACTGTACATTAGCACAAGGAGCGTACGAATTAGTTTGCTGTACTTGCAAATGTGCGGCTGTCTAAAGTTGTGCTTACTGTAGCCGCAGTAACTATTAGGCACGTCTTGCCCTTGCTACACATTCGTTTGGGGCTTACTACGGTTGATCGAATGCCATTTCATCAAAGCACGTTTTAGAGAATCGGCACGGTTTAGGGAAAGCAGAGCCTCAGTTTACAGAAACGCCGTTTATCGAAAAGGGGACTATTTTTAAAAAAAGGCTTTCCTACTTCTTGCGTGTATCACTGGTGCGCGTGTTAGGCCATGCCCCCCGATGTGCTCCCACCGCTTCGCGGCGGCAGTCTGCAGTGGCTCATTACAAAGATGTTAACTCACCTGATTTACCCGTACACGCCGCTTCGTGGTGGCCGAACTTGCTAAAAGGAGGCTCATCGCCATTTCCTCTAAACTGGCTTTTCTATAAAGGCATTTCTCGACCCCGGTAAACCGGGGTCGAGAAAACGGCGTTCGCTAAAACGAGCGTCTCTAAACCGCATGCCTCCGATTCGTTTGCTGCACCTTATGGGGAGCGCAAGTTCGTCTGCTTCTCGCACAGGGGTTTCGGCGACGTCAGAACACCGAGCTCCGATTGGATGGTGGGTAGACCTCAATGCTAGCTGCCTTGAGCTCTACCCGCTATTCAATGTGACGTCACCGTGACCCCCGTGCAAGAAGCAGACGAGTTTGTGCTCCTATACACGATGCACAAATCATCAGTGCAGGTGCTCTCCCTTATCATCTGTTGCAGGTTAAGAATAGCGGGACTTAAGCTCCTCCCACAAAGCCCTCCACTCTTTCCACTTCAGTGAAGTGTGCGCGCTGGAGAGGGGGCGGGGGGAGAGGAGGAAGCCACCAATTGTGGCAAGCAGAGGGCTTTATGGGAGTTGCTTGACTCACCGTTCTAAATCTGCAACAAACTGTAACCATGGAGCCTGGAACGCTTCCCCAACCGGCGCATTTAGTGCACCCTAAAGAGTGGTCCCTTGATTTCTGCCTAATGACGTTGTAGAAGTTCCCTGCTTTTGCCGGCCGTTCTGCCGCAGGTTACTCTTCGGCACAACAGTCCACGGACGCTTCTGCAGCCGGGAGTTGGGACGCCGCGGCGACGGCAACACCCCCGTTCGCTCACATACTGGGACTGCGACGTCCGACAGCGCGACACTCCGGCTTTTGCAGCGTCATTTGTTTCTTCTTTGGGACCACTTTCAATGCACTGGCAGGGTGGGATTACTAACGCGCCATTCACACGCGCTTTATCGTAGCTAAGCCGGCCCCCGATGCCTACGATCGATGCCTACGATGTTTGGTTCAATCTGTGGTTTTCCAGAAGAAAGACGAGGGGATCGTAAAGGACGTTGAGGACGAGCTTGCGGACGAATTGAAGGAGCTGAAGGAGTCGTCGAACCTCCCGAGGCGGTTCAAGAAGATGAGCACGGAGGTGGCCGGAAACTTCTTCGTCAGCACCACGGTGAGGGCGGTGTCGGACATTCTCGCGCTTTGTTTGGTGCTTGGAGGGACAGTGAACTTGGTGTTACAAAGATTCAAAATGAGTCTTTCGACTTGAGAGCTGAGACGTAAATGTTGCAGTAAAATATTAATTTTTTTTGGGGGGGGTAAAGGTTGTTTTATGGCAAACATGTTCTATCCAGGTAGTTTAAAACACAAACAAAAAAAAAAACACCTTTTTGGGGAGTTTGGTGATCCTCTAAAGGGAGTGTAAAACGATTGCATACTGAAACGAGAGAACCGAAACACGAAAGCAAGGACCTAGGAACATAATTTGTCGCCATGAAATTTCTATAACAAGAGAGCATTATTTTCTTTTACACGAAATTTGTTTAGGGCTGCTGTTGCATAAAAAGTGTCCCTGAAAAAGTGTGAAGCAAAATTTTAAGCATATTTCAATCATATTTGGTAAACTCTGAGATGCATCTAATGTGTCGCGAATCAGCTGAACTTCCACTGCGTCCGATGTTATGTGACATTATAGTCACGCGACCTCATGTCACGTGAAGTCACGCCTCAAAGCATTAAGGTGGGCTCGTTGCTCAATCACAATGGATGTAAATAGCACAAAGAACAGACGACATGTACACGAAGACAGGACCAGTGCTAAAACGGAAAGTCTCTTGATACCACGACGTCATCACGGCATCCCGTGACGTTAGAGGAGAAACTGAGTTTACATTCGGTAAACTAGATTTCTTCTTTAAAGAAACATGGTCAAGTAACTTTTTCTTTTTTTTTCTTTGAGGCAGTTACCTAGTTTAGAAGCTTTGAAAGGTTGCTTATCTTGGGTTCTGGCCGCAGGTGGACGAGCCGGGCCGGCTCACGACGTCCATCTTCAGCGACCTGAAGGAGTGCCAGTCGCAGCGCAGCCGCTTCCTTTTGCGTCTGCTTCCCGTGCAACTCACCTGCAAGGCCAACACAGAGGCCATCCAGAAGGCAGTCAAAACGGTCCTGTCCACGTACGAGGACGACGACCGGACGTTCCTGGTGGCCAAGAAAGTGCGACACAACAATGACCTCAGTCGCGCTAGCCTGCTCACAGACGTTGTCGAGGCGGTGAGAGCCACCAAGCCCAAGTGGATCGGTGAACTGCGCCAGCCGGAGCTGGTCATCATGCTGGACGTGCAGAAGACGATTTGCTTCGTGTCCATCTTGCCGAACTACCTAGAGTTCAAGAAGTATAACCTTTTGGAGGTCACGAAACCCACGCAGCCGGCAGATGTCACGAGTTCCGCGGGTGCAAACATCGCTGCAGAAAACGCGTCTGAAGGTCGGGTTGCGGACGACGCAAATTCAAAGCGGGACGAAGCTAACGGTTGCCAAGGAGATGGCGCTGCCAGGGAAGCAAACGGAGGCAAACTTGCAGACGACGATGTGGACTCGAAGTCAGACGAAGCCAGTGGTTGCAAGGGAGACTGCACTTCTGGAAAGGCAGGCGAAAGCGAGCGAATTGAAGATGATGCTACGGACCCAAAGCCGGACGAAGCCAACCAATGTCGAGGGAACGACGAAACGACTAGTTCCACGGCTGTAAGTGGGGAAGAGGGCTGAGTTGGGGATTGCCGACTGAGAAATAAAATGATGAGTATGTGAAATGTCTACGGTGTTTTGCCCGACGCAGCACAGTATGTATGTAAAAATTTAATTTAATTTCGAAGTTACAGTTAAAGGGGAACTCCGCTCAATCCCGAAAAATTTAGGCTTAATGTGATTCCATTTAACAAAGCACTACTAAACAGCTCTATATCTTCGGATTCGCGAAATGTGGAATATTATTTGTGTAATCTTAATTTAAACATCAGCTGATACCGAAACCGAAACTTTGGTTGCGTTAGGCAACATTGGTCTCGTGTCGTCAGACTCATGGCCACGTCACGTCGAACCACATGGTCTTGTGACGTTTGTGGGGGCGAGGTACAGGACACGTGACGCGGCCAGGCCGCTTCAGATGGCGTGAACGGTGAGGCCCGGGGGAGGCGGGGAGTGGAGAAACCGGACATGGGGAACAAGTGCAATCTAGCATAGACCGATAAGCGCACAGGGCAGCGCAAACTAGCGCATCCGCGTTGCGGTGATCACGTGGATGCCGTTCAGCCAACAGAGGGTGGAGAAACTCTTGACGTCATCGTTCAATTTCGCTCTGAGAAGTAAAAACAAACAAAACGTGAGAATGATGTAGACATGCCTCCGACGTAGTGGCTCAATGTTGGCTGCTCCGACTCCGTGGCATTGACTGTGCTAATGATTGTGCTTCACGTCGCACGCTAGAGTTGGCAGATTTCGGCGACTTGGCTCGTTTGAAAGTTTGCTGGCCAGTTTATTAAATATATAGACGGAATTAGATCGTAACATTTGACATGTGGTCTTCCTATATGATACTGAAGAGGGCTGCATAGTTTTCTAAATATCAAAAATGAAGTGGAGTTGTCCTTTAAAGGGATACTACAACGAAATTTCGGCGCTCATTTTTTGGTCTATATGTGTTCAAAAAAGCAGCATCACATCGAACGTACCAATATCTTGTTAAAAAAGTCACGAAAAGGAATTTGAAAACGAATTAAACGATTAGCAAAGAGCACCTGGTGGATGTCGCTAACGCCTCGCTTGTAATGCCCGTCTAGGAACCTTGACAGCTAGTGACGGAGGTTGTCTCGTCTCCGGCCACGACGAGAGAAGAGGGGCAGGAGGAACTCCCCTCTTCCCGAGAATGCCTTTTGTGTGTCGCAGAAGTCGCTATTGTCCCCCTACAAGATTACAGAAGATTAACCCGTCACTCAAAATTCGTACAAAAGCAGCCGGTTCGGTGGCTGGAACGACTAGGCCATCCTCTCGACGTCAGCCTCGCCGTAGCTTTGCTCGTCTTGAGACGACCTACATCACGATTGCGTTAGATGTCACGTGGTCTCCGCTGGGCCTTCTCGGAGCGCTTGCCAGAGTGGGCCGTTTATAACAAAAAATACAGCCACCAGCAGTGTTGCCAATTTAGCGGCTTTCTCGCTAAACTTAGCGGTTTTTGGTTCTGTTTAGCGGGATAATTTATTGTTTTGCGGGCGGCGGGATTTTTAGCCGGTTTTATAAAACTTTGGCGGTTTTTTAGCGATATACAAGCTATATCGATTTACTATCAACTATGCACCTTTAATATTCATCAAGACAAGGATAATAAGCCACAGTGGTCTTTTTGCTTACTCTCAGTAATGTTCTGGTTTGTGAGAGTAACGCCTGTGACGTCATCAAAACATTAAGGCGTCGAATGTCGGAACATGCCTCCCTGTTTTGTGCGCGCACGTTTGAACAGCATAGATGTTCCAAGTTTCCTTTGACTTTTTTTCACTGTTTCGTGAAATGGGCGTGGTGAAGTACGCTCAAAAGTTTAGAAAAGACTGGCTATAAGACCCTAAACTTAAAGACTGGCTACTGGAGGTTCCTGGTGATAGCAGACGAGCTAGGTGCCGCTATTTCAAAACAGAACTATCTGCGGAGAACGTGGATTTGGTCGCGCACGCTGCGACGAAGAAGCATGTTTCGGCCGTTGCACCTTTCTCCTCTGGTAGTAGACGACTCTACGAGTTGAACGGGTCTGACTAGTCACTCACTGCTGAAGGGTCCCTTGCCATGTTCGTATGCGCTCACTCGGAAATTTCGACTTCGGATCACCTGGGTGAGCTGTGAAGTGGCGTGACAGATTTCTAGTCAAAAATAAAAGGAAAGCTTCCTTTCAGATGGCATTGATATGATCTATACTGGTATTATACTTTTTTCAAGAATTAAAGCAAAAAAAAAAAACAGTGTCTAAAAAGTCGTTTTGCGCTGTGTTTTCGATTTAGTGGTTTTTTAGCGGTTTTTGGGATTCCGACTGCGGGTTTTTAATTTTTGAGTTGGCAACGCTGGCCACCAGGCTCAAAATTTAAACATGCGATTGTCATTTACGGATATTGTGGATCATATTCAACCTATTTTTGAACACGACAGGGATATTTCAAATTTTGTTGAAGTATCCCTTTAATGACTCACAGCCTTTGCTTCAAAGCTAGTTATTTCTCTAGGGACTTGGGCTTTCTGAAACAAATAGGTTCCTTGAAGAATATATATTTAAGGTCGGGATAGAATTTAGGGTGCATCTAAAGATGACCGTAGCACAAATGTAACACTGTTTATAGTGCCCTTATCAGAATAGAAGCTTCGTATAGCATTAGGACAGGACAAATTAATAGTTCTTTTTAAAGGACATTAACTCGCACCCTCTAAGTGCAAGTGTTAGCATGAGTTGTGTGGAACTCGTGCAAGTTCTTGTTGCACCTGCTGCACATCTTGTGTAAGCTCCGCGCACTCTTGTTTTCAAAAACGCTGAGCATGTGACTTGTGAAAATGTGCGTTTGTAGCACAACTTGAGAGAGCACCTCACGCAAGTAGTGAGTAGCACCCTCACAAGTAGATAGCAGTGCATGCAACGTACGAGACAAACAATGCTTAATGACAGTTCCATTGAGCAATAAAATGGCATTAAAATGGCTTTATTTTCTCCTCGAACGCGTTTCAAAATGGATAGTGAGGAATACGCGGTTTTGAAAAAAACTCTCGTTTGACTGGTAGTGCATTGTCCCTGGCACACTGCAAGCGGCTATGTTTCGTAGTAAGACAACTTGCTGAGCTTGAAGCTTGAGTCGCAAGGCGTCCCGCTTTGCACTGCCGCGCTTGTAGACTCTGACACCTCGGCAATGAAAAATTTCATGGGGTACAGTTCTTTGGCATGATGATGATGATTATAAGTAAGTATAATGAACTGGGCGCAAGGTTCTATGCACTGGTCGAATGAAGGATGTAGCTGATGCACGTGTCGATTTCTGGGGGAATCGCTCCTTCACGAGGAGAGGTGGCCTTCTTTAACGGCATCGAGTCTCCGTTGGTCCCTGCTGCGTCGCTGTTTGGGGCAACAAAACAAATACCAAGATGGCTGTGTTAGAAATTGCAATTGACTTCTCCCAAAATTCAAAGTGCCCCATCGCAGTGAAATGACGGCCAGTGCACTCTGTGAACTAGTAGGCCACTCGGTCTCGGTTTCGATTGAACTGCTTCAGTTCATGCTGTCACGCCTTGACCGAATGCGCTGCTTGCGTTTTCGATCATCTGACTTCCCACGAATGTACAATACTCTAAGCATTCTAGAGCGATATAGAAGAAAGACTGGGGCACTTTTCTTGGTTTTCGACATGGCGGATATTGTGCGTGCAAATGCAAACGTTGTAAGACGTGGCTTACACTTGCCTCATCCCGAAATTGTATCTTTGAAATCAATTTTAATATTCCCGCCTAGTACAGGTGAACCACAACTAAAATTTGATCACTTTGAGCCCTACACATATTTTGTTTACCAAACGTCCACTTCTTGTTACTTCATTGGGCGAGAAACAAGCCGCATCCTCACAGGAGTATCAAAGTTGAGCCCGACGTTGGCGCATGAACTTTTAAGGAAAGGGAGTAAATTCAACCTCACTGCTGCACAAAAGTTCCTATGAAATCTTCCTCGTGTCATCATATATCCCCACTCAAATTTTATGCTGACTGGAGTTTTCGCAAACGCTGAGATCGGCTAGCTACGACAGAGGCCCTAACAAGTGTCCCCTACTCCCCGCTAAGCCATTTGTGGACAAGCTTTTACCAACGTCCAAGATCTGTGTCTCAACGGTGCGTCTGAAGTTATCTTGGCATACTCAATCAGGAAGAAGGCAAACGTAACATATCTTATAGCCATTAGTAACCATCAAATGTGCTTGGAATCCTTCAATTCGTTTGATGCTAGTGGAAGTTCACACAAGATCTCTACTGTTGCTTTCTTAAAAACGGTTTGTATGTGCGAATCTGTCTATATATGATTGTAGGATAACTTCATATGCATAAGCTATATTGAATCAGTAGAATGCAAGTGGGTGGGGACTTCACTTCGTGCAGTGTGTGGGTCAGTACTGATCAGAGATAAGAAGTGTTGGATTTTAGCTTTCAATGGCGTCTCCGAGTTTTACCTCGCATACTCGAGCGTAATAATAAAAATGAAAAGTGGAAAAAGGTATATTTTTGTCAATGAATACACAAAACAAGTAACAAACTTCCTGATCAGCAACACTAATGTAAAGGTGCCAGCTCGGTGCATGCATACTTATTGGTTGTTACAGCGTGTTGACTCGTGCACAAACGAGATCTCCCAGCTTCCTAGCGTTGAGATTCCCAGCACAGGCTCGTCCACATACTTCGAAACGCTAACACAAAAGCTCGGATACAAAAATACGTATGGTTCGGGCTTGTGTTGTTAAAGCTTCGAGATCTAGCCATTTAGGTTAGGTAAAAGACCAAAAACGATGCGCTCGGGACCAGGAAACATGAGATAACAGCTGTTAAAGGGGCCCTGCAATGACTTTTTGACTGGTTTTTAATTTGCACTGAACCTGAGCGTACTGAACGTAGTAGCTTAATCCAACTTTTCTTTTCTCAAATTTCGCTTTATTTTAAAAGTTATAGGCAAATTAGAATTACAAAAACAAGCAAAAAATAACCTCCTTCATGACGTCGTAGGTCCTGGCTTGAGTGGCCGTGAACTAGAGGAGGAGTAGTGTGGAGTAGTGAGCTCATCGAGCGCACACGGCTGCCGCACTCTGTGTCGACGGCTCGAGAGGGCGCCACTAAAGCACGTGTTGGATAGGCTGTATGAAGCGGGCGGCCAGGGCAGCTTGCATTGCATTTGCAGCGCGACTAAACACTAATTTGGCATAACATTTCATTGGCCACAAACGACAGCAAGCACGGGGTAAAGATCAGTTCAAAACGGGAGCCACTTCGAGCTGACGCACCGCCAAATGGCCAAATCGGCAGCAGGGTCCGCGCCGAAGGCCTTCGGAACGCTCGGAACCGGTCGGATTCTTGAGCCGGTATACGACCACAGCGCTGCCGCGTACATCCGGGACCTTTCTACGCTCCTCGTTTGTCGTGGCCTCATCCCACTAGCCTTTTCTAGTATGCGCCGTTTTTTTACGCCGCTTGATGGCGGGTATGTCGACGGGTCATTTCTCGTTTCCGTACTTTCTAAACTGCATTGGTTTCTTTTCTGATCTAGAATAGTGAACAAAAACTACTTTCATACATAATTGAAACGGTTCGCGACACTTATATTTTGTATCTCGACTAAAAAAAAAGCTCTTAGCGGCTTTGACCAGTGGCAAGCCCAGGACCAAAGACGTCACATTTTGCGCGCTTTCGGTACCGCGGGTCGCCCTCGTCGGTGGAGGGGGTTTCCGCGTCGTCCGGTTAAAATATGGCGCACTGATATTTAGTTACTCTCTCCGTGCCCGCTGGCTTGCCTCAACCCCAAGAGGCGTGGAAACCGCAAAAAAGGTAGACGCTTAAATATGATTGCAGGGCCCCTTTAAAGGGGCCCTGCAAGGACTTTTTAGAGCGCAGCTCTTAGGCGCCCGTTTCCGGCTTGAGTGGCGTCGCCGTCGGCGTAAACCTGCGTTGCATGCAACGCGCATGCAAAACTTGCATGCAATGCACGTTGCACGCAACACACGAGCAAAGTTTGCATGCAATGCGTTGCATGCAAGCGGCGTAACCGCGCGTGGCATGCAACGGCGTAACCGCACGTTGCATTATGAGTGGTTACCCATAATGATGTCACGAGGGTTACGAGGATTGCTCTCACAAGGGTTACGAGGGTTACCCTCACGAGGATCATGAGTGTCACAAGTGTTACCTTCACGAGGGTTAGTTACCCTCACGAGGGTTACTCAGTGGCGGGGATGTCAACGGGTCATTTCTTGTTTCCGTACTTTATAAACTGCATTTGTTTCTTTTCTGATCTAAAATACTGAAGAAAAACTACTTTCATACATAATTGAAACGGTTCGCGACACTTACATTTTGTATTTCGACTAAAAAGAAGCTTTTAGCGGCTCTGACCAGTAGTAAGCCCAGGACCAAAGATGTCACATATCGTGCGCTTTAGGCACCGCGGGTCGCCCCCCGTAGGTAGAGAAGGTTTCTGTGTCGTCCGGTTCAAATATGACGCACTGATATTTAGTTACTCTCTCCGTGCCCAACGGCTGGCCCGAACCCCAAGAGATGTGGAAATCGCAAAAAAGGTAGACGCTTAAATGTGATTGCAGGGCCCCTTTAAAGGGGTCCTGCAATAACTTTTTGACTAGTTTTTAATTTGGACCGAACCTGAGCGCACTGAACGTAGTAACTTAAAAAAACTTTTCTTTTCTCAAATTTCGCTTTATTTTAAAAGTTATAGGCAAATTGGAATTACAAAAACAAGCAAAGAATAACCTCCTTCATGACGTCGTAGGTCCTGGCTTGAGTGGCCGTGAAGTAGTGAGCTCATCGAGCGCTCACGGCTGCCGCACTCAGTGTCGACGGCTCGAGAGGGCGCCACTAAAGCACGTGTTGACTAGGCTGTATCAAGCGGGCGGCCAGAGTGGCTCGCATTGCATTTGCCGCGCGATTGAAGACTAATTCGGCATAACACTTCATTGGCCACATACGACATCAAACACAGGGTAAAGATCGGTTCAGAACAGGAGCCACTTCGCGCTGCCATGCCGCCAAATGGCCAAAGCGCCAGCCAAGCCCGCGCCGAAAGCCTTCGGAATGCTTGGAACTGGTCGGATCCACGAGCCGGTATACGACCGCAGCGCCGCCGCGTACTTCCGGGACCTTTCTACGCCTGCCGTTCGCCAAAGCCTCTTCCCCCTAGGCCTTTCTAGTACGCGCCGTTTTTTTCGCCGCTTGGTGGCGGGTTTGTCGACGGGTCATTTCTTGTTTCCGTACTTTATGAACTGCATTGGTTTCTTTTCTGATCTAAAATACTGAACAAAAACTAGTTTCATACATAATTGAAACGGTTCGTGACACTTATATTTTGTATCTCGACTAAAAAAAAAGCTTTTAGCGGCTCTGACCAGTAGTAAGCCCAGGACCACAGACGTCACATATTGCGCGCTTTCGGCAACGCGGGTCGCCCTCGTAGGTGGAGAAGGTTTCCGCGTTGTCCAATTAAAATATGACTCACTGATATTTAGTTATTCTCTCCGTGCCCGCTGGCTTGCCCGAACCCCAAGAGACGTGGAAACCACAAAAGAGGTAGACGCTTAAATATGATTGCAGGGCCCCTTTAATGCTCCACACTCTGTGTATGATCTCTTGTCGACATGTCGATTGAAACCAAAACCATGCCAGTCTCCTCCTTGGCCAACTAGTTCCCAGAGTGCAACTCGAGCAGTGTTGCATGCAGGGACTTATTGAATTAGTCCATTCCTACAATTGGACTCTGAACAAACACACTGCAAGACACTCTTGGCAAGAGCACGACTTCGGCGGTTTTCTGCATTTTACTTGGAAAGTAAAATGCAGAAAGCTTACCACAGGGGTTTAGTGAGCATTTTTCACCACTATAGTAGTTTCGATGACATGCTTCAATACTGAGAAAAAGACAAAGAAAACTTGCCACGGCTTGTTCGCACCATTGGTGCCACGGAGCATACTTTGAACGCTGCGAATGCCAGCTTGAACTAACTTGCGGTGTTGGCTAACTCGAGGACCCACGTCACGTTTTGGCTAACCGTGTTCCACGATGTACCATTGTTGAGCAACAAAATATGGCCTTAATTGTACAAAAGAAAGTAAAATGCAAGGGAGTACGAGCAGAAGCGCCACTGACGGTTCCCTCGGCACTTAAAAGCAAGAGCTCGCGTTGTCTCGTGACGCGCTATCGAAAAACCGGTTGTCCCATGGAATCTTTGAAAGTCTAATTAAATTTCAACGTGCTTTTTTGTCGACCTAGAAGGTGCAATACATATACTCTGTGGAATACTCGCTCTTTCGGTACACAAATTCCTACTTTTTTTTGCGCATCAATTCTTTCTTTGTCAGTTGGAAAAAAAACTTGACGTCGTTACAAACCGGCATTTCCCATTGACGTTACGCACGTTCGATCTCGCAAACGCCGCAAAACCTTCGCTTTGGTAAAATGCAGTTCCGGACCTCCTCATAGATGGTGCCAGCATGTCCTGTCGTTAAAGAGGTCGCAAGAACTCAGTCGCAAGCAAATGCAGTGGCTGGCTCACGCAGTACCGTTTGCTTACCTTTGCTTACAAAACACCGAGGGGAGTGAAGCTGGAAGAAGAACGTCTAGAGGGTGCTTCTTGTAAACCTCAGACCGGCGTGGGGACGTTTCACTAGGAGACCTAGCTTCTTCAGGGCCGTAAAGAAGCTAGGTCTCCTAGTGAAACGTCATCACGCCGTTCTGAGGTTTTCCAGAAGCTCCCTTTTGACGTTTTCTTATGTTACGTATACGTCATTGAAACGTCAGTGCCCCGAAGGTCGCGTGCCAGGCTATCTGCTTGAATCGGTAGCCATGCTTAACACGAAGCATGGACGTCCCGACGACTTGAGGCGTGAGTGGACGTAAGCTTTTGTAACGTAACATAAGAGAACAGGGCTGTGTGGACCAGCCTTGGGGTGAAATGAAGTGAGGCAGCCATACAGCAATGTAGCTAAATTTCTCATCTACAGCAGAGAGTCGATGAGCCTCGTAAGGCAGACTAGCATCCCGCAGTCTAGACGTATATATGGTGTTTTTCTAAGATGGTAAACGTTCAAAACAAAAAAAGACACTGGATATAAAGAAATTATTCTTGCGGAATGACGTTATCACCCGTGGCAGATGTCAGGGCACAAGTATAGAGAAACAATTGGTGACTTAATTAACTAATATTTCCTAATTAACTTTACAATATTTTTTTTAGCTGGTACATTTCAATTTAAAATTCGCAGACCATAAATAATATAGGACAGCTGAGTTTTTAGCTTTTAGAAGAAAATTTCTGCCAAGTTATATCACGTGGCAAATTACCGAAATTTGCCATGTCACTACTCGAAGGATCTTTTTTCCTTCTAATATCTAACAATGCATCTGACCTACATTGACCGTGGGCTACAAATCTCCGAGTGAAATATGCCAGCTAAATCAAAACTACAGGAGGGCCCACATGTGTAGAAATGCGAAAGCTGTGAAAGCAACTGCGTTGCCGTGCACATATCGAGGACAAGGTCAAGGATGGCATCTAGGGAAACGTCTAGTACAACATCTAGGAATGTATAGGACGACGTCCTAGAGATCGACGTCAAGGATGACGTCCTAGACGTCATCCTCGATGCATATGTAACGCAATAGGCCCCTTTCAGAAATTCAGTGCCATCTAGTGGCTCCAATATTGGTTTAAATTTCTGTATGCTAATGGCAGTTAAATTTCAGTACCTATTCATCAATGGCAGACGTACGAAAGTTACGGCGTTCTTGGCTGTACAGTTCTTGCTTTTTCTATTCGTTCCAGTTTTAACAGTATCAAAGAAACTACCCCTCTGAAAGAGGTGCTACCGAGTACATCTCTTGGTAATATTCACCACAGTTTATTGTTGTGAGCAGCCAGCGTGCCGAAGCCGAGCATTCCGAGGACTTGCACGACATGCTTAAATGTGCGCGAAGCTCACAAGTCCCGTCTCGCCGACGTCAAACAGCAATGCGGCGAACTAATGTCTGGAATGTTCAAGCCCTGCTCTGCCTGCCTCGAAATTCCTCCTTCATCAGCTGTCGAAAGGAAGCCATTAGCACGTACGTATGATATACACTTGGGTTATGATAGTCGTCGAGGTGGCCAGACTGAATTTCAAAAAGGGTCTATTGTTACTCGCACCCCTTCTGCCTCCGACTCGATCCACACCGCAAATGCCGTACCAAACGGTCCGTGTCCTCGCTCCCGCAATGCCGCGCCGTCGGCGTCACGCGGAGCAGATCTCGGTGACGTTGCAGTCCCGGGCAACCTCGTCGTACAGTTCCAAGAATGTCTCCAGGGGGCAGCTCTCCGACGGACACCCGGGCAGCCGCTGGACCTCCTCGTTGAGGAACGTCGCCACCTGGTGGCCGCCGCCGGTGCACTCAAACAGCACGAACGCCAGGTTGGCGTTGAACGGGCACACCAGGCTCGACTGCCAGGCGCGTCCAGACTGCCGGCACAGGCCGTCAGCCAGCGGCGGCTCGGCGTCGCGGTAGAGACCGAGGCGCGCCACTACTTTCTTGAAGCCGCCGGCGTGCGAGAAGTAGAGCAGCTTCGTTGGCTGCGACGGGTCCTTGCTCACGTTTCTGCGCGACGGAGGTTTATTTGTACAGCAGGTACAACGAAAACTCACAAAGTAGGTGAGGCAATAAAACATAGCATTAAGTATATTCATACAGGCAGTCTCGGGCACTAATGCATTACAAGTGACGTTTTACTGTAACTTTCATTACTTTTAACTGTAACGAGTCAATTTTTTTCAGAAGGCATCTCGTAGCTGTTGTTATACTGATTTTTCTGAAGTCATGATAAAGATAACGACGTTACTTTTGTTTGCCCCGTTACCAGGGCAAAGAAGCATTGCATCGGTTGTTTGCTGTGGCAACGTGGAGTTGTACATCGACGTAAGCCGCCACAACGCAGTGAGACGCTAGAGTGAATAGTCGTTAAAAAGGCGATGAAACGTTTTTAACGTTGCGAGAGTCTGCAGTGCGTCACTTTTTCTTCGTTTATCTCGGCACAAGTAAAAGAAAACACGCAGCTTTATCCTAGATTGCCGCAATTCCACCGTGTAATCACAAAGCAGACTGTCTCGACTTGCAGCCATGTATTACATTGTTTGCTTTGGGTTGCGACCCCAAGGTGGGTCACGACAGGTTCCGCTGGGAGTTCCAAAGTGGCTTGGGAACTTGAATAAAGGTGAACTTTACTTCTCTCCGGTGGCATAGATGAAAGCAAAGAACAGATCGCAGCTCAGCATCAAGCTGCAACTGCAGGTGCGATGTTCCAACACCGCCCTCCTTCGAAGAAATTGTGGCTCAAAGTCCAACAAACAACCTCCCTTCGGTTGTTAGGAATCACGGAGGCAGGAAGAAGGGGAGGAAACATATCAGCTCAAGACTGTAAAACGAGAAAATCCCAAGTGAAGCCGAAAGTAGAGGTCACGGTCGGTGGGAATGCCCCCCAGGGTGACCAAAACAGCTGGAGGCACTAAATCAGCTCTCCCTTTCGTCCAATACGTCTTTTGGTTTGGTCGGCGGTGTGTCCCTCGAAACTGGAAGTCTCCCCGAGCTTCAACTCTGCTAACATCACATAGCCTAAAAGAACAACTCCGCTCAATTCCGAAGATTTCGGGGATAATGATTGATTTCAAAATAAAAAGCCCTAGTAAAACACACTACGTCGTCTGCTTCGCGAAAAATGGGATATATATTTTTAAATCTGATTTTAAACACAAGCGGAAATCGAAACCAAAACTTCGGCTCCGCCCGGCAACATTGGCCTCGGGTCGCCAAGTACATGGCCATCACGTGGTACGAGATGTCACGTGATCCTCGGCCCAACGACGGGCGGGATTGGGGCGGGCGTGTGGCAGGCGCGAGTGTCGTCTGCACCGCACTCTTCGCCACGTTTTGGTGTCTACGGCATTCGACGACGTCTGCACAACTGCGGCATAAGTGTGCGCGCACGTGGTGTCCGTAGTGTGGACGAAACTCCGAGAGACAATAATCACAATCGGTGAGATGACGACGGCGGTTGTGACGCGGAAGACGGCGGTAATGGCGGGACCACGGCGGGCGGCCGGACGGCTCCCAAGAAACGCGCTGCGCAGGCGCGTTACGCCAATCACGTGGACACTGCTGAGCGCCGAGAGGCAACGTTGCTGACGTCATGCGCTACGCTCGCCCGGAGAAGTGAAAACAAGCAAAAGGGGGCCATGTAGATGGCGTTTAGCTCAATGTTGGCTCCGCCCATGCCGTAGCCTTGACTGCGCTGTTGGTTGCGCCTGAATTTGCCCGCTCAAGTCAGCCGATTTTGGCAACTTGGCGAGTTGCAAAGTTTGCCGGACCGTTTAAGAAACATTTAGACAGAACTGCGTCGTAAGTTTTCACGTGTGGTCTTCCTAGGCGATACTGAAGAGGACTGCATTGTTTTTTCAAAAACCAAAAATGAAGCGGAGTTGCCCTTAAAAAAGCTTTTTACCTCCGTGTTGGGAATACCTAGTCGTTCCGGCTGGCAAGCATTTTTTTTTTTTTTTGCGATAATGATTTGTTGCTACTATACACGTTTGCAAGTCTGGTCTCAGGGCACCGCCATAGATCCTTACCTGCAAAGTCACACTTTGTAGGTAAGGATCTATTCGAGTATTTCATTTCAGCATGCTAGAGTTGAAGTTTGTGACACTTCGTAACTGAAAGGGAAACGCACGTGACATTGACGTTGCAATGACATTCAGAATGCACTTTATCTCTTTTGATTGGCAGCCATGACTGAATGGACGGTGAAAACCGTAGACGCGACTCCGTGTGAATTTCGGCCCTAACCCTGATCGTGCACCCCAGTAAAGATCTCTTGCCAGTGTCACCTTTTCTGGCTCAGTACATGCACTTAGCACCTTGAAACTCCCTATTTCCACCAATCTCTCGCCATTATCCATTCATGCACTTTCAGCCTCATCCAAAAACAAAAAATACCCGTGCCGCAGTGCGCGGTTCCTTCAAGGTCGTCTCGGATATTTTTACTTCGCAGAATCATCACGGGGGAAATATGCGGTGCTGGTAGCGGCGACGCTTTTGCCGCTCCACCCCAACTTCCCCCGGCTCTTCCCATCGACCACACTCTCTCAATACACGGCTCTGGTGAAAGGCCACCCCACCTGAAGCGGCCGACGAGCTCTCGCACGATGGGGCATGCCTGGGCGTAGTTGCGCTTGAGGCCGTACGCATCCTTGTAGTAGTCGTCCAGATCCTCCCGGAACTCGATGGCCTTGAGCTCGGCCTCGTCGAACGCGGCGCACCAGGGGGACGCGTCGTGGATGGCGTACTCAAACACGCACGCCCGGTACATGATGTCCACGTCGTCTGCATCCCGAGACACAAAGCTCGTCTGTTAAATCAATTTTTAAAGAACCACGCTCAATGTTTGTGCGGGCAAGACAAAGCACCGTCCATTGAAACTTGGTAATTCCATCAATTTCGAAGGTACCATAGACCTTTTTGTTCACTTTGACTCATATAGCAAGATAAAGCACCCTCCATTGAAACTCTTTCATTCAATCAATGTTTAAAGGGCTACAAGAATTTATTCTATGCAAAATGTAACGCAAAATTCCCACTGAATTTAGCGGGAAAACCCGAATTGGTGTTAATAATTCAACTTTTTTCATAAAAGTAAACTTAGTAATTCCAGTTTTCTCTTCCTAACATTAAACCTTAAAAATCACAAACATCGAACAAACAGAGCTCGCAAACACGTCAAATTTACCCTGCTAGCGATCTGTCTTTTTAAGTGCCATCAATCGGCGAAAAAAGAACATATACGTAAGTAAGCAGTACTGCTAAAGACAGGCTCTTATCATTTCGCTGAAACACGTTTCGCAGACAATTTTTCACAGACACACATTCGCTCACACAGTGACGTCTTCTGACAAAAACTCTTTTGTGGACACATACTTATGTGAAATTTCATTGACAACATATCTTTTTGACATGACAATGTCTCACCCAAAGGGGTGTACGTATGGAGACTTGTGCAATGGAAATAGACCTCACTATAGGGCTGTTCCACATGACACACTTCCAGCTAGGAATTTTGAAGCCCCTCTGAATGAACCACCCGAAAATTGCAGTGACGTGCCATCGCACTGACAGTGTTTCTCTCTAATGTAAGCGTCTTCGGCTATGTACACTCGATCAACCACACAGAAGTCTTTATCTGCAACAATCTTCAAAATAATGTAATTTGTGATCCTCTTTCTCCCGTCCTGAAATGTCTTTTGTTGCAGAGTCGTGACTGTATAGTCCAGGGGTTTCAAACATGCGGCCTGCAGGCCGCATACGGCAGGCAAGTTGCTCGGACAAAGCCTGCAGGCAATTGGCTACGAGCCCCTCCTTCCCATGTCTTGAGAGCTAGAAATGGCATGCGCCATAATGATCTCATGTCGCCGATTCATTTCCGCTCGAAACATAGCTCTGCTCTCATGACGCATTCGCCTAGTTTATACTGTTCTCTTTTCATTTCCCTCACGTTTCGTTTTAGTGTTTGCTTTCCAGCTTTTTGTCGTAAATCACCTGTACAACAATTCCGCTACTATAAGCTGCAAGCAGGAGCTCTTCGCTCAAAGATGCATGTCGGCTGCACAAACTCTCGCTCAGCATGAGCAAATGCCAAAGGTAAAGCTATAAGCTCGGGATTTTTGCCTTCAGAAAATAGCTGCCATTAAAATACAAGTATTTTCTCAGAATGTTGCTATAAAAGTCGCCAGGAAAGCAGAAACTGTCCAATGAGGAGATTTTTCTAGACATGTTTAGCTCGATTAATTCCCGAGTGAACTGAGCAATGGAAATGTGAGTGTGTTTGCCCTCTTGTTCTACTAAAAAATGCCAGCATTTTGACTGGGTTGTGCCGTTTTATTCTTGCTATCATATCAGGTAAGGCCCTAAGTAGTCTTATAAACAAAGCAAAGACAAAGATGTCACTGGCGAAACTGCAAGTTCACAAAAAGCAGAGAGCACGAGGTGCTCTCTATGAAATCTCTTGATCCCCCCCCTTATGTTGGCCCTCGACTTTTCGGGGGTAGACTCTCTGGCCTCCACACCCAAATGAGTCCAAGACTCCTTGCATAGCCGATCCCAGAGGCAGTGCAATACCTGTTGGTGAGCGCTCGGCCACACCCCTGCTGAAACGCTACAATATATTTCGAAAAGTTTCGTCTCCAAAGATAAATTATAACTCGCATTTCTATCTGCACTTGTTTTGATTGCCTCTGTGACTTGTGACTAAACAAACACTTGTGTTGTGTCTTGACGTTTGTTTGGTTTGGTTTCTTGTGTATTTTTTAGTCGTACCCCCCCCCCCCCCCCCCCCGGGCCGTATTAACTCGCCCACACAAGCCATATTAGTGAAGCCTTCAGGGCTTTTTTTAAACAAATTTGTTGATCCTAAAAAGTGACACTTTGTATAATATTGCGTTCATAATACACTTACACGGGCTTTTCAATCGCTTCACTGCACTGACCGTAAAAGTATACAGGTGCAACTTATAGACCGCAAATCACAGTATACATAGTGACTTTATCCGTCCAGTCAAGGTAAATCAAGCATAAGAGTTTGTCCAAATCCCACTGACTGGCTTATGCCAGCTCCACAGGCAAATCATCGATCGCATCTCTTCAGGGTTGTAGAAACTGGATGACGTACACATTGCATAACCGTAACCCAAGTGACAGCGAGCGAATGTCAAGTGCTGCTTTCAAATATGTTTTCGTTACAACACCTGCTGTTGGTTTTAAGCTTCTCTGGGAAGACTAGGCACTTACACAACAGATAGCAGTGGAAACGGCGAGTGCTACATCTTGTCACATATTGCCAAAGGGCTTTGAGATATAGTATGTCGGGACCTAAAGGTTTGGCAACATTGTGAATGTTTTACAAACTAATATTTTCACTCGATATTAAGGAAAACTCACCTCGGGTGACGTTGAATCCAAGACGCCAAGACATCGTGTCAAGGAGTCGCTTCATGTACGGTCCTTTCTCAAATTTGTCGACCTCCACCGGTGTGGACTTCTTTTCCTGCAATCCGGCGGGAAAACTGTTGTTTTGTTCCTACATCTATTTATGGCCACGTAAATCTAAATCTAGAAAGCATGCCCTGGTTTCCCCAAGACTTCACAGCTGACTTCTCTGCAATGCTGAATACTGAAAGCCAAGTTTGCCTTAATGACATGGAGTGGTATTATACTGCATTCCAAGATTTCAAAATGAAGCCACACATACTATGATACAAAGCATAATTTAATTTGGTCTGTTTGATATACACACTACCACACCAGATATGCTCATCAATAGGAAAATCCTCAAATTGTACAGTCGGCACGGAATGAAACGCGAACAGTGGGTGCATGGCTTTTGCTAGATGCTGCACCATCTGAACCAGATGGGAGCTGCAAGAAGATGGTTCCTCCTTCGATGTGTTAGACTCTTGCTCAGTGCATCCAAACCTTCGGTGTTGCGTCTGTAGGTGACTCAGCGTGGGTCGAAAACCATGCGCTCCATGTTCGCGTTTCATTCCGTGCCGATATAAGTGACCTGGAGAAGCCAGGGAAAACCTTCGGGGGGTTTGAGTAAATGCACTGCGAGAATCTACAAGCTTCCTAGGTAAATTCCCGAATTTCTTTATTTCATATTTTCACTGACTCGTGCAATCAGAAAACTCAGACGGCTTTTTAATGTATCGGTAGCTCAGTCGGCGATAACTCAATAATCATACAAGTAGCGATGGAAACTTTAAACAGGAGTTTTGTTCTTTGTGGGCTCACAAAAGTCTGCAGACTAGAGCGGTACCACTACCACCATCACATCAATGATTGTAGCCTTTTTGTTTCTTATCTCAAAGTGAGGGGGAACTTTGAAAGGATATAGCCACTGGGAGGTGCTACTCGAAAAGGCACGCTTTTGAACTATTAGTCTAATTTGCATGAAACTTGCAGGGCACAATTCAACAATTTGAAAGAGGTTGCTGTGCAAGGATTAAAGTTATGAAATTAATCCTTCGAAGGATTACATAAAAGTAATTAAAATAAGCACTGCCTCCCCCCCCCCCCCCCCCCCCACCACACTTCAGAAACAGTAATGATAATGGCTGGTTCTTTTGGGGAAACAAACAGTGTAACACCTATGTCATGCAGCTGTGGAGAGAAATTACAGAAATAACATAATTTTTAATAAAACAAAAACTGAAAACAAAAGATGTTGGTTTTTTACGTGCATCAGACTGAAGATATTGCAGTTTTTCATAACGAAGGAGCATAAAAATACAGATGCATTCCTTACAAAATTTCAGTGTAGGAACTCCAAAAACTGGCTCAACAAATCAGTTCCTTATCAAATGATAGTTTTCCTGAGCCGAGCTTTAAATGACAAAAACTGAAACCGAGATAAATACGTTGGAATGTTCAAAAAGTTTCACTTTAGAAGGTGCCGGCTTGTTGGAAATAATTTATTCCGGAAAAAAACGACTGCATGTTTGGTCATTCGGCCGAAGGCATTTAAATACTGCTGCTTTATTGGGTGGGTGGTGCCCTTAGTTCGGGAGGTGCCTAGGGTAAAAATGACCCCTAGTCTTTCAGTGCCTGGCATTGACGGAGCCTAGAACAAGGTTTTGTACGGAAACACATTACGTCACATTATTGTCTCTTTGTGACACTAAGTGTGCTTCCCTTCAGTGCCACCCAGATACAAAGCCCCTGCACCAAATTTTCTGGGTCACCAAGAGAGCGGAAGTGCACTTTACTGGCCTTTCCGCTACTCCTCGCTCAGCATGCTTTTTCTACACTGCTGTTTCAGTTCCTCTTTTTATTTTTTCTCGCCCTTTCCATCCCTCTCCACTTTCTCACACCACCTGCTTCTGCTCCTCCAATTTCTGTGTGCTGGGTCCATAGCTCAGTCAGCAGCACACTCGGCTTCAACGCCAGTGACCGGGGTTCAATCCCTGGCACCGGGGGCAATTTTTTCAAGGTCGACTGACCTCCACATTTTGTGCTTACGTGGCTCCTGAGGTTGGCTGGCCCTTTAAATCTACCACTTCGAAAATACTTTCGTTACAGGAATGAAACTTTACGACAACATCCGTTGGCTGATCTGAAAGCGGATACACTAGTTGCTAAAAAAGTGACTTAAGAAATAATTTACACTTCTTAGGTTGTGTACTTTCTTAGAAAACCCATGGCAAGGCTTATTACGTTCACGTCTGACTTGGTGATTCGTCCTTGGCCGTTCTTATCGGCCAGTGCCGCAATCTCGACTGCGGAGCGATTATGACATGCTCCGGACTCGCCACACCCTGTGCTTCTTAAACGGCAACTCCGGTCAAAAATGAAAGCAAAATAAATGACTGGTAGTGGCGTCACTAGGGCCAGCGGCACCCAGGGCAATCTCGTGGCCCGCCACAACAGCGACATCCCGCCCGAGCGCTGCCCTTGGGCCCCCCCCCTCCCTTCTGTGACACCACTGATGACTCGTATTGCTCAAGTGGCACAAAATATGATTGCAGTCGAAATATTACGTCAAAGTGAAGCAGCATACTCCACTAAAACCGTTTTAGAGCGCAGCTCTTAGGTGCCCGTTTCTGGTTTGAGCGATGTAGCTGCGGCGTAATTGCGTGTTGCATTATGGGACGTTTCCCATAATGACGTCACGAGTGAGGTCACAAAGGTCATTCGTGAAGGTCACAACGTTCACAGTAAAGGTCATAATTTTCACGTGACCTTCATGAGGCCTTCACAAGGGTCATGAGTGATGTCACGAGGGAGGGAGGGGGGAAGGAGGAGGGGAGGAGCAGGAGGGAGGATGAGGATAGAGGAGGAGGAGGAAGGAAGGAGAGGAGGGGAAGCGAGGGGCATACCCTCCTCTCCGTACCCTCTCCTCCTCCTCCTTTTTAGGAGCTGCACTCTAATTCGGCATTACAGGGAATTGTAAACGTCTTCCATTTTTTTATTTAAAGATGCGACCAGATGTTTTTTAGCGGGTGGCAAGCAGGCTAGCTTTTAGTCAAGGAATACCGAAAGACCCGTGCCACAGCACCCCTGTGGCGTCACGTCAAGGTGGAGCTGCGATCGATTCTGCACGTTGTACTGCTTATCGCAGCACCACGGGAACGTCACGTTGCGGCTGTACGGCTGATGATCAGTGTCGCCATCCCTCTCTAGTAGATACCGTAAAGTTCCGAAAGAACGCCCACCCAAAATGAAGAGATAAATGGTGAAAAACATAGGGTGGGCTATATTTGGTGATGCCACAGCAAAACCCTACCAAAAAGTAATGATAAGCACCCTGGCACCCGCTACAAACCACGTGACGCAGGAACTGATACCGCAGATCGCGGACACAGCAAGTTCGCGTTTCACGATGCGATAAACACGCGAAAATTCGCTACGAACTCCTGTGCCACAAGAAAGGATACTACAAGTAGCGGACGCAGCAGATTCGCGTATCACGGTGCGAAGGACCTGTTGAAACCTGCCAAGGAGTTGCATCTCACAGAAACAAATACTGAAAATTGCAGACGCAGCAGATTCAAGTTTTATGGTGCATTAAACACGCAGGAACCCGCTACAAACTTGCCTATCGCAAGAATCAAAATCGCCTGCGCAGATCGCGGACAAAAGAACGGGAATCTGCTGAAAACTTGTATGTCACGGAAACGCATACAGCAGATCACGGACGCAGCAGAAAACTGTATTGCACGATGCAATATACACGTGGGATGAACTCGCGTGTTACAGGAATTGATAACACGCACGCAGATTGCAGACAAAAACACTAGAACCCGCTATGAACTCGCTTATCAGACGTACCGGTACAGAAAATCACGAGGCAGATGCGATTCCCGTCGTACATTGCGTAACGTTCGACAGGAATCGGGGGGTGGGCAATGTTTATAATTTTTAAGTTACAGATATTTAGTCAGAAAAACAGGATGGGCAATCTCTCGGGGGCAGGTGCTCTGTCGAAACTTTATGGTAGTTTCAGTATTGCCATAGACACCTGAAATCAAGCTTTGAGCCTGCAATATTTATAAAACTACACACAATATTGGAAAAAGCTAATTATGCTTGTAATTCAGGGACACTGCTTGAGCTGAAAACAGTTGTAATCCAAAATTCGAAACTATTGACCAGAATTGCCCTTTAAGCATAAAATTACCATAGTAATGGCAAACCTAATCAGAGAAGACACTCCAGTGGTGCATAAGGAAGAAACCAAGCAGCTGAAAGCGTGTCTACAACGAGAATACCACTAACGCTCTTTCCAAAACATGCATGCTTTTAAAGTCCATCAGCTGCCACTACTGCGCAAGCTTAAAGAGATAAGTAGGTAGTCACTTTGATGAGCTTGTTGCACTCCTTGTGAAACTGCAGCAGGCTGTCCTGGGGTGGCCCGAAGTTAATGGCATCAAAGTCTGCAGGAAACAGAACCGTAACGTCACAGGTCGGTTGGGAGCCCACGTGTGTCCAGTTTCCACGTTTACTGCATCTTTATTAATGCAGAATATATTTTAATGCGATAGCATTAAAGAGCTCGTTTCGCAGAAAGGCGGCGCTGTCACCGGAAAACTTAGGATTGGTTGATAGGGTCATGACATGACAGCCACATGACCTCACGCATAAATTTCAAACAACCCGCAACGCCCACATGAATAGTGGCATCACGCGTGGAATGGAAGTGATTAAAACATGACACGTAATGTGAATTCAAAGCCGCCACATGTCTCAAATGGTTTCACCTAAAAAAAGTAATTAATTTGCCTTAAAGGAAAAATTTGAAGAATTTTAGATGGGATACAAACCCACAACCATTCGGTTGTGAGCCAGACACGCTACCGACTGGGTCACGCAGACACACTTGCATAGCTTGGGAACGAGTGGGGGTCTATGCGTAGCTATTGCGTTCTGGTCTTAAAGGTGAAGCTTAAGTGTCCTCCTGTAATTTGAACGGAAGTTGGGATTTGTGTTGTATTGCCATAGCCATGCAGTGCCATCGTCAGCTAAATTTAGTGGGCTCACATCCCTTTGAATTTAGCGAGATGCCACTATGGCTCACGTGACTGGTGTCACCAAGGCTCACCTGACCAAGTGACATATGACGGGCCACGTAAGGTCATGTGATATCACTATTAGACCTAGTAACGCTGGGTGTTAGGTCGTGGTGTAACATGACCGTCAAGGTGTTGCGTTAAGACTGCGTTACTCTGCCCAGATCTGCCTTTACAATCGCTAATGTTTTCTGTATACGGTAGATGACGCGAGCGCCTTAAACTTTTTTGTCCTCTTGATTTCCGCTTTGTCAACAAGTGGGTAACATTGTTAACTGCCATAACCCCGGCAGTGGCACAGTGGTAGGTGTTGATGAAGCAAACGCCTTTTCTGCTGTAGCTCGCTCCGCAGTCTGCCAGTCTATGGAAATTCCAGCAGCCGTTGAGCTAGGGCTCCGCAACAACAGTGACTCCTGCGTCCACTCGTCTTCCTTTTGCCGGCGCTTCTAATACCAATCACCAGGAACATGAAAACCTGAAGCACAACTCAGAGGCTCCTGTGACATATTTCGTTGCTGGTTCGAAGGCACTTTAGCGTGTGGCCAGTATCGGACGCACGCTAAGCACACCGCGGCCGAATACAAGTTAAAGATATACACAATAAGCACCACCGCACAATCATGGCACTGAATTGTTCCGCTGCAGCCAGGAAAGGCAGTAGCCGGGACAAGTTATGTGAAACATCAACGTTACGTGTGCCTCGATAGCAGACCATTTGTGCATCAAGGAGAAATGGCGGCTGGTGGTAATGAGGTGGGAGTCTGACTTGAATCTGACTATAACTAGAGATGCTTTCCGAGCCACCATGACGTGAGCTTGCAGTCACGGGACGCATCGACGCTTTGCTCGTGGTGAGCAAACCGTCCTAAGCCCGGTGACGGCAGGAACTCGGGTCTTTCACCTTGCTTCGATAGCAGGTGCTCGAGAAAGGCTTCCGCCGTCTGCCGGGTTCGTTCGCGGCTTGTGTAGCCCACCACGAAGTCGCTGGCATTGAACTGTCCTTGGAACAGGCCCGGGAACCTCCTCCTTAACCTGCGCACTGACACACGCAAGACAAGAGATATATAGTAGTACTCTACTGCATCATGCACGTCAAAGGCCACAGGCTAGCACATGTATAGCACTGGCTAAAATTTCTCGTCTGCAGTGCAGAGTCTGCAGACACCAGATGGCGCTGGGTAACTTCCCACCGTCGAAACATGCAAACAACACAGATTCAAAGGATGTATACTATGTTGCAGGTTAAGAAAAGCAGGTCAAGCTCGCCTCGCAAGGCCCTCCACTCTTTCCAATTTAGCACAGTGGATGCTGGAGAGGAGGACTTTGTGGGAGGAGCAACCTGCAAGAGTATACAGCCACGCCCGGTTATATCACACCTGGGTATTTTGAATTAATGTTTATATCAAACAGTCCACACATCCCCTTGAAAATCACATGTAATTGTATAGGAGCGTTGCTTTTCTGTATCAAACTCCCATGGCGAGAACACTCGATATAGCGAACAAAGCACGGAGGCCCGCCCCTTCTCCCGCGGTCCGATTGCGCCTGCAGCGAGCACATAACTTGCGTTGCGTGGTGGGCTGGCGGACCGCCAAGCCAGCATACACGCACGGGGATACGCAGCAATAGAGCAGTTGTAAAAACGTAAAAAAAAGACAAAAAGTGGAGGTAGGGCAAGAACATAGGGAAGGGCACCTGCATGCGTAGGGAGGGTAGAGGGTGCCCGCAGTTGGAACGGTAGCGTGCGCTCTTTCCCCGAACACCACTGTCGCTGCGCGACTCCTTAGCCCCAAAATAAGCTAAGCAAAAAAAAAAAAAAAGTCTTCGTCAAGTTGAGTGTGTTGACAACAACGTTTGCATTCGCACTTCGAAGGCCTTATCTTTGTATACCTTTTTCTTTCGCCGTTTTTGCTTTGCACGCTTTTTCTTTTTTGCCTTTCTTTTTTTGCTGCCTGAATTTAGTGAGGTTTCTTTTTTGTTGTTTGCTTAACTTTATCCTATAAATCAAATTCTTTTTTATGCGGCTTTTTTTCTTTCAATTTTTGTTTTATTATTTTCGTGCCTTGTTGCCGGCGCTCTGTGGAGGTTGTGGCAGACGTCAACTCGACGTTGTTTGTGATCTTCACCAACTAAGCTCTACTGCATTTAGCCGCTCTTAGAGGCTCTAATCGGTAAGGTCCCGTCTGTCGCAGCCTTCGGTATTAGCAGACACGAGCGGCAATTTCTACAGAAGCTTAAGTTAGAATTATTTTGTATATCATATTATCGATATATCAAACCATTTTAAGATCCCCTTTGAATTCAATATATCTGGGTTCGACTGCAGTATGTGATGGAAGGCACTCATTGCGCCGAAGCCGTCTGAGGGAACACTGTTTAAAAAGACTCCCAGTTCACTGAAACTCAGTTTAAAGAAAACGATGGCTCGCAGTCTCTTATTAGATAGCTAATTGAGGATGCGTAATCTTCAAAGAGCACATGCATTTACGTATCTGCTAGTGAAGTGAGCATCCCCCTGATCTACTGATATCATACTCTCTTTCACCCTAAGTGTGAGCATAGCAGAAGGTACAGGAGCGAGCTCTAGGCTCTTAGTGTCTCAGCCAAGCACGTGTGCTTGTGCAGTGCAAGCACTGTCCGGGGCTACATGGTCGTGCTTGTGGCCTCAGCTTCGCTCGCACATAGAGCGAAGCAAACTAGAGGTAGAGCATAGTTTAGCTCAATGAAGCACAGGAAACACTCTTGCACTATACCAAGTTCCTTATGTACAACCAGAAAAGTGCACACTAAGCACATCCCAGTAACCATAAACAACGAGAGCAAGACGCTAAACACCAAAATGTTACTTTTGGAAAAAAAAATTTTTATTTGTACATTGCTGCTACTGTGGTGGCTGCCATTTTGTAGTTACTGGAGGCAGCCATTTTGTAGTTACTGGAGGAAGCCATTTTGTGACACTGATGCAGCTATAGTCCGCTACAACTCAAGAAGTAAGGTAGGACGAGGGAAAGGAAGGTTGGGGAGGAGGAAGCAGACGGACAGCTCGAGAAAGGAGGACGTTCTGTCAGCTTCCTTTTCCCCGGTCTTCCTTTCCATCGGCCTACCTTCTTGAGTTGCAACGCATTATAGTACTTTGTAGCCATCAGAGGCAGCCATTTCGTAGCCATCAGTTTCAGCACCGCGACCGTGAAATGAAGCTGGCACTCTGGGAACTGTTCAGTGACTCTAGTTGCCACGTTCTAAATAAATGAGACCTCGGCTTAATCCAACTTTAAAATGGAGAGATGGGCTAGTTGGTGCACGATCCTTAAACTATATGTGCCATAAAAGAGGGACAAAAGGAGAGAGACACAAAACAAAGTCTCCTGTGTTCCTCTCCCTTTACCCCTGTTCTACAGCGCATATTGTTTAAGAATCAGTCCACCAATTTGGAAGAAACTGGATGCACCTGGTAGAAGACAGAGTATGAGGATTCCCAGGACGAAGCAACGAGCAAACCAGGAAGAAGAGGGAAGAAGTTTCTTGAAACGACCTTGGGGGCCAAAGATGAGCCACACTAGGCACAAAAGAAACTTTGGGGGAGCCCGAGCCCGGTCACTGCAGCTCGACGGTGGCAACAGGATCTAGCTTCCTCGGTCGGGAAAGCACCAGCACTCGCTCTAGCGCAAGCTCGCAGATTTCCACGCGAAAAGCTCCTGAACCGGCGATTCACAAAAGCGGTGCACTCAGACAAAAATGAGCTGTCCCAATTCAAGTTTTCAATTTACGAGAATCTACCGTAATCCCGAGGCCCGGCGAAAATCGAGAGATCTCGGTCACATACCTTGGTCGCCGACCACAGATTTCCCGCTTGGCGTCACCTTGTTGTCGTGGTGTGGCTTGAAGGGCATCTTCCAGCGCTCCAGTTGCTCGAGGTCAGTCTCGCAGATGTGGACTGCAGCGATCGAGAGGGAGACACGCTCAAGTTTGTCATAGACGCTTACGGCTCGAGAGACGCGGCACGTGGCTTGTTACGTTTGAGCGTCACGCTTCGTGATTCGGTCTCCATCATCCTTATTGGCTAATGATGCGATCTCGTCGGCTGCAGATTGATGATAAAATGCATGGGACTTGCCGTGCCCCACGTTCCTTAACTATGTCAGGGACTATAGTTGCGACTGTTACATTAGTACCACCTTTTTCTAAAATCATAGTTATGAAAAGGTCAGTTCCAAGCAGACATGCTCCAGGGGAAAAACATTCTTTTCATTATTTACGATAGGTGAATGAATTTTTTACAATTTATCAGGGCTCGGTCTTCTTTTTATAAATCTGGTGTTAGTTTTGACATAACTTGTTTTTTAAGCTTTGGGTGCTATGCACGAGCAGAAAAAAAGCCTGTTCTTGTACACATAGGGCATGGCAACACACTTAAAAGAGCCTAGTAAAATGAGCTAATTTGCTCCTTTTGATAGACCAATATTAAGGACAAATATTTTTGTGTGCAAACTGTGAAGATGCCCCAAAATTACATAAAGATGAAAACGTGTCTGAATGTTACCACAGACGTATAGCAACACTCTTCCGCGAAAAAAACAACAAAATCTTTTTTTTAAACAAGTTTTTGTAAGACGTTGAAGCTGCAGAAGACTGCGACGGAGGGGAGACGGCTAGGCCTACTTCTCAGCATAAGTGTGATCAAATTTATGCCGTTTTGGATTGCGGGGAGTTCCTCAAATGCATATTCGACCCATTTCGCAATCATAACCGGTCCTTAGTAATTTCATACGTAAGATATAAAGATTCAAAGATAATTGAACTTCATAAAACACATCGAATTTCTTGTAAAATATTGCAGTTTTTCGACAAAAGCCACATACCATAAAATACCGAGCCTCCGCCCATTCCCTACTAAGTGCCCACCCCAAAATTTTGCAACATCTGAAAAAATATGCACAGTAGATATATAGGTAAAATTAATGACCTAACAAGCGCTCATTCCCCAATTTTCGCAATTATCTTCATACTTGAGTGGGCGCTTGCTCGGTATTTTACGGTAGTTATTTTTTTTACACAAAATTTGTACAGGGCACGGGTCTCATTAAAATGTCCCCAATAAGTGTAATGCAAACCATGTACCCCCTGCAGACAATATGAGCTGAAACACCCAACTTGGCCTCTTCTGCATCTGCGGCCCCCACAATAGCTCTGTTATTTTTCAATTTGTAAAAAAATGGTTCGCGGTATGGCACCTTAACTTCACATTCCATTCCTAGTTTGGACTGCAGCTCTCACTGGAAGGTACGCCAAAGAAACGCAGAGGACTGCTTCAGCCATAGCCTGCGGTAGCAACACGCTAAATTTAGCCTACACTTATGCACTGTCATGCTAAGTTTAGACACGAAACCTGCATATTTCACTCTAAATTCTACCAAATTTAGCAGCCCTTGATGTCAATTTTGAGCACAAAAAATCTCACGATCTCATGAAATTTCACGAAAATCTCACGAAAACCTTACTAAAATTTCAGGAAATCTCACCCAGCACAGCTTAAAACATGCTAATACACACATCCTGTGTCTCCCGACTTCATCTGGAGTGTTCAGACACACACGACTTTTACTACATCAAAAATCCCTCTACTATGTGCCGTAAAAAAAAAGAAGATTACAATGTTTTTTCCTAGTTTAAAAAGAAACTGCGTTGTTGAATGCTCATTCCCCGTCCAAATGTAGCGCTGGCAGTCTGATGCAGATGCCAAGATTTCAGAACTAACCGTCATCTCATTCAAAAGTTGTAAGTGATTTTCTGAAAACTTCAATGGGAAAATAGGGCACGTTTTTACCCGTTTTTGGCAACTGGCGTAATTCGGGTCTGTGAATTCGAGAGCTCTGTCGGCTGCCATTTTCCCATTGAAAATTTCAGAAAACCACTTACAACTTTTGATAGAGATAACGGTTAGCTTTGAAACTTCGGCACTTTCTGGTTCGCATCGCTAGGGCCACACTAAGGCGGAGAACGAGCGTTCAGCGACGCATAGTTTATTTTCGCAAAAAACAAAACAAAAAAACCTGTAAATCTTTTGGGGGGACGCCCTGTACTTTTGAATGCTTGCAAGCATTAAACCAGAACTCTAATCTAAAAAAGCTGTGGTAAGCTCGTCATGCTGGTACTTAGAGGCACTTCTCAGGTATAACCTGAGAAGTATAATAAAAGTGTAGTGACTTAGCGTGCACACCTAAAAAAAAGAAAAATTACACAACTAGAGAGAGCAGAGGGTGGTGCACGAAAGCCCCCGATGTCAAAGTTTTTTTGCGGTTCAAGTTAACCTTATTTTGTTGTTTCTTTAACTTAAAATACCCTTTGTAGACCCTCAACGGATTAGGTTAAGACATAGAACAATGCTGGTTGAAGCGCGAAGAGGGTGGGATGGGGGCAGTAAGGATGGCACTTTTGGCACGGGGGGAATACGGGACGGGGTAACTGAACACGGGGTTTTTGAAATGAGGGGCTAGCGACGCGGGGCTTTTGCGATGGGGATTCTGCACGCGGGGCAATCGTGCTACACCCAGTGCAGTAAAGGCAGCTTTGCACCAGAAAGAAGTGAAGTTGGAAGCATACATGCACACACAAAGGAGAGAGACAATGATGATGATGGTACAAGGATGGGCGCACACACAATTCCAATGTTTACAAATGCACGGCCCAGCATATCATCTCGGCAGCTCAGTTTGTCATTGCTCTCGAAAGCGAACAAAACATGCACAATAAGCAGAGAAATTGAACATGGCATCTGTTGAAAGCTTTTCATTGGAACTATATGAACTATATTGTATGTGTTCAGATTAGGACAGTAAGAGGGGTGTCATGTCTATTTTTTCTTTTCAGTTAAATTTTTATACGAGGTAGCAACACAAGTTCACAAAATGGGATGGGCCATACTTTTGTGAAATACTTCCTTGGTTTCTTTGAGAAAAAATCACATCTGAAAGGAGGCTGAAAAAACTATTTTCCCAACTGCGCACTAATGCAACTTTCCAGGCCGCAGGAATAACTACAACTTTCTACACCATTAATATTTTTACGTTTATTTCATGCTAATTGGTTTGCTAGATTTAGTTAAATTTATTTTATTTTAGAAATATGTTTCAAGAGAAATAAAATGAGAAACTTTTTAAGCACCTCTTCCATAATGAGGCGTTTTCGACTAATGCTTAAGGTATTTTAGAAGTATGTTTTTGAGCTGACCCAAGGCAGAGAGAACGCGCAATAGTACGACGCTGCTCACCTTTTTTTTCCTGTGCTGCGCTCAAGATGTTTCTGAGGAGCTGGGGAAGCACGTCTTGCATCTCAACGATGTTCTCCCTGTCCGGGTACCGAGTTGTATGCCGGTTGTACAAGAAGAAGGCGCGAGGTCTGCATCCTGCGCATAACGTCGGACATCCTTACACTGTCGTTTTCGCCCATATTAAGTGTGACAGCATTCATATGGCCACGAAACCACGAGATTATGTTTGTCCATCCATAAGTGGCTCGATGGCGCACCTGCTCCAAGTTTTTTTACCATGGCAACATAAGCAAAATAATGAACGCGAACACTTGCAGTTTATCAAAATCGGGGTTATCTCCCGTTTTTTATAAAACTAGCTCGGGGGTTAATAGTTTTAGGGGTTTATCAGTAAGTGTAGAAAACACAAACCCCCTGTTGTAAGTAGGCCATGGATTTTCCACCGTTTATTAATACGAGAAATCGGCAAATGTTTTTTGGTGTTCATTTCTTTTTCGTTTTTTCAAATGTCGGCGTGTTTCGGTGATCTGCTTCGGATCGACGCTAAAAAACCGTGGTTATTGGTGAAAGGATCTTGTTAGGCCCACTTCAGATGGGGCAATTTCTCCCAGCAACTTGACGTTCCAACACCAGCAACACGGGCCTCTCACGTTCATACGCAGCAACCAATTGCTGCGATCTGCCATTATCGTCATTAAGTTTTATTTTTCTCGCACAATTTAGACACACAGTTACGCTCTATAAACATGTTTTTATACCTTTAAATGGCATTTCCGAAACGGTTTAACCCAAAAGTGATCCATTTCACACCAGAAACAAGTCGTTAGTTGTCATCATCACTGGCTAGGGTTGCAATGTGAAGATATCGCGTCCCTGATTGGCTGCTGCCGCTTCAAATGTCTCCGAGTCGTCTGTTTCTGTTTCGAGCCGGATGCAATTCGAGCAATTTGTGTTGCACTAGGGAAAACTAGGCAACAACTCGCCAGCAACACCGAAATTGCCGTGAAAGTTGCATTGTCTGAAGAGAGCCTTATTAAAAACCGAGGGTTCGAGTCTAAGAGGGGAGTGTTTCTACAAAAACAGTTCCAGCTATGGTCGCCGACAAGGCAAGAGCGGCAGGGAGGAGCTCCAGTTGTCCTGCCTTCAGTGCGAGCTCCCTACCTTCGACAACACTTCAACATTTCGTGCACCTTGAGCGCGTGCGCACAGTCAAAGCAAGGCGGAAGGCACGGAGGGAGTGCTGGTGGCCAGACGTTCGCAGGACGCGCCTTGCCATTCTCATTTTGTTGGCGACCATGGAGAGAACATTCCCGGAAATTTGTGTTTACACCGGTTTTAATTGGCTTCATACGTCAACAGACGTTTGTCGGTGCTTTCTGGACACCGACGGGGTCTTTATTGATGTTTTTCGGTTAAATCTAGAAAGTCTACGGCTTAGGTAGTTTGGGGTTTCTTTTTTGCTCCAACAGATTAAAGGAGAGTGGGAAAAATGGTGGGAGGAGAGGGACAGTCAACATATTTCTTCAGTGAATACCTAGTTCTAAAAAGTTGATGAGCTGCTTGATTGACGACGCCTTGGTAGTGGTACTTTCAACTCTAATGACGTACCTGCTTGACGTGGTGCATACGATTTGATGCAGTGGTTGCCACTTTGACACTCAAAAGTAAGTAGCATGAATTTGTTTTGCTCTATTTTTGAACGGTTTGGCCAACGGCTGTGGCGAACTAACATTGAAAAGATGTCTTAGTAGGGGGTTGCCACAATTGGCAACCTACTGCGTGCAAGGTAGTTTGGGAGGAATGGCACAGTGAGATAATGGGTGGAATGGGACAGTGTCTTAGTTCTCCTTTTATGAAGATTGGTGCTCTGACTGGTAGATGAATGCAAAGGTTAACCTGTAAAAATGAATAATCATCTCATTTTCGTTCATATTGCATTTAGGTCAGGTCGTTCATATTGCATTTAGGTCTTGCGTAAAATGTTACACGGACACCCTGTCTATAAAGGCTCATTCACACTCTTGCGACCGAATAAGACCGAGAGACAGACATGTACAAGTTACTGAAAAAAGGTAGCTAAGTTACTGAGCATTGACGCCAAAAGTAATTGGAGTAGAGTAGAAATTATGAGTTTGTAATAGCAATTAAGTAAACTACTAACTACTGTAAAAAAGTAGCGAATTACTTTTGAAGTTACTTTCGAAGTTACTTTTTTATATTTTTGTGGTAGCAAAATGAACAGTAGTTTTCATTTGTGAAAAACCTTGCGAGCCTAAATGAAATGCAGTCATTTTATGGCTCGCGTTTTCACCAAAATCAGTTTATTTGCTTGCAAAAGCAATTGACTTTCAAAGTTTTTATCGAAGGGTTTCCCCTTTTCCTCCTGAAAACGTCCCCAGCCAGGCTAAAAAGGCGTTCCACCGACGCGCTGAATGGAATAGCAGCGTTGAATTTCAGGAACAGGCTGTGCAGGGTCGGGTAGGCAAGTGTTGGCATCTTCGGTGTCCATGACTAAACATGTGATGTCTGCCTCGGCTAGAGGGTCTTTTTTTAACTAACTCTCCTACTTTTTTTCTTTTTTCGACAAGTAGGGATCGTTATGACTGACCGTTGAGCGAGTGTACTTCACCGTCAAGGGTTCAAGTCCCGCGCCACGACGATGGGATCATCCGGACAACTGTGCATCTCGCAGTGCCGGTGCTACGCTACTGAAAAAAAAAATGTTTTGGTTTAACAGAAGATGAAACGATGTATACCTCGCCGCTAAGGCGGGTCCAACAAACGCATCTCCCAAGGGTGACTCGCAATTCTTGCCGGCGACTACGGTAACTTGATGCGCCTGACACGCCAGACAAGTAAATCATTTTCAACAAAGAGGAGGTCCCCCTGCCGTGGAAGGTCGGAAAGATGCGAAGGATCCGTGTCTGCGTTTGTGCGCGAGGGAGTCTGGCTTCGCAAGGAAGTATGCGCTGACGACGAGGCGACAATGCGAACAGGTGCCCAGCTGCGAGGTCATCCCAGTGACGCCTCCCATGGAACCCCAAAACTGCTCGAGTCAGAACTCACTGAAGGCAGACAACATGAAAACCACTACAACCCTCGGAGTGTCCCCGTCTTTCACGGTTGCAGCTGGAGGCGCGGCGCCTGCGTGAATTACCGGATTAGGCCAATACGCGAGCAAGTCTTGTTAAGCATCTCTTCCTTCGTTCGTGCGCACCCGTGTTATGCTTTGGCTGCTCGTCGCCACAATACACCTTGGCCCAAGGACGCCCGTGATGCAGTTTCTACGGCTGCCGAGTATAAGTGCGTGGGAACGGAATGTGAGGGTGACCCTTGTTCGGAAATGCCACTTCATTTGCCGGCGTCTTATTTATTTCTGCGCTCAAAATTTTGTGATGAGCAAAATTAGCACTATATTTCCAAAGTAGTTAGTAATTTGAGTAGAAGTTACCTGAAAAACATAGTTAAAGTAAACTACTAATTACCCAAATACAAGTTACCTGGAAAAGTAGTTAAACTACAGTAGTTTGAGTAGAGTAGTTGAATTACGTCCAAGTCTGCCGAAAGAGAGCAGACCGGTTTTAAGCCTCTTGCGACGTCTTAGGACTGGATGCGCTGCAGCGGAGCTGGTCCTAAGACATTGCAAGATGCTTAAAAACCGGTCTGGTCTCTCTCGGTCTTACTCGGTCACAAGAGTGTGAACGGGCCTTAAGTGTTGTAGCAATGCGCTTCGTATGCTGGGGGAGCACTGACCGGGTACCGTGAACTGTGGCTCCTTCTCGAGGCCGAGGCGGTCGACGAGCACCCGGTAGTCGGTCTTGGTGCCGTACAGTCGGTACGGCGCTTTACTTGTCTGGTAACACGACTCTCGGTGGTTCTCCGGGAAGCACTCGGCTTCCTCGCGGTGAAGCAGCAGGTACAGAAGCACCCCGGTTATCACCAGTGCCGCCACCAGCTGCGAGAAACACACGAAAGGTGAGGCACACGTTTACATGTAACAAAGATAGACTTAACGACAACTTGAGGACACATCAAAACAATTCGTCGAATTTCGTGAATAATGAAGTTCAGAATAAAATTCAAGTGTGCTCTGAATGTGGGATGCACATTGGTTTCTGCCTGTTTAGGAATTTGGTTTCATAAAAAATAAAATAAAAAAAGGGAAGTTTATTAATTTTTTGTTTACAAGTGTTCTTTAGAGCACCAGGAAGGCGCCCATGTTACAATAGCTGCCCACCCATAACTTTTAACACGTTTGAAAACTAAGCAAAAAGACAAATAAGCACCCATCCCCAATCTCTCATGTTCACCTCAAGAACCGTAGTAAAAAAAAGTCTGGCTCCTTGCAAACCATTACTAATTTCCCCCTTTATGTGGTGAATTAAGATATATGTCAGTGCATTTCAAATTAGCTATATTTTATTCTATGAAGACACAGACATTTCAAACACCAAAAGCATTGCTTCTTCCCCCAACATCTAAATACTGCAAGAACTACCATAAAACACCGACCATCCGCCCATTTCACAATAAGCGCCCACCCCTCAATTTGTAACGTTCAGAAGATACACGAAAGACATATCTTTACATATATTGTTGACTTAAGCAGCACCAATCTCCCAGTTTTACACAATTATCTCGAAAGTTAAAGTGAGCACTTGCTCAGGATTTTACGGTACTTGGTACGGTGTTTGAACAATGCACAAAACTTGCAGTTTTTCTTATCTCACAAGTGGCGTTTTTCCTTATCTGACAAGTAGCGCAAAGCAGCAAAGCCCACCCTATCATATGCCCCTATTGCATTTTTGACTCATTCCCCAGTCTTTCAAGGTTATCCTTACATCTTGGGTGAGCACTTGCTCGAAATTTTACAGTAGGTCGCATGCGCGAAGCGACAGGCATCATGGCTCACGCAAGGGTTGTTGTAAGGTGTGCTTTATGCTCAAGGCATTTCTAGCTCCTGCCATGTTGCAGAAAGCAAAGGCTGCATCGAGCAGCATTGGAGGCTATATTTTTGGGCACTGCTTCCAGTTCGAATCGTGTGATTAGATCAGAGCCCACATCAAACACTGATGCAGCCGTGATGCCCAACACATGCTCAACACAACACATTTTGTGTCGGGCTGATGCCCAACAGAAAATATTGCCGCCTCGGATAATTAGTTACTAGATGCCAGATACTTTCGAAGAGGGTCTGATACCTCTTATTCTAGGCAGCGAACCTAACACTAGTGTGGATTACTGGCACCTGTGACTTCACGAGATGATTGGTTCCATAAACATTCGTGCTGGTTGTCAGATCGAGAGATACACCTGTTTCCTTTTTTTTAGATAGTTGAGCGGGAATAAAGCTTCTGGTTGAAGCCCGTCATGCTTCAATATGTGCCCGTCGTGTCGCACAAACTATGCCTACTAAAATACCACACCTCAAAATTGTTTCATGCTAACAGTGAACGTGAAAATTACATACACGGGTGAGGGGTCAAAGTGAGCACGCCGGGTTCCTGGCCCTGCTCGTCACTCTTTCATTTTACAGTTGACTTGCATGTCAATTTATGGCAGGTAATTAAGTTTGAAATTCATACCTGGACATCATAAAAAAGTCAAAGTTAATACCATTTTTTTTTTTTTTTTTCAGTATGCAAAACATTTTTTGTGTAGTTGTTGGCAGACGTAAACAACAGAGAAATGTCTGCAGTGAGTAACGAAAGGAATGTAGATGCAGCACAGCCTAAAATCAGTATGTCTCCTTGAAGTGTCACGATTTTGCTTCAATGCTGATCAGCATGGCTATGCATGCAACAAATTATTTGGCAAAGAGTTAATTAAAATAACATGTCAATTGCAATTCTTTTTTACATTTTTTTTTTTTTTTACCGGATGTGATTACCCACTAGTTGAAATATAAGAATTTCGTTGTTGACTTCATATAAAAAAAGGAAGAAAAAAGCAGATTAAGACATTTGGTTGTTAATAAATTTTGGAGAATGGCGAGTTTCAACGTCAAACAGGTACAGCCTCTACAGATAAGTATTCCGTATTTTAGACACGGTCGACACATCCTAGTCCTTAATCCGGAAAGCATCACCACGATATGACACGATCACACTGTAAATAAAGGGATGTTACGACCCAACAAACCACAATAAGATACTCACAGTAAAGGCCACTGCAGCCATCGCGTTTGCGTTTCTCATTTTGACTTGGGCGTCGGGACGGAGGATAAATTTTTAGAATTTTAAGCTTCTAATTTTAGGTTCCGAGTTCTGCCCGATCAAATGCTAATCATGCCCGACCGCCCCCGAGGAGCTTCTTCCTTACCGTGAGATGCCGATCTGTGATCAGCCGTTGCTCGCGCTTCCAACGTCCCAACGGCACGATCGACCAAGGCTGCCAATCTTTCATCTCCTTGGCGGAGTTGTGATTCCGTACATTTTTCGAGTACGGATTGGCACGCCGTTGAATTTGCATCTATTCGAGGGAACGGATTTGCGAAGAAATCGAAACGCAGACCGCGCCCTGCGTAAACCATTCTAATAATTTTCTTCTGGCTTGTGCCACTTTCAGTGTTCGTGCGTGGAGCATTGCTCGTTTTCCAAAGCGAGCAATGCGAGGAGGCGCGTGCAGAGCAGGACACAGCTGTTGATCTTTTGTGATGACCAAAACAAACGCTCCAGTGAGTTATGGTGTACTACAAACAAATGGTCAAACGCGGACGGCCAACCCAGGCCAACCGCCAACCTCCTTGCAGACGCGCTTCATGTCAGACTGGATTGGACTCTGGATTTGAATGCTGGTCAAAGTCATTGTTGAAGCCGGGCCCCCGGGCTACGTTGTCAACGCGTCAAGTCAACGTTACGTCGCCCCCAACGGTCGCCCCTCTCATTGGTAAGGCTGTAAATAAATATAGCTAAAAAGCGTAAAAAAAGAAATATTTTGTAATTTAATGACGTAGAAACCAAAATTCCTCAGAGGATGGAAATAAAAATATGGTCAAAAAGTAGTTTCACTTTCGGTACCGCTCGCCACCGCTCGCAGTGCCGTTCAAGAACGCGCAAAGCGACCCAGTTTGATGTCAGTACTCACGCATTTGTACTCTCGCAGGAAGACATACTTTAACCGGTAAAATACAGCTTGAACCCTGTTAGGGTTAGTAAGTCTCTGGTCAGTGTAAATAATCATCCGGAACGACAGCACGGGCAATATGTTGTGGTCTCGCGCGGTGGTCAAGAACACAGCAGAAACAGCCATTACGCTCAATTACACTCGCACCACACGTTAATATACGATATATTTTTTGTTTACGTATAACTGAGCTCGATCACACTGGCTGTCAATGGCACAAAATTGAGCGCATCACTAAATTTATGGACGCCAAAGTCACCATCCAGTTGCAGTTTTGCATTTAATCAAAGTATTAATCACTACAATAGAGATCAGTGGTATTAATCATCATCACCGTCATTGAGCTATGTTCGTCTACGCCACGTGGTCTACGCACGTCCATGCAACAGTTGTTTCCAGTTTGCGCAGCGTGCGTCTTCGAGGAACCATTTGCGGAATTTGTTGTAGGTGAACGTTCTCCCAGACGCAATGTCAGAGTGCAACTTTGAGCAAAGCTTGCAACCCAGATGCTCGTACTTGAGTTTAAAGTGGTTCTTCCACAGAAAGAACGATTCATACCATTCCGGATCTCCTGCGACACGCTTCAGGTATTCCCCCAGTTCTGCAGGAGACCTAAAGTCAAGAGCGTTTATGTATGATCCCGGAGGCGCCACGCTGACGTAGTCACCACCGCCCAAAACCACAGGCACAAGGTCGAACAGGAGTGGCCGGAAAAACTTTTCTGTGACGTAGTCCCTGCAGATGGAGTTCTCGAAGGACAGGTAGAAACTGTAGTTCTTCGCGGCGTCCTGGTAACACGCGTCGGACGCTTTAGGTTCGCACACGTGTTTACCACACTTGCCAAAGATGTCGACGGGCAGAACCTTTTGGAGCTCTGACACGTAAGTTTCACGTCTGCTATCTGTCTTGCAATGGGAAACCATCCACACGGCGGCTCCTGGTTTGGGAGCCCTCCAAAATTCCTTCGACTTCACCGTGACACGAGGTCGTTTTCTCGCCTGGACCGTGTAGCCGTAAAAGGTGGTGATGTCCGAGTCCTGCCTGTAGGTCATCGTCATGTTAAAGAGTTCGTCTAGTTTCTCCAGCATTGACAGTGAAGTGGCCGTCGGAGGCTCCAGGCTGAAGAAGATCCATCGTTGTTGCGGGCTTCTGTAGCTGGGCATGTCGTTCAGGTAGATGTCTTTGCCGTGGAACAAAATGGCCGCGCTGGACTTGAGATGGCGTCTCTGCCTAGTGAAGAGGCAGACCTGAGGACACTTGCTATCCACGACGTCTTCTTTGAAGTACGGGTAGCTCTCCTTGCCGGACCATGTTGTCCACAATAAAATGGTGAGCGGTTTCGGATTATGGTCTCCGCTAAGGTTGTAGACGACGACACAAGTAGTGACCAGAAACACCGCAACGAGTCCTCTGAAGAACATTCTATTGCCGATCAACATTGTAGAACTGCTTGCCCTGGTGTATTTATGCGATGCCATTTATGTTAATTTGTTTGTCTGTATGGCATCTCTGCATATGGTATCTTTGCAGCAGTGGGGAATCATCCGGAACGCGACGATGTCGAGACGACACTCGACTGTGGCGTCTTGACGTCAGTAATACTCTTCAATGCAGAAGACACTTCCCTTCGGTTCACTGCAGGCTTGACTCAGATGGACACAGCTTCGACGTGCACCACTTTCGTCCGCGCACGACACTAGAGTGGTCGTCGTAACGGGCGTTGCGCAAAAAGAATTCGCGGAACTGTTCCCTTTGGTCTCACGGTCTTTTGTGCCAGACTTCCGTAGGAAGATCCTACCCTCCTCCAGGTTTAACGATTTATGAACCCGTTGACATTACTGTCTAGGATTACGAGCGACTAGCGGCCATAACGACAACGGGTAACCGGAGGACGAGACACCGTGGGGAACGGGTATCTGCTGGGGGATACTATGACATACAAAGAGAGCTGGCGACACGCATGCTTCTTGGCTATATCTCTTTCTCGTGTTTCCAACGGAGCGAGCTGTCCCACAGAGCCGCCTCCCCCACCTCTCCCCGGTCGACGCGTGCCGTCAACAGAGTTTTCGTAGACCGTTTTCCTACCTCCGCTACGCTCCCCGGAACGAAGATGCCACACTGCTCGTGCGCTGCGCTAGCCTTGCTTGCAGAGTCTCGGACTTCGTAGCTGGTTGCGGAAAGCGTTGCGGGGCGGCGGAAGCGATCTACGAAAACTCCATAAGGATACGAGAGCTTCGAATACACGGCCGTTTTGTGCGCGATAGGGGATATCCGGGCGGAAGCAACTTTATCGGATTTCTGTCTCTTTCCTCAGGGTTGCGCCTTTACGAAGCAATTATAGCTCTCTCGTAAAGCGACGAAAGCGGAGAACGTCCGGTTCTGCTATTTGAGTTTGCGAAAGAAGAAAGATAACCTGTAAAACGGCCAACGTTACCAGTTATTGTTGGTGAAGAATTATATAAAGTTGCCGTATACGTGCCTACTGTGTCCCATTGTCATCCCCTGTGCAGATGTACCGTTCTTCAAGGGTTTGGTCAAGCCAAGTGGTAAAGAATCACGATACACACTAAAGTTGTTCACTGGTGTAAATAAGCGTCTCCCAGGGCTAACATCCAAAGAATGTCGTAGTAAAACTTTTAGGATGCTGGTGAACACCCTAAAAATAGAATGATGGCGATTTTATCAGCCTCCGAGAGACATATGTTTCCCGATCAACAAGTTTGCAAGCAACTTGTCTCACATGAACATAAACAGAAAATACGGGCAATGAATCACAATGAATCACAATGAATCATCAACCATGAAAGCATAATACAACGACACGACTGACTGCTTTCCCAGCCTCGACAATCCAAAGGCGCTCATTGGCTCGTGACCGTATCCGCAATTACGAGGGTTACAAGTACGTTGTTTTGTTCTCGCCATTATCTCGAGTAAACCATAATACAGTTTTTTTTTTTTTTTTTTAGGCTTTACAGATCTGTTTTAAGATAACCGTAAAATCTACTAATACTGTCTATGCAGGTGAGTTATACGGCTAGGGGGACATACGTACTATATGGGGTTAATCACCATAAGTCTGATGACTGATACACATTTGTTTATTTTAATTCACGAAAATGAACATATGATTCCAACTTAGGAACTCGGTGAGCGTCATCCAAAACCATTTAATCAGTAAATTTGAGAAAGGTTTGCAGTCCGTGTGAAGCACGGTAGTTTGCTAAAGTTACCGCTGGTGCAGCAGGTGCGAAGCTGTCGATAAGGGACGGAAAAACTGTGCGGGCGAATTTTATCGCACCCGCAGCTTTGCGCCTGGAGCACGAGTGGTGACTTTACGTCCGCCCGGCTTCCCTCGCACTCCAAATCGTTCTAAAATTGACTGATGTAGTATTCGATAACGCTCATCAAGTTTGTAATTGGAACAATATGTTTACCTTCACTAATTATAAAATATAATTAACAAATAGTATTTAATTAACTGCCTTATCGTGACGATAACCCTGGCCATATAACCCACCGCATAAACCGCATTTGTCCAGCTTTGACGGCTTTTTAAAGAACAGTTTGTAAAGCCTAAAAATAAAAGACACCCTGTATACCTAAGCTCGAGGAATGTATTTCCAAGTAAAAAACGTTGGTACAGACAATAATTGTTCATTATATAGTCGAAACCAACCACCGCTGAAGATTCTTGAAACGGGTGTCAACGCGGTCAACACTCTCCGAAAAGGGTGTTCGCCTCACAGCACACATTTCCGCACCCTTTTTACACTCTTAACAAACAAAGGGTGTTTCATGCAACCGCACCCTATTTTATGGTAACAATAGGTGTATTACTCGAAACAAGGGTGCTGAAAGGACGTAGCGATGAGTGTGTGTCTTCCCTTTTTACACCGTTCAAAGTGCAACATTCCTTCGTGTGTAGTCATGCCTGTCTTAGCAACAGATGTGTTTATCCAGACGTCTTCAGGAGGTTATAATTTATAATGCCTCATGCGTCTTACATGGATATTTATGGGACTACGTGCTTCTTCTTGGTTAATTTTGCTAACACGAGGGTCAGTCAAATGATAACCTCAAATTATTTTCGCTCAAAATTTATTAAAAAAGAGTGGTACACACACGCATTATTTTTAAACATAGTCCCCATTCAGTTCAATCCAGTTCTTCCAGCGCATAAAAGTCCGTGAATTCCTGTAAAACATTTTTTTTTTTCGTTCGCGTGCGATGCCAATTATGTACCGCGTGTTTGCATATCTTCGTTGGATCAAAAATATTTTCCTCCCATTGCCTCCTTGAGTGGTACAAAAATGGGGTAATCACTAGGAGCGATGACCGTGACTGACGGTGACCTGTGCGGCAATTTCACCCACCGTCACTCGGCAATTCGCTGACTTCAACTGCTGCGATGGAATATGTTTTGTTACCACTCGGTGTGCCTGAGCAGTCGAGGTGAGTCTGTCACAGAACTCACGCTGTTTTGGAACTTTTTTTATTAGTCCATCTGCACGCCTCCTGGAGTAAGCATCACCCCATACATCAACTTAACGGGCATCATAGTTTGACGTTTATGTTGCTGGGCGACCTGTCCTGACTAATATTAAGTACCTGTTTGGGCAGCCATCGGTATGTGGGCAACTGAACAGCTGACCCTCAGGTACGCCTCTGTTGGGGGCATATTGGCGGCGTGTGCAAACTGCAGGGGGCGCTTCGATAGCTATCATCATCATCGTTTGTGACGTCACGGGTAGGAAAGACTGAGACAGACCGCGCAGGTCTTCGAACTCTCAGCTAGTCAGCTCACTTCATGCACTCTTCGGGTAACGCTAGACAAAGCCTGTTTCACGCGTTGTGTTTATATCGTGAAGTAATATTTGAATAAGGACATTTTACCAAACCTTGAAACAATGGCACACGTATAGTCGAGCTGACAAACAGTTTTGGCGCTGAGGAGTCGAAGCGGGACGGCGGTGTGCTGTTCTCCCCCAGTACAAAAAGCTGGATGATGAAAATAGAATATCCAGCGCTTTACCTCACTACAACATATAGGCTCCTTGCACTGACGTCACATCGCACACTTTTGAACACCAAGTAAGAGGAGGAGAGGGAAGCTGCTTTTGTAAGAATTTTGAGTGACAGGTTAATCTTCTATAATCTTCTGGGGGGAGAATAGCGACGCCTGTATAAATCCGGGAGGTACAAAGGAGGGTCCTGATAAGAGGGGAGCTCCTTCTTCCCCTGTTCTTTGGAGGGCAACGGAAATGACGTCCTGTGCAAGGAGCCTATACCACGACGAGATAGGGTGTAACTATTCTTATTATTCGGACAAAATAAAACTGAGAAAGGAATGTCTCACCAAATTTAAAATAGCGAAGCGAAATTCGAGAACCTCTCACGTTTATTGTAAACACTTCAGTGAAAGCGACTCCGTATATCCTGTTGGTTCCAAGTGCTGGTTTTTTATTACTTCCAAGTGGATTCCTTTACGAATTTTGTAAACTAATCAACGAACCTTTCCTCAAAAAGTAGTGGCAGGAAGAAGCGGTGTCTGGCTTCTTGTTCACCCGGTCGACGCGAAATGTGCGAAACCCCCTCGCGATCGAAATATTAAATCTATAATAAATAGGTGACATTTCAAAGTCTCAAAAAAAAAAAGTAGGTATACACCTGGTATATGAATATCTATCGTTTGTACGTTTAATTTTACGGACCCAAAGGCGCATAATGTGTGACTCGCTTCTCAGTGAGCAATTTTAAATTTGTAAACAATTCTTAGTATAAATTAGATAAAACAATATTGATCCATTATCTAAAATTGCCCGGCCACGTTCGACAATTTAAGAATTTATGAAAATTTCTGCTTTTCTTTCGAAGAAATCAAATAAAATCAAAATTCTTTATTTTTCTCGAGGGAAAACAGAGAAAAAAGCAACATAGCAGTTGGTTGACAGGTCTCCGTCTCCCCTTAGCAGCGGCAAACAGCACACAAAAGCGTTAACACACAAAAAAAAAAATAATTTATGAAAAAAAAAAAAAAATCACCACACGTCATGCATCTACACTAACACTGAAGGCTCAACAAAAAATGAAAGCCAATATTTGTTTACCAAAGTCAAAAGTTCAATGTTTAATTCCCTCAAACGATTTAAAAGACGAGCAAGAGTATTTCGCAACATCGGATTTCCATAATTTGTTCTGGAGAGCGGCACTAGCCACGCGTCCGCGCTGCGTGTATCGTAAATCGTGTTTCCAATTGTAGCCTGTGAGATAGACAGAAATACGTTTTCTTTGTGATGAAAAGACTTTTAATAGGTAATACAAAGTTTATCACTCGTCACCACACTAAAACATTTTACACCGTGAAGGGTGTAAATCAGATTTTCCCGGGACTAACACCCTGAGGGTGTTAAAGCGACAT